CATATAGACGTAAAACGAATCAATCAATCAATCAATCAATCAGTTATTGCGTTCCCTTCTGCCTCGAGAAAGTTGAAAAGAATAGCCTATTAGCCTTACTCGGTAGGAAGCTACTAAGTAATACCGTAGCTACCTAGAGTAAAGACGATAATTAGAGAATAATAGTATTACAGCTTTAGGCCGTACTAAGCTTTGCACAAGACTCACAACGGTTTAAGAATAGAGATAATCCTATAGTATAGAACCTCTACACCAATATCCCCTCCTACCCTACTATCCGCTCCTTTTACCTTCCCTTTTCCTCCCAGATTAACAAATTATATGTAAACTAGTAGCAAAACTCTTTGAATAGTCGTAGCCTACATATCGCTCAGGGCGATGGGTCAGGGTAAATGAATACAACTCAACTCAACTCAACTCAACTCAATCTCGATCACGAATTTTTCTCCTATAAATTAAGATTTTCGCCCCACCACTTGCAACGCTCGTTCGCCGCCGTGTCCTTCTGCAGGCTAATACCTCCCTGGCTAAGACCAACCACGCTCGCATCGCTCCCATACTTTGTAAACTTTGGCAGCCCATCTAGAGCACTGTCGGGCTGGCCTGTTATCGCGAACGTAGTAATGTAATCCTGCAAGGCTTCCGCGACCGTCACATTGAATGGCAAAGTCGCAGCGACCCCTCCGTCACCGCTGCTAGGCGCCGAACCGGGATCGTAGTACGTGTGCGGAACATCTTGGCCGTGCAGGCCGGGAGACACGCCGAAAATGTATCCGTACGTTTTGTTCTTGAATGCAGTTCTCAGCGCATAGGCGTTGCAAAGGATGGTTGCCTCGCCAAGGATAAGCGCGAGTCGCTGGTATGGAGTTGTGTAGAGCGCGCTGGTGCTGTTGGTGCCATTGGATACGTGCGGGTACAACGTGGTGGTAACGTATTCTACAGTTGCCTTCGGAGCAGTGTAGAGGGCGGCACTGATGAAGGCGTCCGCCTGCGCGTCCGTCGTAACTTGAGGCGTGAATTCGAGGCCTTCGTTAGTATTGTGACCGACCATTACCTTTACGCTCTTGTCGTATTTGCCTTGGAGAAGGAGGGCTTTGGGATCTTCAGCGACGAAATCTCCGTCGATAGTTGGGCGGAAGGCCGTGGATGCAGCTGCTATCACCTGCGCATTTGCGTTCATGAGCTCTTCGGAAGAAAGCTTCCTGGCCTCGTCAATGCTGCTGACATTGGCTGCCTGGAGGAAGCCTTGGAAAACCGTTTCTTGGCCGACTTTTGAAGGGAAAGCCAGCCAGTCGGGAGACTGAGCGATAGCCTGCTTGAAAGGCGGACTGGAGACACCTCCGTATGCCGTAAGCTGGTGAACAATCGAGCCGCCTCCCGCCGACTCTCCCATAACAGTAACGCGGTTTTTGTCGCCACCGAAGAGGTGAATGTTATCCTGGACCCACTGGAGAGCAAACCGCTGATCATGCAGACCAGCATTGCTGGTTCCGTTTTCCTGGAAAGTCGGTCCCGACAGCCACCCAAATGCACCAAGGCGGTAGTTCATAGCCACGTAGATGACTCCGTCGGATTTCTTCGTGATGCTACGCTGGATCAACCCACTGGGAGTGCGTTCTGCCGCCTTTGATCCTGCGGTGTAACCTCCACCTGAAGCCTTTATTAGCAATCAATAAATCGAACTTTGAGTTGCGTTCGCACCATAGATCCAGACGAGAACAGGAGCGCCTTTCCCACGACCCGCCTTGTCGAATATCGTTTTCTGTACAATGACATCCAAAAAGAGACAATCCTCAGTCTCACGGACGTCTCTTTTGCTTAAAGCTTTGCCTTGATGACAAATGCGGTCAACACTGCCATCATTGATCACAGAGCGGTCGGTGACTGGAGATAAAGGCGCCATGAAGCGCAGGTCACCAATGGGTGGTGCGGCATATCTGATGTTAGAAAAGTTATAATAGCCACGGGTTTCCTAGCAAATGTAAGCGGAGAATTCTTAAGGATATTTCAGCTTTCTTACGTTAAACGCATTGGCGCGGTACAGTTCGTAGCCCAAGTCTACGACAGGAAGCAAAGTCGACGAATTGTGGGATGGATTGTGGGGTGATGCAGAGACTGAGCAAAGCAGCACAAGTGCAGCTGCGGCGTGTGCGACAGGCCGGAGAATCAACATCTTCCGCAGGTCTTTCAAGAAAACGAAGTAGAGAGTGTAAGAAAAGGAACCAGGGAGTGTATGCCTAGAACAAAACAACGCAGGCGATCATGTATATATACGACACGAGGTCATAGTGTAAATCCTGTGAAGGTAGTGGTTCTCGCAATACACGGATCCGCCCCGGCCCTGCAAGTTGTTGTTGCCTAAAGAGGTAAATGGAGAAAAGGACTTAGCTCCAAAGACTAACCCGAGCGGACAAGTGAAAAAGCCACGGCCCGGTAGACCAATTGTAGCTCTCGAGGGCAGTAAAGCATGGCATGATCGGAACTCGGAACACGACCCGTTGTGGCACTCAGCCACCACCACTCCTACTGCCGTACGTAATCCCAATCTCCCTGCTAGCGTAGGATTTCGCTTACGCGTCTTGGGTTAAAGATAGACACCTGCTTTGACAAGCACACCGTATCCCAAGACGCCGGCTGAGGATTGTGGCTGGACAAACTTGGGGGCCGAAAGGCTAAGGCGGGCGTAGTTCCCGCAGACCGACACCAACTGTATTTGTAAAATGTGAAGTTTTGCTGGCACATTGACGAGGTTTTCTTGGTGTCATTCGTTAACTATAACAACAATTAGTTTCATAAAGACCACAGCTGGCTGAAAGTATTATTTCATGTGTACTTACTCTCCAATTGGTCCGCTGCCAAGCAAGGTACCCTGGCTTAGATGAGCTAAACTTAGGCCTTCCGCACCTAGAGTCGCCCATCCTGCAACGCACAGTCTGTCTGAACCATGCAGCACTCCTAGGAGTAGATATGCAACTGACGCTCTCAATTGCTCTCGTAATCGCTCACGTTGTTGGTCGCTCAGCTCCCAGTCGCTTCTACCAGTATGCAGTCATCATGACAATCAATACTGCAATGCGGTCGCATGTGCAGACGCGGTCATAGCGGGAATAGCGGTGGTAATCTCAAAAGGTCAGGATTTGCGAAGGAGCATAGCGATTGTGAGAATCGCGATCGATTTTGGGAAAGTTTGTATGGAATAGAAGGCGTAGTGTTCTAAAATGCGACTCTGCACACCTAGCGACGGCAGCGGAGTGACGTGCGGACAGCAGCAGGATCTGTCTGGATGCGACGATGAGAGAGAAAGGTCCTGAGGTGTGGGAGGGAGTAGGTATAACAGTTTCTCCGCGCCGCCACGGGACCATCCCGCTGATAAGAGACCCACTCTTACGGGAGCTAAAATATGATAGAAATCGAAGTCTACGTCATCATGCAGCAACTCCCTAGCCTTGCGGAAAGGCTCTGATATATACCTAGCCTTTGTCTTGTCTATTTCAGCTCGTATATCTGCTCTTTGTCTTCGCCAACACTACCAACACCGAGAAAAGGCTGTTATGATCACGCGGTCGCTCCCAGAAAGCCGCTCTTCAACCGATTCAGCGAGGTCGCATCTACCTGAAGATGAATTATCACAGTACCTCATCCACCAGGATACAACTGGAAGCCCAACTCCAACAGAGGAACGCACTCAAGCCTCGTCGGAAGAATCGACATTGGGACGAGGTCATTTGCTGTCATTATTTCAAGAAGGAAACATGACTTTGGAACGTGGCAGTCCAACGTCAGTTGATCTAGACGAAGACTCCTTCCGCCAGCAGCCAAACGCTCCGACTTTTTTGGCCATCTGGAGTTGGGAGCTCTGTAGCATTATCTTCAGCATTATCTGCACAATTGCTATCATCGCTCTTCTCCCAATCCTCAACAACAAGCCACTGGCAAGATGGCCATTCGCGATACTCCCAAACACGATCATCTCCACATTCATTACCGCTATTAAAGCTTCGATGCTTTTCGTTGTAGCTGAATGCATCAGCCAACTAAAATGGGCACATTTCGGCTTCACGAAAGGCCGACCCATCAATGACCTCGAACGCTTTGATAGAGCAAGTAGAGGACCATGGGGTTCAACCTTATTTCTCGGATCTGTGAGAGGTCATGCCCTTCTTGCCTGTATAGGCGCCTTAATCACGATTGCAGCCCTGGCTATGGAACCATTTGGCCAATTGCTTCTTACGTTCGAAACTCGCTACATTCTACGAGAGAATGAGGTCGCTACTATACCTGTTGCATATGCATACAGTAATTTCTATCCGGACACTGGTGGAACAACTGGTAAGCGCTTTAGTATTCGCTAAGATATGATGCATTTTCCTAACTCATGGACAGTAAAAATGGGCTACAACAGGGGCATGAAAGGATCTCTAACCAATAGCCTTTTCGGTTCAAGCACCGCTCTACCATTTACATGCCCCAGTGGGGTTTGTAAATGGCCAACATTCACCTCTTTGGGCCTTTGGAGTTCGTGTGCCAACGTTACAAGCAGTACTGCAAGAACATGTTCTATGCAGTTCCCTGTGGAAAACTCTTCTGCGAGTTCTTTGCCCACAGAAAATTGCACGGCTATTGTGGATGCAAAAGGCACATTAAAGTCTAATTGTACAACGTGGCCACCGATACCGCTCAACAAGACCCGAGGAGTGCATGTAAACTACGCATATACTACACCAAACAACATCCCCATCCGTAGCTACAGAGAGTACGACTGGGAGCCTATTAAGTTTTCTTCAGGAGAGTTGAGAGTACAATTTCACGAGACAATGTTTCAGCTCGGAGCATGGGCGGTTGCTAACGCTACAAGCCTTCCTACTGATTCCATGGAAACAAAGAACATCTCAGACCTTTCGTTTGCAGCTGCATTCCCAAGTACTGCCATTATGGATGATTTCGAGAGATTACAAAATACGCCACAGCCGCTAGATGAGAGCATCTGCCGACAGTATTTTAAGGAGATAATCGAATGCCAGTTCTGATGGTGCTTGAAAACCTACGAAAACGTTAGAGTTGTAAGCATCCCCTGAGGATTCATATATACTTGATGGCACCACGGTACTAACGCAACGAAGGGTTAATGGGACAATGTCACCTTCCCTCGTAAGCCATAATGCCCTTCATTACGAATCGGGTGGTAATATAAGATCTACCTCGAAGCCATATTTAGCATGGAACGAAATCGACAGCTTTATGTTCTCGCCGGATAATACCTCTGCGCACTCGATCCCGAAAGAGCATCACATCTTTGAAATTGGTTACTACGAAATGCAATTTCTTACAAAGCTTCTAAATGAACTATTTAGTCCGAAAGGTAGATATGATTTCGACGGTATCGATATTACCGAGGTCTTTTTATCCAGCAATAACATTTTTGAAATGGTATCAAATATCACCGAAAGTATCACGAACCATATTCGAACCGGGCCAAACACTACAACCGTAAACGGTGCTGTATATTACCTTGAAACATATGTTGTTATTCGCTGGTACTGGCTGATCCTGCCGGGGTTTCTCGTCGTTCTCAGCCTCATCTTTTTTATTTTAACAGTCCTACTCGATACGAAGCGAAACACGCCTCCATGGAAGTCAAGTCTTGTTCCGCTCCTTTTTTACGGCCTACAAGGATGTGAGGAATGGGAGCCTATCTCTCAGGATCCGAAGAGCATATATGAAGCTGCAGGAAATATGGATGCTTGCCTTACGGAAACTGAGAAAGGAACTTCGAAATTTGTGAAGGTAGAAAGAGCATGAACATAGCAGACATTAGTAGATACAGTACGGTGGCTATGTGTTTAGAAAATGAGGGTTTACCGTCTGCCGTCTCCTCGCTATCAGCATGCTCCAATGATGAGTGAAAGATGGTGGTAAGATCCCGCTGACAGAAATTTACCGGAGTATCTCCAGGAACAGTATATCGACTACCAAGCCTTGCATCAGACTACACGTCCACGAAGCAAAGGGAAGGTTTTTTTCCTCCTAAGAGAGTTGTAGTTCTCCGCCCCGTCTTCCGAATCCCGCTCCGCCCGGGCCTATCCGCCACCGCCTCTCCGCTCCGGCCCACCTGCCCGCGAATATCCGCCCCCGCCTTTCTACGTACGGCAACCCGCGCACGCCTCCACACTTAACGCGCATAAACTAGCTACGTGGCCCACCATTTTGCTCTGCATTAGTACCCGCTAAAGAAAAAAAAACGTAACATTTCAAAATAGGGGAAGAAGAAGAAGAAGAAGAAGAGGGATCCGGAACACATAGGCTGATATATCATCTCCTCCGCAATCCACGGCATCTCTCACGTAGCAGGTCAAAGAACAGGATGTTCTTTATAACCCGGTTACACACTGGCACGTAGGGTTTATCACTAACCGAAGAAAAGATCTATGGATGTCTCCATAAATGCCAAGTTCTTGGCCGCATCAAGATGGGTTTCGATTGACCCAGGAAGAGAAAGTGAATATGCAGTATCAGAGGCGATCCCAATTAACTGAGTACTGATAGCTGCGTATAAAAAGAGCTTGGAAGAATATCAACCGAAAACATCATCCAATAGTCACTCGTTGATTGTCAGATTTCGTCCCTCTTTCTTTTCAGAATGAAGTTTGCCACTGTCCTCTCGACCGCCGGTCTTCTCTCCACTGCCGTCTTGGCCCACCCTGGCGGACACCATGTCCCTCGCGCAGAGATGGAGCGCCAAGCCGCGCTGTCGAAACGCTGCGCCAGCCAAGCAGGGCTTATGAACGAGAAGCGCTACACCAGGCGCATGAAGGCGAAGCGCTCGCTGGACATCGAGGAGCGGTCTGACGCCGGCGACGCCATATACAAGATGAACATCGACGCGCCTTACTACGACGTGCTCCAGAACGACACCTGCGTCCTATCCCCCGACGTCACCCAAGGCCCATATCTCTGGAACCGCGCGCAGATCAAGAGGCAGGACATGTCGGAAGACCAACCCGGTGTGCCGCTTTGGCTGGACATTGGCGTCCTGGACATGGCTACCTGCGAGCCTCTCCCGAATGCGCTCGTGAGCTTTTGGCACTGCAACGCTACTGGTGAGCTGCATTTTATCAAAATCAAAGAGAAAGTCAGGAAAACTAACAGTATACAGGCAGCTACTCCAGTTTCACTGGCCTCGACCCCAATCAAGGTTTCAAAGACTACCTCCACGAAGCCAACATCCGCAACTTCACGATCGGCAAGTCAGACCTGCACACCGACGACACGACATTCCTGCGCGGTATCTGGCCTAGCAACGACGAGGGTATGTTAGAGATGAAGACGGTGTTCCCGGGCTTCTACGCCGGCCGCACCATCCACGTCCACGCCCAAATTTACACCGACTGGACTCTGCATGACAACGGCACCCTCCAGTCCGGCCACGTCGTCAGCACCGGGCAGCTGTACTTCCCCGAGAATGTTACGAAGACGCTCATGAAGCTTGAGCCGTACAAGTCGCACACGGAGATTGAGCGCGTGACGAATGAGGAAGACCACCATATCGGTGAGGGACGGGTCGGCGGTTACGACCCCGTTGTGAATGTCGTACCTGCTGATGGTGAGAATATTGAGAATGGCATCATTGGGTATATCACGATGGGTGTGGACACGACGGATAATTATAAGGAGCCGGAGGGCGATGACCAGTTTTGGTTTAAGAAATAATGGTTGCGGATGCGCGGCGACGGCAATGATAGCTGGAAATAGTTTTTGTAAATATGCTGATTTTTTATCTGTTCTTAACTTGCTTTGCTCCTACTTTGAAAGAGAACCTAAGGATGTACTCACTGCCCGATAAAACCACTTTCACCGAACACCATTCCCACATCTGACTGCAAGACCATCTGTTGGGAAACCTCGAAAGCCTGAAACCCTTAGCGCTTGAATACCATACACGTCCTTAAGCCGTAGTGCTAACAGTCCCCTCTGCAGCTAGCAAAATCTCCTACGCATAAGCCAACTCCTTCGTCGCCCTCGCAACCTCGTCCACCGCTTCCATCGCCTCCCGGCTCCAGGGTGCAAGCTGCAAGAACCCATGCGTCAGATCCTGGAAATGCTTCCACTTGACTTGATTTCCAGCCTTCTGCAATTTGCTGGCAAACTCCACACCGACATCCCGCAGCGGATCAAACCCACACGTAAACACTGCCGCAGGTGGCAAGCCTTTCAAGTCTTCGACATTCTGCATCCCGGGTGAAACGTATCTGTGGGACGGCGGGACCGCCTTGTCTGGCGCCCGTGGCAGGTAGTGGTCTGCGAAGGAGAAGATGCCGTTGCATTCGAGGTAGTAGCCGGTGTTGTTCTCGGTCGCAGCGGGCGTGTCGAACGGCAGACGTGCTTCCGGATACAGCAGGATTTGGGCTTTGAGCTGCTGCTTGCTTTCGTCTCGGAGTCGCAGTGCCACTGCTGCAGTCATGTTTCCGCCCGCGGAGTCGCCGCCGCCAAGTACACGCGCACTGTCGATGCCGTGGCTGGCGCTTTCGGGGCTCTGCGCCCAGGCCAGAATGTCAATGTACTCGTCGAGCTGGGTCGGAAATGGGTGCTCTGGTGCGAGGTGGTAGTCTACCCCGATTGTCTAATATGAATGTTATCTGCCAAAACATCCTCACATCATGAGTGTCTCAGCGCTTACGATGATGTCCGCCTTCTCGGCCAGCAGTCGCAAGCCATTCTCGAACTCGTCAACGCTACCCACCGTGTATCCTCCGCCATGGAAATACACCAAAGCCGGTAGTTTCTTGTCGCCGCAAACCCTCGCGCTGTGTCCCTCGCCCTTTTTCACGGCGCTGTGCGGGTAAAAAATGCGTAACGGAATAGTGCCGTGCCGTGTGCGTACTGCAGTAAAGGCAAGATGCCCGATTCTCGTTTTAAGCTCGTCGGGGAGTGCGTGATACCCGAACACTTCGAGGTGGTGGCGGCGCTCAGTATGGAAGTCTTCGTGCCCGCCAAGGTGCAGGTCGGGGTTCGCGTTGAGAAAGGACTTTACCGACGGGGCGAGCTCGGTACGATTTCCAGTGGTGGGAATTTGGTCTGTCATGTTTGCAATGGGATTTTATGGTCGTGGTACGTTCCTGAATGTCTGAGACCAAACAATGCAGGCCAATATCATTTGTATTCGAGAATTCAGGGCGGGTAGGACGCGTGATGTCATAGTAACGACACCATCTCCGACAGGGCCAGCCCTATGTGTAACTGGATGGCGTGAGTTTCGGTCACGACGTCGCACACCAGGGACTAAGAAAAGAAATCGGTCTGATCTTACTCCCGCGACTAATGCAAAAGTAGCTAACTCCGCAGCCTATCAAAGCTTGAAGCCTCACTATTTGTTACAACTTGCGCTTATCCCAACGACATGACGACTCTTCCGTCTACTGTCGATGACTTCTTCAATTGCCCTCCCTCTGTATCACCAACCACTTCGAATGCCTCTCTTTTCACATAACATGACGTAGTGCTTCGTTGCCGGGATCGCCGTTACAGTTAATTTCTCCGCTGTTCGTAGCCATTTGCAGCCAAGTATTTCCTTCCCTGCACGTACTCGCCGAAGAAGAGGCCACAATGCACATACTCATTGACACAGTCCGAGATGTGCCGATCGCGACGGCAAAGTCAGCTACCACGGTCCATGGCCTCCATGCTGGCTTACCGAGCCGGGTCGCGTAGATGTGGCTTGTTGAGGCCTTTGATATCGACAGGGTGGATGACGGAAACGAGGGCGCGCAAACCAGAAGAAGTATCAATGACTGCGAAGATGGACAAGAGCTTGCGGAGAGAAGACCTGCCATTTTGGTATGCGCGAAAGTAGCATTGGGATCCTGCTGTTTCCGGGCTTCTCGCTGGTGGCGGAATTGCCAGCACGTCACTTCGCCCTCTTCAGGGAAAACCTGGCCCGCTGCCAGATCCCTACTGATCTCTCGATGCTGCGCACACAAAAATATTTCCATGATCAAAATTGAGTCTCCAGTCATATGGAGGATATGAACTTGCTCCGACGGCCACAAAAAGCCCTGGACTTCTTGAGCATCTGCTCAAGATAAGGCCGATAAACCATAGTCTTGGGTTCTAATCTTCACCACAATTGTCTCATTTGATCCAGTCTCTATGTGTGGAACTAGAAGCCACCAACGCCACTCCCAACTAAAGTCTAGAAGCAACAAGGCATCCGTCCGCAAGCTCACCCCACCACTACTTTAGCCTCAAGCTCAACTGAAGCTTGTTCCTTATTACTCGAGTCCGGAAACTGCATCCACTTCAACCTAGACGCACTGAGAGACCACTCATGCGCAAGCAATTGATTCACTCGAGACTTATTCAACGAGAAATCCCTAACGGATAACTTGGTCTCTCCCTCGAGCGCTGCAGCTACGCCTGCTTCAGCGCAAATTACTTAGCACACTTAGACCGTAGTAAGGAGAATTGTTGAATACGTGATTAATCCGCTGACATGAGTTTTACTTTGCTAAAAGGCTATAGTTGAGCAACACCCCGTACTGGACTTAAACAGCCCCCTACTGCCTCCCTACTCAGGTAATCACCTCGTACAAGTTCATGTTCGCGTATACGACCTCGTTGCGTGCAGAGGCGCCAAGAATTTGCTCGTGGAAAGACTGAACAAAGGCGTTGAGGTGTTGTGCGGAAACGTGTCGAACGTGCGGGAACGGGTCGAACACGTGAAACTTTGTCCCCGGTGACTGTATATTTAAGCAGTTTGCGGAGAACTGCGGGGTTTCTCCAGTTAAATTTGGGGTTTGGAATAACAGAGCCTTGCAGAAAATTATGCTAGCATCGGTAGACTTGATTGTACCTTGGTTCACGTGGGAACAAAAAGGGTATTCTTCGATGTTTTAGTTACTGGGCCAATTGTATTTTTTGAGTGGTTTGCCCGTAAGTTAAAAAAGCCCGTCTGCGTAGGAGACTTACTTAGAGGGGTCGCTCTCAGCCGAAGATGTCGTTGTAAGGCTCTGAATTACACTTTATGTTGCCGATAAGCTAATTCCAAAACTCAAATCTGTAGGCACGGACTATGTATGGCTCTTCACAAGAACACTTTAGCTTTTACTTTTACTTTGTGGTAGCCGACTCTCCCGCCAGTGATCGACATGTGATAACTCCATGTTTACGACTCTAAGATAAATAGATGCTGAGGAACCGGAATTCTTTCTGCATCAAACAATCATCACACTGCGTTCCGCCCTAGCCCACGAGGTCGAGACAAAATCACCAACCATGCATTTCAGACACTCCTCCGGGGCCGTTGGCCTTCTTACGGGCCTTTCCGTTTCCCTCGCGGCCGCACAACTTCAAAACCAAACCCTCCGCGAGACCTTTTCCGACTTCATCGACGCGAACCACATCCTCGACTATTACAAACTCGTCGATGGCTTCGGTCAAATCTCACTGCGCAACCCCGAGGACCCCTCGACAGTCTATGCGACGGGAAATCTGGCGGCCGCCCTCGTGCGTGACTTTGACGACATCGGGCTCTGGTCCGTCGAAGACGGATCTCCCGTCTCCGGCAACACCGCGATACGCCCAGAGTTCCAGGAAATATACGCCCATACTGCCCTTATGAGGGCGTACCCCGGAATTCAATGTGTCGTTACCGCCCAAGCGCCGCCCCTTGTCGCTAGGAGCAACAGCCATGATACGCTGAGGCCTCTCACGAACCGCGCTGCCTTCCTCGGGAAACATGTCCCGATTTTCGAATTTGAGGATTATTACCGGGAGGAAGATGGTCGGCAGTTGTTCATAAACAACCAGTATCTCGGCGACGCACTGGCTGCCTTGTTCAATGGTACTAGGGCCAATGGAAAAAACTTCGTCTACGACGACAAGGAAGAGCTCGACCGCGACGAATACTACCGCGACGAATACTACCGCGACGAATACTACCGCGATGGGAAACACCGCGACGAAGATTATCGCGACGAAGATTACTACCGCGATGGGAAACACCGCGACGAAGATTATCGCGACGAAGATTACTACCGCGATGGGAAACACCGCGATGAGAACTATCGCGACGAATACTACCGCGACGAAGACTACCGCGACGAAGATTACCGCGACGAAGATTACCGCGACGAAGATTACCGCGACGAAGGTTACCGCGACGAAGATTACTACCGCGATGGGAAACACCGCGATGAGAACTACCGCAACCAGGACTTCCGCAACGAGGACTTCGACCGCAGATACAGGACCAGCCACACGGACGAGGCACCTCCACCCTACCGATCAGGGTTCCCACGCACCCGCTTCCAGAACGGTTACGAATTCACCAACAGCACTGGCAGCACCAACGGCACCAACACCAACACTTCCAAGGACGTGCCTCCGGTCACAGTGGTGCTGGAACGCAACCGCGGCATCGTTACCCATGGCACCAGCATTCGAAGCTGCGTCTACCGTGCCGTCTGGTCTTTGATCAACCACCAGATCCAAGAGGAGGCCGAGTTGATCAGCGCGACCGAGGGCGGTCCCGGCCCGAGATTTCTGAGCAGGAGGGAGATTGCCGACGCCCAGAAAATTAGCGACTTGGGATACATCAAGGAGTGGCCACTGTGGAAGGCCCAGGTCGATGCAAACCCGCTGTACCACAACGACCTGGAATAGAAAGTGGTGGCTCTGCATGAAGGAGGTGTTGGTCGATGTGGTACATGTTGTTGGGCATTTCGGGTGAGACGTTATCGCAGCCATTCGTCTTTCGAAACTTGCAGCTACTAAAGCGCGCATACAGTCGTTCTTTGATTTGGTCTCTTTTGTCCGTACCCTAGTTGTTTGTTCCGCATGGCGCAATCAGCTATAGGTAAAAGTAGTGTTTAGTTAGCCACTCGTTCTGCATTCTGCATCTGCAATTAGAAAATTGACAGAGTTTCCTCTACCACCTCAAGATGACAGTGAATCCTGTAAGCATGCCACTGGTTTTCGTGGTGGTGCCGGGGAATGGAAATTAGAGAGCTGCGATAGGACAGCTGCATTTGGTGCGAGATGTCGAACACCCACAAAAGACACAGCCCTCATTGCGGTATTTCGCGACAAGGGCTTATGGAGTGGAGTGCAGGGTTGGTTGCTGAGCGCGCTTGTCTGACATGAGGAATCCCGAGCCCCGTCCTTTTAGTAACTCCGGGCAGCGGGACGGGGTTCATCAGGGTCCTCGCGCTAGTGCGTGAGATTCCAACGGAACGGGACGCTACAGGCTAGAAACGCCTCACCCGCTTCCCGGCTGATGCCGAGGAAAAAACTAGTGGTCCCTTTTCATACGTCATTCTTTGCTTATAAACACATCATATGCCCATCCATGCATAAAAGACTTGTAAGGGCAAATCAATTGTAAAAGGTAAACCGGCAACCAGCTACGGGAAGACTGCAAAGATTTTGGTTATCCCAAATAGCCTAATGAAGAATGGAAGCCCCTGCAAAGACCGCATCTGTTGCCCACCGCCATCAGGTAACTTGACAGTGTCCGAAAGTATCAAGTCAGGCATCGACACTCACTGGCTCGGTCACGGGCTTGTCGTGAGGCTCGGGCATCTTGTCGAACGTAAACTTTGCGACCAAGTCCGGGACGTTCCAGTCTGGGAAGCGACCATGCGTAGACTTTTGGACCTGAGGCTGGTCAAAGCCGCTAAAATTTCCCGAGTACACCTCCAAGACGCGGGCATCCAGGTCGATAAGGTAAGCCCACTCGCAGTACAGCTGGTCGGCAATGAACTCGACCTCAAGTTGGATAGGCACCGGCTCCGTGGCGTCAGCGACGATCTGCAAGATGCTGGCGCCGGTGTCGCGCGAGAGCGTAGGACAAATGATGGTAGGGGCAGAGTAGCGCGTCTCAAGCTGTCTTCTTCGTCGTCACCGGAGTCGCTTACGCCAGTCTGGTGACGCTTGAAAACTTGGCGCTGCTTCCTCTTGTACTCGCGCTCATGCATCTCGTACTCGAGTTCGTTGTTCTTCCGGCGGATTTCCTCCACCTGCTCCTCGGTCGGCTTGTACAGACGTTTGTTGTCGATGGCGGCTTGGAGCTTTGCGAGGTTGACGGGGTTGCGGATGAAGTTCAGGACGACGAGGCCTTGGCCTTCGGGGTAGCCATCCCACTGACCGCACTGGGCGATGTGGTATTCGCCCTTGTAGTAGACGAGGATCAGGTGACGCGTGCCCATGATGGTGGTGAGGGTGAGCTGGAGAGAGGGGGTCAGTGGTGCGGTGGAGCAATTGTGGAGTGGGGCGACATACGGAGCTCTGGTGAGTAAAGCTGTGGGTTTTGTGATCGAGGGAAGAAACGCGACACGAAGCGCGTCGACATGCGGGTTCTGTTAGGCAGCGACGGTCGCGTCACAACCGCACGTGATTGCTGCAGGTATGCGAAAGTCTTCCTTGTCATTGTCTGCATCTCGCTCTACCCAACAACCAACCCGAACTTGCCTTGTCCTTCCGTCACTTGGAAATCCCACTTTTTACCTTTATACTCCTCGCGCTCCTCTACCGTCACCTCGAAGCTCTCCGCGGGTGGCGTCATTGAAGCGGCGATAGCCCACGCGTTCAGCTTCAGTTTCCTCCACGAGCCATCTCGTGGCGCCAGGTTGTAGCGGAGGACCATCATGGCTGTCAGCGACAATATCTCACCAGTAGCAAAATGTCGACCCGGGCAGATGTGAGGAGAAGCCCCGAACGAGAGAAAGGCTGTCGCCCTCTTCACGTCTTTCTGCTCTCCCTTGAGGAAACGTCGTGGGTTGAACTCGCTTGACTCATCTCCCCACGCCGACCCGTGGCGATTGACCGTTGGAGCCGGCATCTGCAACACTGACCCTTGCTTGAGCACCCATTCGTCGTTAAGCATCATGTCCTTGGTCACAATGCGCGTCGTCGCACTATTCGATCTTGTTCGCAGCGTCTCCTGGTATGACGACACTAGGAGCTTGCACTCATTCCTGATTGCCGCAAGGTCCACAATGTGTATACCCTCTTTAACCCTTAAAGCTTTGGCACGAACCTCGTCTCGAATCTCATCCAACAATTCTGGACGTGAGAATATGTCGAAAATGGTCCAGAACGTCGACGGCACCGTGTTCGATAAGATACCGATCCCCACGGCAGCTTCCAGCTTGGCGATGTCTTTGGTAGTTGCGCCACCATCGTGCTGCATTTTCCAACGGCTGTATGCAAGTTCTGAAGAATCATGCTGACCGCCTGCTTCATAATACTTGACGATGGCATTTACCAGCCGCTCTCTTGCTTTCAACGGATTACGGGCAGTGATGCTTGGGAAGACATTAACCAGCAGAGGGCTGAGGTTCGACTCATATGTCCTAATCGCACATTAATAAACAGCTTGCTGACTTTGGTCATTGGAAATCTCACCAAAGCGCGTCTACAATTTCTCGGTCCGTATAAGGGTTTAGCTTCCCGTACACGGCATCTGTGCTGGCAACGCTAATGGCATGACGACACCACATATGGAGATCAAAAGCGTTGCTGCGCGATGCAAGCTCATCCATCGATGTCTTGAGGAACTTGATCATCTTTTCATTCATGCGATCAAGTCCAGTGCCGAGAAGAGCTGGGTGCATTGAATGTAGCACCTTGTTGTTGAGCCCTTGACCACCATTTTGTTCTTCTCGGAGCAGTTCAAGCCCATGTCCTTCGATACCTGCCATTCGGTTGGCAGCAACGGTAAGAAAAGGGTCGAAAGAGATGATCCGATGATTACGCTGGACAGCCGCAACTAACGTTGGGGAATTTACAATGTACGCCCTGTTGGTGATCATATCCATGCTGTAAATCACAAGATCCGGGTGTTTGGCACTACATCCAAAACGTCAGCAAAGAAAAGAGCACTTTGGAAATACGTATGGCACCTTTGTTTCGTGTAGTACGGAATGCCATGACGAATAAGTTCAACAGCATGACCAATAATAGGAATACTGGGTAGAACCACGGGTGGCTCTCGCGGATCCCGGCGGCGCTTTTGAGTAAGGGAATGGAGGAAGAGAGCGACGAGTACCCCAGAGACAACAACGATTGTAAGTACTGAAAGTTCCATGGCGATATCAATGGTTCGTACAAGTTCAGAGAAGTATCGAGTCTTTTCAACTAATGATTGCCAGTCAGGGTAGTTATCACGTCAGCGCAGGTGTCATGTCAGCGTAGCTATCACTGTAAGACCAGTCGCGACACTATTCTATTTGCTTGTCAAAGTCAACAGGGCTGGAGACTAGAGAATGGAGGTGGACCATCACCGCCTTAGTGGGGTGGGGGTGTGGGGGCGAGTATGGCAATGCATAAGCAAAAGCGGGCGTGGCGTTGCTGTGGCGCAAGGCATTGCAACAAGGTGATTCGTGCGAAAAAAACTATTCATCAAAACGCTCGGCGTGGTCTGCTCCTGAGCGCCTCGGGGCTCTTCCATATTTGACTAACGGCATAGCGACCCCACTAAAATAACGACATCGGATCGGCCTGGACCCCATCCTCTTCGGCAATACAGATCCGTGGAGGATTTGCAGCTAAACAACCTTACTAAAAACGGCAAAACGACGAGGTATCCAATCCTAAAAACTGTGCCGCCAACGCGTCCATATCGTATTGCATTCCGCTCTTCCGACTCCTTTATGTTGGATATTTATAATTTTATGCCTTAGCTCGCCTGCGAGTATGCATCGAAAATTCGATTGAGTCGCCAGAGCAGGAAGCTCCCGGCCGCGGCCAGAAGCACCTGGTCGATGAGGGTCTCCCCTGCTAGAGGTATGTCAGCTTCGTCTTTACTATGTAGGCATTCTTTCATACCTATGTGGGAAACGGTAGTGTAGGCATCCATAGTTTGTAATTTCGTTTTAATAAGGTATATGGTCTCTCTTTGGCTTGGTTTGGGTGTTTGAGAAAAGGACACTTTGGAAGGACGATGGTGGGAATAAATACTAAGTCGATGTCGTCAGCAGCGGCTGAAATACTTTGAGCTAAGCCGTACCAGGAAACCAACTGACACCGTCACTCTTACTCAGCCAGTAAGCATCAAGAGTTTGGACTTTCGCGCAAAGAGTAAATGCTATCTAAGGAGTCAACTGCATAACCTAAGCCAAGTCAAGTAAAAGCAAAAATCCTTGTCCTTCCTCTTTCGTCACAAAGGATGCCAACACCCTACAGTCGCACTAATACTGAAGCGCGGGCTTGGCCGGCTTATGGATTACTACTCAGCCACGTTGCACTCAAAATAGTGATCCGGCGCATGGCCAAGATGAATCACACGGAACGTGGTATCGGACATGGCCGCCTGGCAGTACCGCGGTAAGAGGGTCCCATCACTTTATCTTCTTACGTCATGCTAGGACCCCAAGATTGTTTGGACTCATATGTAGGGCTAACCTTCATGAAGAATTACCTTGAACAAGAAGCCAATACCTCTCGTCCTTACTACTTTTTCTTTAGTTGAACACTGAATATTTCTATACCAATCATGGACACGAACAAGACTCTAGAACATCTATCAGTAGCGCCTACTGTTTTCGAACCCGACAGATTGATTTCAAAGTCATTTTTAAGGATTCTCCTTCAGGAACTGCTTGCACACCCAGTCAAATTCGTGGTAGCAATCGGGAGCCTACTTCTAGCAGCCTACACCATCGACTCTCTCCGCAACGGCCTCGTGCACCTCAACGATTTCCCAGGGCCGCGATGGGCAGCCTACACGCGGCTCTGGCTATGCAAGGTGCTGGCATCGGGAAACTCTGCGCAGACATTCGTCGACGTCAACGCAAAGTACGGGCCGGTAGCGCGGATCGGGCCCAACAACCTCGTGACGAGCGATCCGGACCTGACGCGGCGGATACTGGCGGCGCGGTCGCACTACACGCGCGGCCCGTGGTTCGACTCGATCAAGATCGACCCGCACGTGCCGAACATTGTGTCGGAGCGGGACACGGGCAAGCACAACCACCTGCGGTACCAGATGTCGGCCGGGTACGCGGGCAAGGACATCACGGGGCTGGAAGCGGCCATCGACGCGCGCATAGCCGAGTTCGTCGGCCTGGTCGAGCGGAACTGGCTGTCGGAGGCGGAGGCGACCAGGCCGTTCGACATTGCACGGCGCATCCAGTATCTCGCCGTCGATGTTATCACGAGCTTGGCGTTTGGGAAGCCGCTGGGCTTCCTCGAGGCCGACGCGGACAAGTTTGGCTTTTTGGCGACGATTGAGTCGCAGCTGCCCATTGTGCAGCACTTTTCTGTCATCCTGGAGCTGAACAATGTTTTGGCGTGGGCGGCCAAGTTCAAGTTCCTTCGGCCGTTCATCGTGCCGTCCGCTGCAGACAAGAAGGGGATTGGCATGATTATGGGGGTAGGCGTTCCATGTGCTGATGATGCTCTTCTATGAATCCTTACTGACGCTCCAAAAGATTTCCCAGAAAGTCATCGAGCGGCGGTTTGGCTCTCGAGCAGAGAAAAAGAAGGACATGCTGGGGTCGTTTATATCGCGCGGCCTCGACGCCAGCGAGGTCGAGATGGAGATATCGATTTCCCTGTGAGTGGAGCACTCGACCGTCGTCCGGGAAACAGTAAAGCCACTGACACCACAGCAGCGTAGCAGGCTCTGACACGACAGCAACGGCGATGCGCTCGACGCTCCTCTCCATCATCTCCAACCCACGGGTGTACACTCGGCTGGTGCGGGAGATCGACGACGGCATCAGGCGGGGCATTGTGTCGTCGCCCATCGCGGAAGAAGAAGCCAAGCGGTTGCCCTACCTGCAAGCGGTGATCAAAGAAGGGCTGCGGCGGTTCCCGCCCATCACGCAGCTGCGCGAGCGCATGGTGCCGCCCGAGGGTGACTGGTACGACGGCAAGTTCATCCCGCCCGGCACGTACGTCGGGCTGAACGCGTGGGGCCTGCAGCTCGACCCCGTGTTTGGCAGCGACCCGGAGGTGTTTAGGCCCGAACGGTGGCTGGTCGACGACCCGGAGCGCCTGCGCCGCATGGGCCAGGTCCAGGAGCTCATCTTTGGCCACGGCACGACGCGGTGCTTGGGCATTCCGATTGCGATGATGAACCTGAACAAGATCTTTGTCGAGGTAAGTAAGGCCTACATCCTGCTGGATTATGCATGCAGGGCCGTTCTGTGCTAATGTGCCCGTTCTTGCAGCTCTTGCGTCGCTTTGATATCCAGGTTATCAACCCCCAGAGACCATGGCAGAGCATTTGCTATGGTATTTTCTTCCAGAAGGAGTTCAATGTCCGGATTACTCGCCGGGCCACCGAAGACCAGAGCCAGGAGGAGACGGCGTGGAGTTCTTAAGCTCACTTCCCGCTTATGTCGAGACGGTAGAAACAGTGAAGAAATATACACGGGCCATAGAGTAGATTGCATCCTCAGCCCACTCAGTTGATACCCTCAATCTACGTGTACCGTCTGCGTTTGAGTATAGCCATTTTCATGAATAATTCCGGCAATCTCAGCTTTCATCTCAGCCTAAATTCCCAGACATTCACGGGCACAGCCCATGCCGTCGCGTTTGGCATACAAGATAACTAGCCTCGCGCGCCGTGCATCTCAATGGAACGAGGATTCTCCTAGTGCCGGAGCAACATGTCGGGGAAGCTGGGCAAGAAGAGCCTAAAGTCTTATCAGCGATGGGGGCCAGGCCTCTAATGCACGCCGCATCACACACGTACCCACTTATTCATGCAGGTCGTCAACCTACGACTTAGACCGCGGTCAAGACTCCTGCTTTGCAGTAATCGTGGGGGGCGTTGCTATCAGGCCGGCACCGCCCACACTGATGTCGAGGCGTGTGCGAGGGCCGAGTGTGTGTGAGCTTGTGTTTGTGCGTTTGGGTTTGGGTTTGACGATCGTTTGCGTCGTCTGGCTTTAGTTGCAAGAACTGCCATCATTTAGCAAGGAACAAACAAAATGAGCTGGTATGAATAGGTGATGATGATGATGATGATAGAAAGTCAAAGTAATATTACAATTCCTTAGCATTTCCAAGCATCTACAAGATGACTGATCGCCCCCTCGAAACGTCTTTTTAGGTTCTACGTCTCCGCGTCTTGTTTTGATCAAGCCTCAGGCTTCTTTCCAATCATAAAGTACATCGGGGTGAAAAGATGCAGCTTCCCGCCCTTGACGAGCGAATCGGCACCCGCGGCCAGCTCATTAGCCGTCTGCGCGGTCCCGCGCGGCGCCAGTTTCACCAGCTCCAGCCCCTTGAGGAAGCGGCTCATAGCCGTGCGCCCGATCCACGACATGCGGACCACACTCAGAAGATCCCAAAGCGTGTGCGTGTACTGCCACTCGCCGGAGATAGGGTAGTACCAGGGGTGGCGGTCGGGACGCTCAGCGAGGTCCTCCTCGAGCTCCAGGACAAAGCCGGCAGCCTTCATAGCAGCGATGGCATCGGTGCGCGGCCGCATGTGCGAAATGCCGTTGCCGCGCTCGATGCCGAGGCGGATGGCGCGGTGTTCGGCGTTGGTCTCGTCGAAGCGATCCGTCATGACCCACTCGTAGACGCCGAAGCGTCCACCTGGCTTAAGCACTCGGAAGATCTGCTCGTAGACGCCTTGGAGGGTGGGCGCGTGCACCGTGGCCTCCATGGCGTAGACGGCGTCGAAGCTGTTGTCGGGAAAGTTCATGTGCTAGTTGAAGTTGTCAGTATTCCGCTCATGTGGTAGGGACAAGACGACATACCATGAAGTCGCCCTGCTCAAACGAAACGAGGTGGGCGAGATCCTCCTTCTGAGCGTAGCGCGAAGCTCGCTGGATCTGGTAGGCGTTGTTGTTGAGGCCGACGACGTTGCAGCCGGCAAAGGCAGCGATCTCGCGTGCGGGTCGGCCGACGCCGCAGCCTACGTCGAGAACCTTCATGCCCTCGTCCAGGTTGAGCTTGTGCGCCATGTAGTGCTCGTGGCGAGCGAGAGCCTGCAGGAAACCCTCGTTGACGGCGAAGCGGCAGAAGTGGAAGGACTGGGCCCAGCCCTCCTCGTAGAGATCCGTCACCAGGTCATAGTAGCTGCAACCTAGGCGTCAGTTGAAAAATAAATGTGACGACTGCATTGAAGACTCACTTGTTGACGAGGCTCATGTACTGCGACTTGCGGGCCTCACGGGCTTCCTCGACCGTGGCGTGTTTGTCGTCGTTGGCCCAGCGATTGACGTACTCGTCGGTGATGATGCGGTGGGCGTCGTGGTCCTTGTTGAGCATGGACAGGAAGGCATTGCGGGCCTCGGCCGACTTGCCGTGCATGGCTTTCTGGAACTCGGCATTGCGCTCAGCGTCTTCGGGGAGGAGGGCACCGGGGGCCATGGCGGGCAAGCAGCAGTGGAGGATGGAGAGGGAGGGGAGGAGAAAGCCAAGGTCGCGTGTTTTTGTACGGCGAGGAAGGCACGGCTTGAGGCGCAGTGCACCTGCATAAGCGACATTGCTGTCCTTTCCACCCATGTCATCATTCCGCCCCCACACGCACCGCCACTACCATGGTACCTACTCTTCTTCTCCACTCTCCACACACTCGTCTCCACACACTATGCAACCCAATCCCGGCGCTGATCTGTCTTCTAATTCACCTACCTCGAAAATAACCTCGCACCACAAGCCGGCGCAATTTCAAAGTCCGACCACCCAACCTTAAGTAGTGACTGTTATATCCCAGCTACCGCCTCTTCCGAGGCTCGTGAGGAGATGCCGAGGCCATTGATGAGAATGGCTAGATGGAAGCGGTTTGGTTCAGGGCGGCGAGGCCGAAGCTTTGCTCGGGAGAGAGGACAGCAGCTGAGGAAGTTGAGACACGTGGTTGCCATGTTGCGAGATTTAGTCAGGGCCGGTGTGGCTGTGGTTGAGTTGAGTCTAGCGACGCCACAACGACATACTAGTTCAACATCACCTCCTAAATCACAACCATTTATCGTTGACCTACAGACCGTTTCTAGGTATTGAGTGATTTGGCCGCCAGCTGAAGATCTAACATGGGAAAGCCGGAATATATGATGGTCGCTGCACCGCCAAAACTGTGAGAAAAGATGTAAACTTGATCTACTGGTTATCGAGGGTAGGCTGATTAACAATGTCACGTGTAACAGAGCGATAAGGAAGCAGCGCCGCCCACTTCCTACAAAAAGTTCGCTCCCGCCTCCAGCACATTAACAACCTGAACACGGAACGCCTGCTGCAGCTTCAGATCATCTTTCGTGTCGTTGACGACCTCAAAGTCCGCTGTCAGGCACTTCACCACGACATCGCGGTATCTTACTCCCATCTTGTCGCCTAAGCGACGCTTGGCCTGCTTCAGCAGCTGCTCTTTGATGACCCACGGGTCTCGGGCGGTCCTGAAGTTGTTCCTCTCGAGATTGATAGCGCGCTCCCAGAGTCCGATTTCCAAGAGTACGACACCTGTTGACGTCTGTTAGTATTCGGCACGGTATTGCGAACTGGCAGTGTTACCTAGCGCGTATATGTCGTGGATCTTGTTGAACATCTTTCCGGGTCTTCCTTGGCGCTCAGGGTGCCGGTAGACGTCGCGTTCGATGCAGATGTCGGTAAATCCGGACGAGAAATCCAGCTCAGGCCTGCTGAATTCGTAACCGAGGACTACAGGCTTTGAGAGATCGAAAGATTCTTGCGTGGAGCTTTCATTTTGCCGTGGGAAAAACAATATGTTCTCGCTTCGAAAGCTTTCGTGGACCCACTTCACCAGCTGAAGCTGCGATATGCACCTGGCCAGCGCGAAGGCTAGCTTGTATCGTTCTCCAAGTTCTGGCAGAAAGACACGAGACCCTAACATATGGAACAAGTTCGTTGGTTTTGGAACGACACCGCCTGGTATTTCGAAAATTAAGCCGACACGTTGGCTGCCGGGAATCCGTTTCCAACCAAGACAGTGTAACATGCAGAAAGCCAACTCCTTCGGTTCGTGTAGTATCCTAGCCAGCTCCTCGATAAGGGTCTTTGTCCTTGCGTCCAGTGTATGTCCAAGGCCTTGCGTCGTCTCAACTGCTCGATATTCAAGCAGAAAGTTTTGACCATTGCGTTCAATCATCAGAAGCCGCTCGTCGGGGCTTCTTGTAGACGTGAGTACCTCCGACCAAGAGCTGTCCAACTCCAAAGATGGCTTGTCACTGACAGATTGGTCATTTCGGGCAGTCAGCCGTAACCTTGCATCAATATCGAAGCCTAATCCGATGGCACTTGCATCATTTTGCAAACGCTTGAGATGCTCAATGTTATTTTGTGGAGGTAATCCAAGGTCCGATGCCAAACAAAGCAGCTTGATCTTTTCGTGGATATCTCCATTTAAGCCAGCGAAGTTTCGAAGGATCTCTTCCGTTCGTTTCTTGTCATGGAAGCTCCAGCGTAGCAGTAGCATCGACGCTTTGGGGAAGGTTTTCCAAGACGAGCCAGGGGATGGAGACCTTAAAGCGGGCTCTAAGCCCCGTACCGACAACTCAGACGTATATGTTGTCGGTGACGAATTTTCTGAGACCTCCATCCTCTCTGAAGGAGGTGTCGCCAGCCCGCGTGTATGCTTTTCCAAAAGAATACAGGCTTCTTTCAGTGTATGTACTAGTGTCTCAAGTGAGACGTGTATCTCTTCTTGGGAATCTTCGTTGAACCTCTGAAACAGTGTCATCCCACCGTAAACCGGCGAACGTTCGAAAAGAACGTGGCGAAGCGAGCGAGTCCGGGCGTTCTCATTCAGCAGTTTTGTCTGCAGTCGATCGCTGTCCTGCTTTTTTGCTTAACATCCGGCTTCTACCATGACATATTTTTACTTCCGCCTTGAGGGCTTACCTCACTAAATGTTTTGGCATCCTGTACCAATTGCGCGGTCCTCTCGCCTAGTTTCAGCAGTGCGTCACATATCGCCAGGGTGAGCCCTGCTATGCTTGCCGGATCAATCATTGTCTAATTCGCCTTAATACTTTAATTCGGAGTGGATTTGATCAAGGGTTAACACGATCAAGAGTGAGAAAGATCAAGTTGCGGAACAAGGTTCGCAGTGCGGCTGAGCGGGCGGGGTAAGTTGGTTACACGCGCTGATAACCAATAGATGGCAACCCCGATCTTGCTTATTAGGAACCGTTTCCGCTGCCTTCAATTATCCCTCAGCCTTGACACTCAAAGTCAGCTTCACTTTTGTTCTTCCTTCACAGAATGAGCTTTTCCGAGAGTTTTTCTTCAGATGTAAGCTGTCTCACAATGTTCCTATCACATTGTATTGGATTATACTGATATTAAGAAGGTCGCAACAAGGAACACTGCTCGAACTTTCTTATCGAGCGTCAGCGGTTTTTCTCAGCCTTCTCATCGCAAAATAAAAACCCTACTCGACTTGTTACAAACTGTTCAACATCTCAACCTTGAGCAGTTCGCCCACACATCCCTCCAGCGTGACCGACATATTGGCGAAGGAGTGTCATACAAAGTATCGCGATGCGTTCACAGAGACACGAAAAGGGTATATGCTGTCAAACAGGCCAAACTCCCATCTGCGGCTAGTGATTTTGAGGCTTTTGAGCGACAGGTTACGTCTGTACTAAAAGACGTTGAGGTGAGCTCATTTGATACTTTCTACGAAGGGTTGACTTGTAATGGCACTTGGCCTTGCCTCATACTTTTAGAGTTGGCCTGTCATACTAACTAAAGCTTGGTGTAGGTGATGTCCCATGTTGGCAGAAAAAAGAATGTCCTAAATATACTTGGGTATGGATGGAGTCTGGATAAGGATAACCACATCCCGTTCCTAGTTACTCAGTTTGCTGAGGGTGGGACACTGAGAAACTTCTTGAAAAGCTCTCGGACTGGGGTCCAGGATAAGATCAAGCTTTGCCGCGACGTGGCTCAAGGCCTCCAGGGCCTGCATTCGTGTGGGATCGCGCATGGTGATCTCAAGCTCGACAATGTTCTCGTTACCTCGTGGCTGGACGAAACTGCGTCAGTAAATGGACTCCACAGTAATAGCCAAGAGCCGTCGCATCTGTCCCACATCGAAGTTTGTATTTCTGACTTCGGCCACTCTCTACTAATTAGTGATAGAGATGAGGATGACTGGCAACAGTACGGCGGAACTCTAGCTTATAATGCTCCAGAAATATCTGGTGAACATCAAGGGAAAGAGCAAACCTTGGATTTTGCCCAGTGCGACATTTGGTCACTCGGCTTATTGGCCTGGGAGATCTTCAAAGATGGCCATACGTTCTATAGCCACTCCAGTATCCGAGCTGCAATTCTCTCCGACATCCCTGCATCGTCAACATCTCCTTCTCATTCTATTGGTAAAACTCCAATCACTGAAGGAACCTCAACCACCATACCACTACAGATTCAGAGCTCAAACGCGAAAACCATAGAAAACTTGAACAACGCAGCCGACCAGTTCTTCGGCATCGCCTGTAAAGATATCCAAGAGCATCTGGGTCAAAGCATTGATCCGAGAACAATGAAGCATATTACAGTCATGCTTCGGATGTCTCTCCAAATGGACCCACAAAAGCGTGCATGCAGCACTCTGTTGACCCCACTGCTAGATGAGGGCGCGGGGTATCCATCAAGCGTGCTGAAGAGCCCCCGCTATACCGATTACAACCAGCCAATTGCGTGGTCATTTGAGGTATTTTTATTTATCACCACTTACACGTACCTATTTCTATATGCCCAAGTCACTTACAGTCATGGCAGATACTTCAGCAAAAAGAGAACATCCCATATGAAGCAGCGGTGCAAATTCTAAAAGATTGGAAGCGGCTAGCTACGCAAGTGGCGCAAAACCATGACACCAGTATCGACGTGTCACCTAGAGCATCGCTTCAGATTGCCTTGGCATATATGTGCGGATTCGGGGGCCCAGAATCTACATCGGAAGCCGTGAAATAGTTTTCCAAAAGCGCTTTGGAGAAACTCGACATCGCACAAGATTTCCTGCCATTTATCAGTGCGAGGTCCAGATATGAAGATGAAGGGTGTTCTAACGACCATTCTGGAGTAGAGGACGCTCTGTTGGCCTATACAGAGTGCGTACGTGCAAGCTATCGTAAGAAGTTTGAAAAACGCTATGCTGAGGAACACGAGAACTACATCGCTCTCTTTAGCGGCATACACGAAGGATCCAATTTCTCTACTGCAAAATTGTCCGCAAACAGTCTGACCAGAGCGTTGCGGTTTTCTTGCATGCTTGGAAATCCCAAAGCCACTATTGCTCTCTTGGATAATGGCGCCGACCCAACGGTTTCCGATTCCAACGGTGTGTGCCCGCTGCATTGGCTCTTCATGTTCCCTGACTCGGTCATCCCAGCCATGGCCAAACGGCTATATATTCAAAAAGACGCCAAGGTATCGTCCAAAGAATCCTTCCAAAAGGTTTTTAACACTAGTTTTGCGGACAACTATGAAGCCGCAGTGAATACTGCATGGAAACATATGCGCATTCGTCTCGAGTCCTCTTTGATCGAGGGCTGGGGAAACGCTATGGGCGATGAAAACCGAGGATGGCTTAATGAGTTCCAGGCAGCACGCGATACATTCCTACAGAAGATGCGCGACAAAGTAAAAGAGTCATTCAATCCGAGCTGGAACGAAATATTCGGAGAACCACGTATGAAGGAGTTCAACACCATCTTCGAAGACTCGCTCCCAGCAGCTGCAAAGAAATCCAACATATCACCAACTACAAAATTTTCATTCAGCATTGACCCACAGCTGCCTATTGGTCTGACCGGCACGCCTTTAGCCTTTGCTACTATGGCTCGATCCGCCCCTACAGTGCGTGCTTTATTAGACCTCGGTGCTAGTCCACACTGCTCTGGGCATCTATGCAGCCCAGGGCCATGTTGCAGGGCTTCAGCGTGGTATATTGCATGTGCGTTGCACATGACCGACATTCTTCGTATTTTCATTGAAAATAATACTCTGGACAACGTCAACAAACTTGGTCCTGGCTCCGAATTCGACAAGCCACTGGATAAACTGCAAGCTATGTTTGCATTGTTCAAATTCTCATCTGAGGCGATATATGCTGAGACAAAAGCCACACAGTTATTTCACCATGGTGCAATGACGCGAGATGCGGCGAAGGAAACAGCAAAGATTCTTTTCCATCACTTCCTTCCTCACGTCGAATCTCTTGCAACCTACGACCTAAACGAATGCCAAGTGGAGATGGACGTCGATGCGACCAAGTCAGTAACACTCCCGAGGATACTGGAGCAACTCTGCCATCCTACTATTCGAAGCGGCAATATCGAGGCAATCCACACGATATTGTCTATCATTCGTGAATATGCCCAGGACATACCTTTCAAGCGTGAAGATCTGGACAACCTGTTCTTCCTTTGTACCGATGTTGCATGCTCTTCTTCTTTCAGCTGGCACGATACCTTGGCCGTCCTCCAGGTCGGCCTTGATTTGGGTGTTGACATCGACTGCTCGCGAGACACACCTTTCACCAGAAGACCCATCAATATTGCCATCGGTTATCAGAGCCTTGACGTTGTCGAGTGGTTTATCCAACAAGGAGCGAGCCTCTCAGCACAAGACCTGGAGGGCAATACGCCAGTACATCATATGGTCTCCACTCTATCAGCGTCGGTTTTTGACCGGGTGAAATTGAAAAATCTTGTTGCATCAGTCGGTGTGCAAAACTTGCATGGCATCACACCTCTCCAACAAGCCATTATTTCACGCAGGACTGAGGAAGTTGCGATTCTGCTGGACCACTTTGTACGGTCTAATATCGAGACTGATTATCAATCGCTTCTTCAAACGGCGGCCGGGATTGACAAGGACTTTGAGGCTGTCCCACTTGTCTTGACACACGCGGCCAAAGCAAACAAAGCTTCAACGCTTTGTCTGGCACCGATCCTGGAAATTGCCGTGTCAAAAAACTCTTGTGACGTTATCCAAACCCTGCTGGACGTTGGTGCCGACATACACGCGATCCATAGTTCAGGATTGTCTTTCTTTCATCATGCTGTCGGGGAAGGGAGGGCTGAGGTAACAAAAGCCTTCCTACAATCCGGAACAGTGTGTGTGGACCAACTATGCAGCGACCTGGCGGCGCTGCAGCAGGCCGTAATTACTTCAATTGGATCCAAGAGGACCGAGACTGGGCGAAGCAGAGTGCGTGAGTGCACTGAACTTCTCATCAATGCAGGACTTGATTTAAATCTTAAGGGCCAATATGGAACAACTATCCTGAAATCCCTCGTCAGATGGCCCCATGGAGATGACAGAACATCTCTTCTCAAGCAGATGATCATTAAAGGGGCTAATCCACACGCGGAAGGCGAGGATGGGAACAGCTTATTCCAGAAGGCCATTGCGGCTGCTGATTTTGAATTGACACAATGCCTTCTCGACTCACAGCCCCAAGAATATGTCAACGGCCACAGACAGACGCTGTTACACATAATTGCCGCCAACACACCAAATCATGGTGTCACGAGCAAGAAGCAAGCCGATGCACTTTATCACATAGTGCAGAAGGTTGTCCTGAGAGGCACAAACCCTTTCCTTGTTGACAATAGTGGCTGCACAGCCATGGAAGTGGCAGTGCTGTCTAACAACGATTCCCTTTGCTCTATTTTTCTCCAAACATCTCGAAAGTTGATTGACGGCAATTCCTCCAAAGATTGGCAGTCGCTGTACATGACTTTGATCGACCGTGCATGGCGACGGGCAATCGAGTTCGCATTATGGGGACCAGTATGCGCTTTCATCGAAAATGGGTTTAAGGGTTCTCTGGCTCCTATTGACCCAGCGCATGCAGTCAAGCTTTTCGAGTATGCCATTGTGCGCAAGAAATCAGAGGTATTTCTCCAGCTACTTGGCCATGCTGATGGGAAAGTTCCTGAGTTAGACTTCGTCTGCAAAGATCCGCATATGAGTACAGCTTGGGACCGTATCCGCGTTGACTTGGGAATGGATTTCCGTTTGAGAAGACTGTTCAAAACAGAAAAAATAGTAGCTACGTCCCCGTCAGGCCTTAAAATGCGGGACAAACCGGCTGAAAGAATAATCCGCCTATCAAGTGGACAAGAACTGCGGTTTCCCGTCCGCTCTTCCTCAAATTTCGCGGAGTAAGGAATAACCCCTTTACATGCTACCTACCTTTACTTGTCAGCGTTGAAGGCTTTTATGTAGGTATATTAACCCTTCTACTGGCTACACCCAAAGATATGATACTAACATACTATATAGTTGGAGCGTTTGCTTTTACTGCCTTGTAAATAATCTGTCCAAAATTACTATATCCTTTTCACAGAATCCCGTAACAAAGGCTTGACCACGGATGTCACCAATTCTGTATTAAATTAATACCATGAATATCAGCGGCAATAGCGTTAATGTACTTCTTTCACGATTTCGTAGTTCGAATAAGCTTCCCCAAAGGGAAAGCAGATTCTACTTAAACATTACGCTCTTAAAGTCTTTAACCCCCTCGTACCTCAATAAAGAAGGCCACATTTTCTGTCCATCACCTCCGCAGACCCTTCTACCCATCAATCAACCTCAACCCAACTCATTCACCTATCTAATATACACCCGGCACAATCCTGTACCTCACAATGCGCTTATACCTCTCCCAATCCTCACCATACTTCGCCTTGCAATGCTGATCGTCCCTACGATCGCGATGGATCAGCAAAATCGCAAAATACACGACGTACATATACGTGAACAGCATGCCCCATCCCCCCGCAGCAGGGACGACCTCGCGGCCATCCCTCATCGTGAACGCAGCCTCCCCTCCCTCCCCAGCGCCCAGGATAGCATACCCGGCGATGCCGGTCGGCAAGGAATACGGCCACGCCTGCAGCCAGTCGCCAAAGTAGTTCATGTGGCGGGCCAAGCCCCACCAGCCCGACACCAGCAAGCGGCTGCCGGACTTCGTCTCAATGAACTTGAGATGCCGGACCTTGGGGTCGTTAGGGTCGCGCCTGAAGGCGTTCTTCTGCGCATTGCTGGCGCGGAAAACGTAGTAGCCGGTAACGAGCAGCACGGCCACAGCCGCGAGGCCCCACGGACCCAGCGACACCGGGTGCGTAGCGAGGTAGCGAGTCTGGGAGGAGTAAAAGAAGGGCACCCAGACGAGGTCGCCGAACGCGAGCATGGTGCCGAAGCCGTCGGTGGTGAGGTCCATGGTGGTCAGGATAGCGGGCTCCATGAAATGGCTGTCGAGGACGTAGAGCGCCTGCACGAGCGTGACGAAGACGATGCCGTCGGAGACGAAGCCGAATGTGCGGAACTGCTTGGCGACGAAGGCGCAGTTGAGCAGGATCCAGCCGAGCAGGCCCGGGTGGACTTCGCACCAGGCCTTGATGTCGATTTCGCCGATGAGCGGGAGCAAGACGCGCGGGTTCAGCTCGCGCCCGATGAACCAGTCGTACAGGGGGTTGTTGGACTGGCCGCCGGCGGCGAGGAGGCGGAGGTGCGGGTCGTTGGGCTTGATGGCGAAGGAGCGGAGGTAGACAAATGTGGCGAGCGCGAAGGAGATCAGGATGTTGGCTGTCAGGATCTGGAGGTAGTTGTCTGCGATGAAGGTCCAGACGGGGAAGTCTGCGCCCTGGGCGAAGGTGCCGGCGGCGCAGACGGCCAGGGTGAACATGCTTGAGGCGAAAGCTGCGAGGAAGTCAGCTTTTGCGTGCGCATTGGGTGGTTTGGCCAAGCTGACCATTAAACCGGTACTTCAGCCGGCCGCCGTTGGCCAGCTTGGTTCCCTCGACCTCGGTGGCGGGCAGGAAACGGTACAGCACGAGGCTGAACAGGTAGTACGCCAGCACCCACTTCATGGCGTACCAGCTTCCGAGGCCGAGGACGCCCTCTTCAGGCCATCCTACCTCTTTCTTCAGCCGGTCCAGCGTCAGAGTCGAGGGGTGCAGGAGAGAGGGCGCAGGGCAGCCGGAAACATCGTTGCAGGCGAAGTTGAAAATGTAGAGGAACACGGGGAGGCCGAAGCTGATCAGGAATGCACCAGGACTGGGGTTTGTCAGTTGTTGGTTCTGAGACCGTGATGCGGCGGCATAGGGGGCTTACGGTCCGAGAAACTCGTACTCGTGCGGCTTCTCCGCCGTGTGACCCATTATGAACGCAATTGAAGCCCGGGGCTGGTGTGGTGAAGTTAAAAGTCTGTGAAGAGGCATTTGGCGGAATTTATCGTCATTGGTCTTTGGCTCCGGAACGCTTCCTTTCCGGGTGGGCTGATTTTGGTCGTGGCCTGAAGAGGTAAAGCGTCGGAGGATTCGTCTTCCTCCGGCCAGCGCACGGCTCCGTAGACAGCCTGGCGTCGACAGTTGCTCGCAGCATCAGTCGCCGGAGATTTTGCGTTGTAAAAAAGCTTCGTCATTTCCCCGGTCTATGGCGTTGGAATCCGGGGTAGAAGTTTGCTCTTACCTTCTCGGGCCCCTTTCCGTCCCCTGTCACCGCTAAGCTACCCGGATAACTGTGTCCCTTACAGATGCACAAGGGACCCTGGACTGCCAAACCGTTCTCCTGGTTTTATCAGCTGAGAAACTCATCACGTTTCCCTTAACGCAGTATAAGAACACGATCGGCTGGGATTGATGCCTATTGCGGAGTGTCGCAATGCGAATTTCTCAAGGGTGTCAGAATCACATGCAGTCAAAAACACGACATAGGCAGAAGCTACGGCGCAGATTCCGAACAACTCACCAAAAAACGCCCTTCAACTCCGCCCTACGCCTTCCTATGTCTAAGCTCAAGACGTTGCGTACACAGCTCGGCACGGCCCGAATGACCGCTCTCGGATGCCGTGCCTGCCGTGTGATCCGAGTGTCTCCAAGCAGGACTCGTCACTAGGGCTGCCGTGCTTCCGCCTTCCGTTCCGGTTTCCGATCGTTGTGCCGATGGGTCGTTGATCTTCGTTTACTTTAAATCAAACTTTGTCCGCTCTTCGTATTGTGAGCTAACGTGCCTGTCTCTCCCTCGCGTGCGTCCTCCAGTCGCTTGCTTTCCGTAGCGCTTCAGTCTTGTTGATTGTGCAGCCTTGTCGCTCGTGCACAGCTGCCATTGCCATCATGCTCGGATACTTTAAGGAAATCCTCGACAGTGCGCCGCGCGAGCCGCTAAATTGGCGCCTTTATTATATCATAACATGCTTTGGCTTCATGGGAGTAGCCAGAGGTGGGTCCATATCAAGTACTGTACGCGATTAGGCAGTAGGCTAAGAACATTTCAGGTCTTGACGAAAGCCTAGTTGCCGCCATGCTGATTCAGAAGTCCTTCGTCCATGATTTTGGGTTGGATTTGATGAGTGCAAGCCGAAAAGCAGACGTCACTGGTAACATCACGTCTATCGTTCAGTTAGGATCTCTTGCCGGTGCTCTCATGTAAGCTGTCCGAACCGGTCCTTGTTGTCTTCTGGCTAATTCTCTTTAGTGCGTTTATCATGGGCGATGGCGTTGGCCGGCTGTGGATTGCCCGTGAAATGTGCACCATGTGGCTCGTTGGCGTCATCGTATACATGACGAGCGATGGCCAATTAGGATGGCTGTACGTTGGTCGTTTCATCCTTGGGATAGGCCTCGGCCAGATGTCCATCGTCGCTCCAATGTATCTCGCGGTAAGTGGCCATCTCCCGTTGTGCAGCATTCCGGGGAGTAATTTGGCAGACGTTCTGTGCGCATCTGCAAGTGAACCTGAACCAGATCGAGGACTAATCGTTACTGTCCCATATTTTTCAAAAACTACGATCCTCCACTCCACAGTTTGCCTGCGTAATAGCTAATTCTCCGATAGGAATGCGCTGAAAAGTCAGTTAGAGGATTTGCCGTATCTCTTTTCGGAGCCACGGAGTATTTCGGAATGGTTTTGGGATACTTTGCGAGTTATGGAGCTGCTGTTCATCTTCCCAACAGCTACTCCAAGCAATGGGTAGGTGAAGCTTTGCTCGAAGATCCCTGTCATTAGCATATATCCCATGAATGCTGACAAGGAAAAGGTTATTCCGCAAGTCGTGCCCATCATTTTTGCAGCCATAATCCTCGCCCTCCTCGCTTACGCACCGGAGTCTCCACGGTATTTGATTAATGTCGGAAAGGAAGAGCGCGCCGCAGAGGTTCTATCATGCCTCAGAGGCTTGCCAATAGGCGATCCCGCTCTTTCCGATGAGCTCAGCGACATCCGCGCACAACTCCAGCAAGAGAACTCAGTCAGGCTGAGCACACGCTCTGTCAGCGCCATGAAGGAACTCGTCAGCGAGCCAGGTAACCGTTATCGTCTCGTCGTTGCCATTACTGCACAACTCCTCACACAATGGTCCGGCGCAAGCAACATCACGCTCTACGCCCCGGAATTCTTCGCCATCCTAGGAGTCCCCGGCCACAACCAAAAGTTGCTGTACACCGCGATCCTCGGCATCGTGAAGTTGGTCGCCTCACTTCTCTTTGCAATTTTTGTTATCGACCTTCTGGGCCGCAAGCGCAGCTTGATGGCTGGAATATCTCTCCAGTTTGTCGGCATGCTGTACATCGCGGTGTTTCTGACCGTAGTGCCATCCGCGACTGACGGCGCTGTGCACAGCCCTTCACAGCGACATGCAAGCACCGCAGCCATCGCGTTCATTTACCTTTGCGGCACCGGCTACGCGATCGGCTGGAATTCGATGCAGTACCTCGTTAACGCAGAAATCTTTCCGCTCCGTGCTCGCGCGCTGGGCATGTCCGGCGTCATGGTCCTTCATTTTGCGAACAGGTACGGAGCCAACAAGGCGCTTCCAGAGATGCTGCTCGATCGCGCGCTTCAGCCGCATGGAACATTCTATTTCTTTGCTGCGGTCACTGCTCTTGGGCTGGCCTGGGTGTGGGGTTTCCTGCCGGAGTTGGCGGGGAAGAGCCTGGAAGAGACGGACGCGGTGTTTGAGCTGCCTTGGTACAAGATTGGGCGATACAGAAGCAGGTCTGAGAACATGCCCGATCGCGAAAATGCGGCTTCTGTGATGTCGAACAAAGAGCGTTCGGAAGACGCGACACGCGACACGGCGGTGGATGTTTCACGAAGGATGGACGACCGAGGCTGAAACACAAGAGCCCGCTTCCCCACTTAAAATTTGGCAACACAATTGCCTGACCTCACTTCAAACAACCACGACTACAAACGCTCCAGAACGCGATTATGTCATGTCGCAGCGGCATCGTGACGGCATTCACCCAAAAAGCCATCCGCTCGGAACTTGACCGCGTTTCCGCGCTATCGCGGCTTGCGTAGGAAATGACGACGTACCAGTACGAACCTCTTCCGGGCACAGATCAGAAGCACATTCGCCTGTTGCAGCTCTTGCCAGGATGCGAGGAAGACCCTGTCCGTTGCTCGATCCAAGCCGAGCACATCGACAATGTGCCCCGCTACGAAGCGGTCTCGTACGTGTGGGGTGATCGATCGGACACCGCGGAGGTGCTCTGCCACGGAATGCCTTTATCAGTGCCGGCAAATCTCGTCGATGCCTTGCAAAGGTTCAGGAAGAAAACGGATCCTCGAATGCTCTGGGCGGATGCTATTTGCATTGACCAGAAAAACATCAAAGAGCGCGGGGAGCAGGTGCCGCTCATGGGAAAGATCTTCGAAGGTGCCAAACGAGTTCTTGTTTGGCTCGGGCGCGGTGAAGACTTCAACCCGCAGGAAGGTTTCGATTTGGTGAAGAAATTAGCCGTAAAGGTTGTGGAGGTGCCCTTAAAAGATGATCTCGACAATGTCTTGATGGAATACCCTTCTGAAGCCTGGGAGGCGTTCTCCAAAATCATGTGGCTCCCGTGGTTCAACCGCATGTGGGTTCTTCAAGAAATCGGGCTGGCTTCCGATGCACGGGTGTTTTGTGGCAAAGCTGTGGTATCCTGGGATGCCTTGCAAACGGCTTGTTTCCAACTTCATTTTCGTACAAGGAGGATCAAGTTGCATTATTCACTTCACTTAACGCCAGTAGTGAGAGTGCTTCGCATCCGGTTCAAAAATGGCGAAGACATGGACGTTAGAGCTGTGCTTCACAGGGCACGTCATAGAGAAAGCTCGGATCCAAGCGACAAGGTGTACGCATTGCTCAGCCATCCGGCTTTCAAGAGAGTCTGTTTCGCAGAGGGGTTGGAGTCTTTGATACCGGTCGACTATGCCAAGTCGTGTGCCGATGTCAATCTCTCTCTTGCTGGAAAACTGTTACAGCAACCTGAACCACTTCGCCTCTTATCCCACGTTATACACGCGGATGACTTCTCCCAAAGCGACCCGGAATCTCCGTCATGGGTTCCACGATGGGATGATTGGCTGGAAAACGTCTGTTTCGATTGGAGTCCAAGGCCATTCTTCGAAGCCTGTTCCTCTGTTCCGTCGGAGTTTTCGTTGCACGGTTCTGTACTTGACGTGAAGGGTCTCATCCTCGACAGGATACTGTGGTGCTCGAAACTTTTCGATGAAACGTCGTTTTTGAAGCCTACAAATACTTTGGAAGCAGCTGCTGAACCATTGAAGAGTATTTGGCTGCGATACAGCGAGGTTGCGCGTGAAAGATCAAAAACAGAAGAGGAAGCGTTTGAGGCGCTCTCTTTGACATTGAACGCTGGTGGGATTGTCAGGCGCACGGGTAATGAGAGAGCTGCATTAACAAACACTGAAAGGATTGCGGATGTTTTAGCAAACTTCGAAAAGCTAGGGATTGAATTTGAAGCCAAGGAAAGTCTCCAACAGCGGTACGGGACTGGTGGTGATTGCTTTCAGTTTGTCGAGACAACGCGCGGTGTCTGTCTACACCGGCGGGTTTTTATCACTGCAGACGGCCATGTTGGCATCGGGCCATCGCTCACGAAGCCTGATGATGTGGTTTGCGTTTTGTTTGGCGGGCGTGTCCCTTTCGTCCTTCGGAATGGGTCTGGTACAAGAGAATATCTGCTGTGCGGCGAGAGCTACCTCCATGGATTTATGAATGGAGAAGCTGTAGCCATGTGGGAGGATTGCGAAATAGCGGCAACCTTTCTCAAGTTGGTCTGAGAAGCAAGTAGGTTTGTTTGAAGCATGTCATTGAAAATGTCTTACGGGAAAAGATGCGATCCGCTGTCTCACCGATCTGCTTCGATTCTGCTTTTTTGTCGAGGGTCTGGAGGCACCTCTGACGTCCAACGGTCAAGCCGCATCGCTGCTGAATCCGTCAGTTCCCGTTCGATCCGGGTCTTCAGCTTGATACTTTTGTTGGGGTCGATGTGGTGTCGCGGCTGCCGCAGCTCCTGCCTTAAACAAAATCAGAGCCCTCGACAAACAAAGAAGGCGCCTTCCTTTGAAGTATTCTCGTCGCGCTCCGACCAACAACTTCGTACCTAATCAACATTCGTCATCCCGCTCAACCTTTCACCTTCACCTCACCTCTCAACATCATCCATCATGGATGACTCAGATACTTCATGCTACAGTATCTTCAACTGTGCCGAGCAATGTGACTTCGACTCGATTGGTGACCTCGAAGAAGAGGCTGGCATGAAGATCTACTCCACCACGAGCGAGGAGAAGATTGCAGTCAAGCACGCCCTCAACGCCGGACTTCTAGAGACTTTGTACATGAGGTACTATCTGATCTATGATGACGACGGCACGCGCAAGCTCATCCTCCTCGTTGCGATGGCCATGAGGGTTGGTGCAGACATCAGCCGCTTGATGAAGGCTTGCACGAAGCGCCAAATCCGTGAAATCAAGAACGACTTAATGACACATCCCATAGCGCTCAAACAGATGAGTATCGCTCTTGAAACTTACGTCTCCGGAGAATGCTATGACTTCGACAATCCCAGCATCGAGGAGGTTTTCGAACGCTTGTAGGACACCACCATGTTTGAATGATTTGCAAACCCTTGTTGACCATTCACTACAGGGTTGCTGAAGAAGAGGCCCATGAGAAGGCTGTCTCCGAGCTTGTGGCCAAGGGTTACGACGAGAAAATGACCGAATGTAAGCTCGACCTCGATGGGCGCGAGTCCGAAGTCAAATCCACCTAGATCATTCCACGACTGCGATTGCGGCTTGACCTCTTGCCTACTGGCTGACTTCGACACCACAAAAACGGGAGGATGGGAGTAAGGCGTATCTGAGATTATTTGCTACGGTTAAAAAGGCTGGTTGCGTGGCGGGAAAGCTCACATCAAATGCTCCATCGGTGAACGACTTGCTATGGTACAAGGGATAAATTGCACAAGAATCAAATAATATGACTTGCTCCAAAATAGTTTGATCGTGCTTGATCATCTTGGCCAAAGACAACTAGCTCTCATTCCGCGTAGCGTTGGTCGTGTTATCGGCACTCAGCTCATGGACGCGTGCTCCAGTAGATGTGCCGTCCAGTTCTCGTGGCGGTACAGGTTCGGCAGCTAATTCCCGTGGATGGTCGTACAGCTCCGAGATCTCTGCTCCGGCCACAGGTAACTCAGCCTTCTCTTCCGAAGTTTTTCGCAATGCTTTTTCTGCTTCCTCTTCGGCCTGACGTCTCCTTTGTTTTCTCCGGCGCAGCATCCACCAAACGAAAACTATGGTTGCAGCCAAGACGACGGCGGGTATGGTTGTTGCCAGGGTGATGATGGCGGTTGAACTGAGTCCGCTCTCGGATGCAGTGTTGGCCGAAATGCCAACTGTACGGTCCGCTTCCTTCCACTTCAGCTGTATAAGTGGCGCTTGGAGATGTAAAGAGTTGGCAACTAAACCATCATCTGATGTATATGGTATGGTAAAGGGTGAAGCGTAGTTAACGCGTATGGTTGAAGACATGCACGCTGCTACAGACAGAACCGTGGAATCAGTTTCGGCTATGCAGCTTTGGTAACCACCGGTGTTGGCACACGAATAGCCTCTGTAAGCATCAGTTGATGAGTCTCAGGCAAATTTATTCAAGATAAAGCACTTACGAGGGGCAACAACCCACTGCTGTTTCTTTTTCCGATGGTGGAAACGCGAAGCTAAACGCTCCGGATGCATTTTCCCCAAATATAGAAGTGCAAGCACTTGTATAGTTTTTCGGACAGATAACTCCAGGAGAATAAAAGCCAACCGATGGTGTCTGCTCTTTTTGGCCAGAGCTAAGTCTAGGTGCTCCCAAAGGCCAACATTTCCTCTGATAGGGTAGAACGATTGTACCGCAGTCTACGGCCTGGTAAGCGGTAAAGTCGGAAGAGTTATAGCCAGCAAACATTAGGGGCATTGCACAATCATCTGGAAACTTGAATGCCGTTGTCAAAGGACCAATTAAGTATTCATTTATACTCTTTGTCTTTTCCTGGTCTGATGGCAAGGTTACACTCGGTATCCACTGGCATCGAAGTCAGATTTAGATTCCTACAAAACATTAAAGATAATTTTTTTTAAAAAGCTCATATACTTACTAGTGCATTATCACCGGTTAGAAGTGGAGGCTTATAGGGCCCAGAGACTGTAGATCCATACGGAGGCCTTATATAAATCGTTACTAAGCTCGTTGTTGACTTTGTTGCTAGGCTTGCTGCGGACTCTTCCCAAACTGTATCTGAAGCTGATGCGGGCGTTATGGAAGTAACATGTGTAGTAAACGGAGAAGGGGACATCTTTTCTGGTGCGTTGTCGTAGTTGCTGTTAACCTGACACAAATCGTTGCTTCGCTTCTAAAGAATAGCTCGGGAATCCCGTCTTGTAATATAATCACCCTGCAAGGCTGCCAAGCTCAGCCACACGAATAATAGTGGTGATACAAGTGCGGGCAGCTTCATACACGAGAAAAAGACATCCCAGCTCAAGGCATGAAGTTGCTTTTGGATAAAGCAGTGATACGTTCTGTGCACCCGAACGGCCTATCAAAGCTCCGTGGCGTCATTCATGTGCCACAGCCTTCTTGCCTGAAACCCCAATTCTGTTTCTTGCACGACTGAAATAAGGCAAATTTACGGAGCGGCACGCTGCATTTTGGCGGATGCGCACCACTAGACGACGTGCAACCCGCGATTCACGAATTGCCCCGCTCTTCAGCCTTGAACCGGGTAGGCGCCTATCGTATAGAAAGCGCATGCGGTAGGCAATTAATTGAGAGAGATACTAGGTACATTAGTCGCTCACAAAAAAGTGCATGTTGAGCCAGTTAAACTGGTTTTGTTTCAAAATGCGTAGCTCTGTCTCTCCCTCTCTTATTTCTCTTTCTTGTATCTCTCTATCTATCTCACTACTAATTATCTCTCTACCACTCTCTCTTAATTATCCAAACACTTCATTTCCAATCCACTTTCTAATTCACTAGCTAGCTAACCAAGAACAGCTATCCGAGTAACCTAAAGCCGCAGGAACCAAAGATCTAGGTACAAATATAATAAAGCACGATTGGATTATATTTAATATACTAAAAATAATAAATATATAAACAAAAACCTAATAACCTAGCCCCGTAAGACTACAACAACCAAACACCCTCCTTACACCTAAAACCCACACAGCATCTTCCCCGCCGAAGATCTACACAACAATCCCTCTCTATCCTAACTCTAAAAGTAGTATAACCTACTCCTCTCTCGCCTAAACTACTCTAAAACCACGAAAAGACTAGTAGTATAGCTATAGCTATAAAAGCAGGCCCTAGATATTTATACACCCCTATTTCGACTATATATACACCCCCCTTAACCGCCTGCCTAATCGAGTAATAACTCGGCAGAAAGTTAACTTCGCGTCTTTACGTCCGCATCTTGCAAAAACACCTCGCGCCTACGTACCTACCCATAACTATATCCTATAACTATAATTATACTAGTAGCTCTACTAGCGAAGAGAGTTTGCCGCAGTACTACTAATACCTCTAGTAGGCAGCCTAAGTAAGTTATAATTAATAGTAACGACGACGAAGATAGCGAGGACGCAGGAGCGATCGCGCGCGTAAAAGAGTAACGCTTATAATATATAATAACTCGAATAACTACGGGCTCCCTGCTTACCGCGCTGTAATAGTAAGGTTAGAGATATCCTCGCGCGGCACCGAAGGCAACTTTCTGCCTAGTTATTACTCGATTAGGCAGGCGGTGGTAAGGGGATGTACATGTAGTCGAAATAGGGGTGTACAAATATCCGGGGCCTAAAAGTAAGCTATTTAAGTAAGTAGGAGATACTTACCTATCCCTTCCGAGCCATAAAAAACGAAAAAAGGAGACAGAAGGCAGAAGACAAAAAATTAAAAAAAAATATAGAATCCGAAGCGGAAAAGAAACGGGAGTAAAAGCACCTAATCCCTTACCTCACTAACGACGACGACTAAGCATGGAAGGAAAGTTATCAGCGTATTGCTGTTGCATATATAGCGCTAGGCAGGTAAGTCTATTCCCACCCCACCCCATCCCATCCCATCCCATCACCTCCACGTCACGTCACAAACCAGCCCCTCGCCAATTACATTTAACGCCTCACCCACTCTCCTCTCCGCACCAGTCCCTGTACCCGTCTATTTACTGCTGCCGTATCCTATGCAGGACTGACCGCTTCCCTGCCTCAGTGAATATCTTGCAGGCGAGAACATCTGGAGGATACAGTAGGTGAGTAGGCGAGGTGGGTTGATAATGCGTATTTTCCCAACTAACCCTGCAATCAGGTACCTAGGTATTTTTACAGCCACGGCCGTGGACTCCTCTTCCCCTCACACACACGCACACACTCAATCTTCCCTCGCTATCAACACCAACACTCCCTCCCCCTCAACCACAGCGCACGCTCAATCATTTCCTCTCAAACGAGACCTTGCCATCCTTGTCCACACTAGCAAACGTAGCAGCATGCCCCTCCTCGCTCTTACCATCATCCTTCGCCACCTCCCCCACCGCAGAACCATGTCCAGACTCCTTCCTCGCACCAGCCTGCAGCGCATCAGCGACGACGCCCGCCGGCGCGTCCGCAATCTCATTGACGTCGCGCGTCGTCAGCGAGTCCGACAGGCGCGCCGCGCGCGACTGCAGCAGCAGCGTCGTCGGGCCCTGGAAGCGCACGAACAGCCGGTCGCCCCACACGGTGCGGCGCGCCCAGGTGCGCAGCGTAAAGCTGCCCTGCGCGAGGGTCTTCCACGCCGCCGATTTGCGCATCTCGGCGATGAAGCGGCCCAGGCCCGTGTTTGCGGGGAGGAGGGCGCCGAGGCCGAACGAAGGGATCTGGAGGCGCAGCGAGGTCGACTTGAAGCGGTAGGGCTGGGGCGGGGCGGACGTCATCGTGTAGGCGAGGACGTTGCTGTGGGTTGGTTAGTGGATGAGCTGCTTCGACAATGCGCGCAGGTATAGGGTTCTTACCTCGGGTGCACGATGTATTCTTCGCCGGCCTTCAGCTGGACCTGGTAGACTTGGCCTCGGCCGGCCAGAGCGAGCAGGCCGCGGCCCGTGACGTGGGAGCTACCCCAGTGCGCCAAGCTCTTTGTCGGTCAGTGAGCAAGTCTGAGCACGCGAAACGCGTCGCGTAGAGCGAGAGCGAGAGAGATAGCGTACCATCTTGGTGTTGATCTTTGGGCGGACGGACAGCGAGTGGCCGGTCCACGCCAGCAGCGCCTGTCGTTGCGCAACCACCCAGTCTAACCTGCCATCGAGGTGTACGACGGCGAAGGAGGTGATGGGCGACTTGGTGGAGATTAGGGCGGAGATGGGGCTGGTTGAGTTTATCCGCTGGTAGAGGAAGGGAATGCCGAGAGCGGCGCGGCGGAAGGGCTCGAGGAGGGAGAGGGTGGAGACGGTCTGCGGCGGGAGTCAGCGCCCAGGTCGTGGGTCAATGGGTGAGGTCGCAAAAGGCCTCACGTTCTCGGCCTTGCCGTTGACGGCAACAAGAGTGCCGCGGCGGGTGTACAGGTTCTGCGACGCGGACAGCGAGACGGAGAGGAGCGAGTAGGGCGCGCCTAGGACCTCGAAGCGGGCATCTGGCTTGTTTTAGCGCGTCGAACACGGTGGTGGAGGGCAGGGCGAGCTACCTGCGGTCGAAGAGGCGGCCGCGACATCCTGATCAAAGCTCGGGGTGGTGGAGGCGGGAGTGGCGCTGATGTGGATGGGCCGGCGGGCCAATGGGCGGGCGACGGCGACTCTGCGCGCGCGGCAGACGGCCCTGGAGGTCAGAGGGCGCATGGCGGGGGAGAAGGGCGTGGATTATGGGAGTGGAAATGCAGCAGCTCGAGCGAAGTCCAGCTGGGCCTTTCGGCGAAGGCGTAGGGCTGAAGGATGCAAACACGCCAAGGACGATGACGCCTTTGCTCCCCTGCACCTTGACGTCCCGCATTGCGCACGCATCTCTCCCCTCTTTCTCTCTTTCTTCCCGGAGCAGCCAAGTCGACACACCATGGCCAGCCCGGCGCAGTGCTAAAGCTTCGACATCATGTTGACGCGCCATCTCGTGCGCGGCGCCTGCTCTGGCCCGCCGCGCACCTTCCCACACCTGCCGCCCTGCCGCATCTCGTCCTTCCCCCGCTCTGCCTCGCCTTTTGCCCGCGTCTTCGTGACCAGCAGCCCCCGCCACCAGAATGACCCCAAAGCAGCTCCCATCAATGCCTCTGCCGCCACCAAGCCGGGCACTGCGAAGCCTACCAATGCGAAAACGGCTGCCGACAAGAATGACCCGCTGCTAGCCGAGAAGACGGTCACCAACAAGGAGCAGCGCAAGGCTGACTGGGCCATTATGAAGGAGATGACGCGGTACCTGTGGCCAAAGGTAGGCGCCGAGCCCAATGGAGCTCCAATGCTGCTGTGTTGACGCGGCGCAAAAAAGGACAATCTCGGCACGCGGATGCGCGTGGGCCTGTCGGTGGGCTTGCTGGTCGGCGCAAAGGTTGTATACTCGTTCCTTCTCCGAGTCCATGTACATAACTCTCATACTCATAGCCTTCTTCTCTCAGGTCTTGAATGTGCAAGTTCCTTTCTATTTCAAGAGCATAGTGGACTCGATGAACATTGACTTCCTTGCTGTCGGCGGCACCGCCTGGACCGTGGCCGGCTCCATGATTGTAGCCTGTAAGCTGAGCCGGCCGCCCCGTATGCTGTAGGTAGACGCTGAAGTACATACACCAGACGGCGTCACCCGAATGGGCGCGACGGTATTCCAGGAGCTCCGCAACGCCGTCTTCGCCAGCGTCGCGCAAAAGGCCATTCGCGGCGTCGCCTGCAGCGTCTACGAACACTTGCTCAAGCTCGACCTCAACTTCCATCTCTCCCGACAGACTGGCGGCCTGACGCGCGCCATTGACCGCGGTACCAAGGGCATCAGCTTCCTGCTGACCTCGATGGTCTTCCACGTCCTGCCGACCGCCCTCGAGATCTCGCTTGTTTGCGGTATCCTCGTATGTTTTTGCTCCTCGGCATTGGGCATTAGACAGGGCTAATACGACCAGACGTGGAATTACGGCGCCCAGTTCGCCGTCATCACCGCTGCAACCATGGTCGCATACAGTGCCTTTACCATCCTCACGACGTCGTGGCGCACCAAGTTCCGCAAGCAGGCCAACGCCGCCGACAACAAGGCCGCCACTGTGGCCGTGGACTCGCTCATCAACTACGAGGCCGTCAAGGTATGATACGTCTTTGCAGGAGCAATGGATCCCATGACGAGACAAAGGGGCCGAGTAGGGAGCTAACCCGCAGTGCAGTACTTCAACAACGAAAAGTACGAAGTCGCGCGGTACGACAAGTCGCTGCAAGCGTACGAGAAAGCGTCGATCAAGGTGGCGACGTCGCTGGCCTTCCTCAACAGCGGGCAGAACGTGATCTTTTCGTCGGCGCTGACAGCCATGATGTACCTAGCGGCGAACGGGGTCGCGAACGGGCAGCTGACGGTCGGCGACCTGGTCATGGTGAACCAGCTAGTGTTCCAGCTCAGCGTGCCGCTCAACTTCCTGGGCTCCGTGTACCGGGAGCTGCGGCAATCGCTGCTGGACATGGAGACGCTGTTCAGCCTGCAAAAAGTGAACGTGGCAGTCAAAGACAAGGCGGACGCGAAGCCGCTGGTGCTCACGGGCGGCCAAATCCACTTCGACAACGTCACGTTCGGGTACCGCCCGGACCGGCCCATCCTCAAGAACCTGACCATGACCATTCCAGCGGGCAAGAAGGTGTCGATCGTCGGCCCCAGCGGCTGCGGCAAGAGCACCATCCTGCGCCTGCTGTTCCGCTCCTACGACATCCAGAGCGGCCGCATCACCATCGACGGCCAGGACATCCGCGACGTCTCGCTCGAGTCGCTGCGTCGCGCTATTGGCGTCGTGCCGCAGGACACGCCGCTGTTCAACGCGTCGATTGCGCATAATATCCGCTATGGCGACTTGGAGGCGTCGGATGAGCGGATGAAAGCCGCCGCGAAGAGGGCGAGGATCCATGATATTGTCAGCGCGTGGCCCGATGGGTATGACACGATGGTCGGCGAGCGGGGGATGATGATTTCTGGTGCGTTGCGTTGCTTCCTCCCCCCCCCCCCCCCCCCCCCCCCCCCCCCAACACACACACACATACACGCTCAACAGCAGCTAACACCCCCTCCCCACGCACCACAGGCGGCGAGAAACAACGCCTCGCCGTATCGCGACTCATTCTAAAAGACCCACCCCTGCTCTTCTTCGACGAAGCCACCTCCGCCCTCGACACGCACACGGAGCAAGCGCTGCTCGGGAACATCAACAGCGTCCTGCGCGAGAAGGCGCGCACGTCCGTCTTCGTTGCGCATCGCCTGCGGACTATTTATGATAGCGACGTTATTATCGTTCTCAGGGACGGGCGGGTCGCCGAGATGGGCACGCATGAGCGGCTGATTGATTGTGGGGGCGTGTATAGTGAGCTGTGGAGTGCGCAGGAGACGCTGTTTCAGGGTGAGGAGGGGGAGGGGGAGAAGAAGGGGCTGGAGAGGAGATAGGATTTGTGGGGAGAGTGATGTGGATTATGTTGTTGGGTTGATGTGCGGAGGGGAGAGGGGTTGAAAATAAATTCAAGTTGGACATGTTGGATTTTTGGAGTTGTGGATGCAACAAATGAGTGCGTGGATGAGCCTGTGAGATTCCTAGGTATGTATGATGTCGAAGCACGGCTACGAAGTAGAATCATTGCCGCTACATACACTTCTCAGCTGCCCTCGTCTGCACGGATATCCTCCCAGCAAGCAAGCAAGTCAATCCACCTCCAGCAAAGTCAATCATCCAGTGACGCCTGCCCAAACCAAGCAAGCTACTCCGCCCCCTCACCTCCCTTCGCCGCCTTACACACCTTCTTATGCCTCTTCCAGTCCTTGCGCTGGCACTCACGCGAGCAGTACACGAGCCCATCGGTCAAGCAGCGCGCACAGCGGCGAAGGATCCTGTTGTTCTGAAGTTGCGCCTGCGTCTTGCGGCAAGTATGACAGAAGGGGCCAACACCAGCTTGCTGCTGCGTCTGCTGTTGTTGCTGCCGCTGCGCGGCTTCTTGCTGCTGGCGCGCGCGCATCGCGTTGATGACCACGGAGGGGTCGAGCACGAACTCGTCGGCGCAGCAGCTCACGCGCGGGTACATGTTGATCATGACGTAGTTGGAACCATTGGCCGGCTGCTGCGGGGGGCTTTGGCAAGTCAGTGAGTATGTGCAAAGAGGCTGGGTATGTACTGCACGCAGCGCTTCGTGAAGACTTATCGGGTGGCCATCTCCTCGTAGACGCCAGGGCTGTCGAAGCGATACCACTGTCCAGACACGTACGCCGCCAGCGCCGTCTTTCATCTGCTCGCGGGCCTGGTCGGGGATGCCGAGGTTTGCGTTCTTGGTCTTTGTTTTCTGGAGCAGTTCGGTGCTGATGGTGGCGCCGACTTCCATGGCCAACGCGACGAGCAGGATGAGCTTGTGCGTTGCCACCTCGGCCTCGTACTTGGCGGACAGGCGGGCTAGGAGCCCGCTGTTGAGGGTGCGCTGGGCTGTGGTTTTTTCGGCGTCATTGCGCGTGAAGTGGATGGGGAGGTTGGCGTCGTCTTCGATTGCCTCGATGAGGTCGTACGCGTGGTCTGATTGGAAGAGTTTGTAGCCCCAGTAACCCATGGTGAGCGGTGTTGAGGAGTGAGAGATGAGGGGAGAATGCGGGTTGTCAACGGTGGGTTTATTAATGCGTCGGTGCCTGCCTACCTATGGTGCTATTGTCGTGGTGGGAAGGGGTGCGGCGCGTGTGACTGCACCTTCCCTATGCCACGCGCGCAGGGCAAACACTTTCACAGCAACCAAGCTACGTTCCAATTGATTGCCCAAGCAAACTGTTCAAGATTTATCGATCTTATGTCTTCACCACCAGCTGTTCTAGGGCTAGGTGCTATTCACGAATCTCTGTCGTCGGTTCTGCTTTCCCTCCTGTCTTCGTGCTTCCATTCATCTCTCATAGCCTCGATTATGCTGTACCGCGGCGGCATGTCTCCCGGATAAGGCGGTGCAGCAGAACTAGATGCGCTGGAGCCGTGCCTCAGCTCGTGCAACTCGACCGTGCGTCCTTCTTCAGTGTACGCCGGGAGGAACTTCCAGGTACCGCTGCCCGCTCTGCCGAAGCTCGACCATCGCCTGTTGGTGGTGAAGGGTGACGAGACGTCCTTGTTGCGGAACTCAGTGGAAGTAGGGGACTCCAATTCACAGTCCGGGCCAGCACCGCCGTCGTCGGAACCGTGGTCGTGCGCGGCGATATTGACACCCCTGCGCGACCGGAATGTTTCCTTGATGACCATGAATAGGCCACAGCAGAAGGCAATGACAGCCACGCATGCCCTCAATAGAAGCATGCCCCAGATGGGTATTGTGAGCCCTAGAGCGAGCACCGTAATCTCAACGGTAGGTGCCAGATCTTCCATGATTTTGGTGATGTCTTTTAGCTGTTCCTCCGCCATGGTGATGTTCGCATCACCAGTTGCTCTTATGCTGATCTTCCCCCTCTCAATCCAATGCTTTTTGACTTTTCTTATCTCCTTCCAAAAGCATGTACGCTCTGAAGGCTTCGTTATGTTGTAACCTTCACTGCTGAACTTCCTCGCCAGGCGGCCCGGATACGTGACATACCATTCAGTATGGACGTTGAATGAAATGTTGGACAGCAGTGGATGGGTGAAGAAGATGTTTGGTCCATCGTGATCGTGACATTCGAGCCCCCATTCTTTCGATTTTTTCTTGTCTGCGGCGGGCGAGCCGCCATCGCCAACAATAATGTTGAGTGATGCTAGGCGTCCAGTGTGAGATTCGACAGCTGCAGGCTCATCTCGCGACTGGAGTGTTGGTGGGGCTGCCGGAACCCAAGTAGCGCCGATTTTAGCCTCGCAGGGTTCCGAAGGTGTCTTTTCTTGAGAACCGGCTGTAGGCCGGGAGACCGCAAGCGGAAGGTTGAGGAAGAGAAAGTGAAGATAGGATGAGGGTTTCATTTTGCGAATAGACTTGAATGCGCATCGTGGGAATTGAGGGTAAACTTGGTGACTTTAAGCTGGACTGACCCCCGTCTCCAGCCGACGTTATAATAGTCCATTTTGCTACACTCTGGTCGGCTACTCTAGGTCTTTTGAGGCGCAACGCACCGTCCCTCGCGTGCGGCAGCTCCATTGGTCTCTCCGCTCACCACCAAGGAGCTTGGCTTCACGCAACAACGGAACGCAGCATCATCATCATGCCTGATTTGTAAGTCAACGATCCATGAGAGTAGTGGATGTGCGAGACGGGAAATGGGATGAGATGGATGGATTATGGATATCTCCGAGCGGTGGGCCGGCCCGAGGGAGATGGCTCGGTTGGCTTCTTATCGTGCGCGGGCAGATCACAGACCCCCTCGGACCCAAATCACAGACCATAGACGCGTCCGAGAGCATCGTCGTTGCGGGCTCTTTCTAGCTCACCGTCACCGCCATGGCTTCCTCTCCTTTCCCAGGCCCGCTCGTCCACCTGCAGCCATGCCTTCTGTCTTTTCCTCTGTCCTTCTCGCGCTCAGCGTCTTGTCTCCCGCTCTGGCGCGGTCCTGGGAGCCCGCCAACGACATAACATGGATCGAGAGGAGCCAAGAACTCCTGGTGAAGCTCGATACCCCGGGCTTCCCGCTCCACACTGAGTCTAGGGACACTGCGGCCAACGGTGAAACTGCGCCGTCACCTTCAACCGCCTTCGTCTTCAAGCTGGCTCTGGATGACAGCGGCCGCACGCTTTTGCTCAACGGCCAAGCCATCTTTCCCCTGCGGGACCCGAACCGCCCTGCGGATATCATAGCAAGCCAGGTCTTTGCCAACATCAGCGCGGCCGAGTTCCAGACCTTCGAACAAGACTACATGGTCTCGCCTCATCGGCTCGACTACGACCGCCTGGAGCACACCACGAACGATTCTTATCGATACTACACGACCCTGAGTCTGGACCTCATGGGTGCCCAGGCACCGAAGCTGCACAACGGGGTTCAGCCTGCCCGTGGCTTCCTCGACGACAGCGCACAAAAGACTCTGCAAGTCACGTTGGCCGAGCGGTTCCCCTTCCACTCCAGCCCAGGGACCTACCGCATCGAGAACGTCGAGCTTGTAGACAGGGACCCGTTCTACAGACCACGCCGGCCAGACAACATCTCTGCCTGTTCGTTGTGCAGTTGGCGTTGTGCTGATATCTCCGAAGAGCCGTATTACCGGTTCGTTTGGCGGGACTATTTCGACGCGTTCGGTCGGATAGGCTCGGGACGACACCTCTTCCAGGAGACCCTATTCGATATCTGGCAGCACTGGCAAGACTTCGGAATGATCTATATCTTTACCATTCCCTCCGTTCTGTGTGCCGCCCTTTCGATATACCTGGCAGTCACGGTCTACAAGAACGGTCTTCTCGACCGCCGTGCTTTGTACCAAAACTGGGTTCGTTACCACAACCGTTGGACGCACCACCCGATCGATACATACGTGGAGGAAGGAGACTTCCTTATCCGCAAGGACCACGATGACAGCGATAGGGACTTGGAAGCCGGAGAGGTCCGCAGCAATAGCATCGGGGAAGTGCCGCCGACGTACAACGATGCCCTTGTGGGCAGCCCTAAGCCTCTGCCTCCGACCCCTGCTGTGACCGAGAACCCGGTCGTCGGAGAAGGGCCCCCGGGCTACGACATTCGGATGAAGCTGCTCCCGCCCTCTCCGCACGGCTCTCTGGAAACCGACAACAGGGGCTACTTCGAAAACACAACCACCGAAGAGCGCCCGGGGTCTTTCGAGGAAGAGCAGTACGGCCAATACCACAGCAGCCACGGAGATGCTGGAGAGGCTTAAACAGCTGCAGGGTGCGGCCGCTTCATGGCCACTGAAAAGTCTTTGGTTGCAACTCTCGATTTACGCCATTCTTATTATTTATATGCTTTACGCTTACGACGCGCCATTCATTTGATGCTTATGCCAACTGGAGCCGGTAATCTGGTGTAGAACACGACGGCTGAAACACAATCGTTCATGGAAGAAGAGTCGGAAACACGATCGTTTTCATTTTAGAGGACGCCCTCATGAGTTCCAACACTGAATACCCATTTAGTTCGAATAATGCCATATACCCTTAAATATTAATACATAACACAATCATTCACTACTGCTTGTCGTATTTTATGTTTGCCGTGATCGACTCGATGCCTAGAAAAACAGGTAACTGCACTTGTATGGCACTCCGTACAACATGCGATGGTGGTGGACACCAGAGGGGGTGGCAGGCCACCGAGGGGTCAGTGGCTGTGCATGCGGTAAAGCCACCCCCACAACGTGTACGTTTACGTCGCTGCCAAACACCCGCCGCTTCAGCCAGCAACAACAATACCCATTGTCACATCTTTCTCCTTTTGTTATAACCTCTATACCACGCTCCAAGCAGTCACCATGTCCATCTCTTCCGGTATTTCCATCGCTCGTTGCGCCAGGCTCTCGCTAATCTCGCCCGCCAGATGCCATTTGGGCCGCAGCGCCAACCACCACTCGCGGTCAGGCAACCCAGCTCTCCTCGGACGCCAAAGGCGAGCGGATTGCCTATGCTGTAAGACAGTCCTCATACTTGCAGCCACGGCTCGAGCTCACAAGCCATAGTCGGGCAAATCCATCTTCGTCCGCAACATCGACGATCCCTCCGTCTCCAGGCAGTACACCAACCACACCGCCCAGACGACCGTCGCGCGCTTCTCTCCCTCGGGCTTCTACGTTGCCAGCGGTGATGTCACTGGTAGCATTCGCGTCTGGGACTGTGTTGGGGAGGGGGCTACGAAAGGTGGGCAACAACGTCGATTCATTAGGCCTCCCTGACGGTCGCTGACTGGAGCTTTCTTGGGCAGGCGAATACCACATCATTGCTGGACGGATAAACGATCTGGCATGGGATGGCGACTCTCAGCGTATCATCGCTGTCGGTGACGGCAAGGAGCGTTTCGGCCACTGCGTGACCTGGGACAGCGGCAACAGCGTGGGCGAAATCTCCGGCCATTCGTCGCAGATCAATAGCGTTTCCATCAGGCAGCAGCGCCCTCTGCGTGCCGCTACCGGTAGCGACGACACGAGCATGGTCTTCTACCACGGTGCACCGTTCAAGTTCAACACCAGCCTCCGCGGCCAGCACAACAGATTCATCTTCGGCACTGCCTTCAGCCCCGACGGAGCGCACCTCGTCACGGTCGGCGCGGACAAGCGGATATGGCTGTATGACGGAAAGACTGGCGAGGCTACCAAGCAGATTGGCGAGGATGTTCACACCGGAAGCATCTTTGGCGTCGCTTGGGACAAGGACTCGAAGAGGTTTGTTACTGCGAGCGCGGATCAGACCGTCAGGATATGGGACGCTGAGTCTGGTGAGAACGTCCACACTTGGCGCCTGGGCGAGGAAGGTGTCGTCAGCATTCCTCACCAGCAGGTCGGCGTTACCTGGCCCCACGGACGCAGTGATGGCCTGATCATCACCGTCGATCTGGAGGGCAACCTTAACTACCTTGTTGAAGGCGAGTCCAAGCCCATCAAGGTCGTCCGCGGGCACTCGAAGAACGTCACTGCTGCCGGCATCAGTGACAAGACTTTCTTCACTGGCAGCTACGATGGCCAGGTCCGCGCTTGGGACACCACTACCGGCCTTGCCGCTGGCATCGACGGAGAGAGCCACACCAACCAGGTCGTCGGCTTCTCCTCCCTCAGCAAGTCCAACATCTTCACGGTTGGCTGGGACGACACGCTCCGCACCCTTTCCGCAAACGCAAAGACCTTTGCTGGGTCCAAGACCGAGCTGCACTACCAGCCCAGGGGCGTGGCTACTTGCGGCGATGCTGTGTTGGTTGCCTCCCACTACTCCGTCTCTACCTTCGTAGACGGAAAGGAGGCCAGCATGCGGCCGATGCCTTACCCGCCGACTTGCATTGCGGCGAAGGACGACCTCGTCGCCGTCGGCGGTGAGGACAACGTTGTCCGCGTTTACGGGTTCTCGGGCAACAGCCTGCGCGACCTGGGCATCGAGCTCACCAACTCGACGGCGGTCATCTCGACGCTCTCCTTCTCGCCCAAGGGCACCTATCTGGCGGCCGGAAACACGGCCGGAAAGATCCAGGTCTACTCGGGCAAGGACGGCGAGTGGAAGCTGGTGACGGACCGGTGGAGCGCGCACACGGCGCGCATCACGGCCGTCGCGTGGGACGACAGCGAGCAGTTTGCCGTCAGCGGCAGCTTGGACACGAACATCTTTGTCTGGAGTGTCGCGAACCCGGGCAAGCGCGTCAAGATGCTGAACGCGCACAAGGAGAGTGTGAACGGCGTTGCGTGGGTCGGTGAGGGCCACGAGAAGGTCCTCACGACTGGTGGTGATGCGGCGGTCAAGGTCTGGAAGGTCGAGAACCTTGCTTAAGGGTGGAGGATTATATAGAAAACTGAGCGTTTCATTTTGCTCGCAATGGCATACATAGAATTTAGTTAGAAAATTAGCGGACTTCTTGATTTACATATGGCAATGGTACTTGGTATTTATACTGCGCTTTCCTAATCCGGCATGGGGACCTCGGCATCTCTCACTCGATGGAAAACCGTGACCACGCGACGCGTCTCGCCGCGTCTTCCAGCCCGCAGGCCCGGCTCTCACTTCGCACCCACGTACGCGCCGCCACGCGCGAGGACCAAGCCTGACCACGAACGCTGACGCTGACGCTGACACTGACCATGGCGCCTGCAGCTGTTGACGACAAGACAGTCCCATCGGCGGCAGCGAAGATGGAGCGCGATTTCCATCACCCGTTCCAGCCGTATGCGATCCAGATGGAGTTTATGAATGCGCTTTATGAGTGCATTGAGCAGGGGAAGGTTGGGATTTTCGAGTCGCCTACTGGTGAGTTTTGGCTTGGGGGATGTAGAGTGGGCTTGCTGACGGGGCGTAGGAACGGTGAGATTTTCTGAATTGTTTTCATGATTTTTGCTTGGCTTGTCTCGGTTTTTGGTTTTAGTTCTGAAGTTTTATTCCAGTCGTTGTCTATGTCTATGGTTTCTTGTTTGCCTATGGAGATCCCGAACATGGCTGATGGTGCTCATCCTTAGGGTAAATCGCTGAGTTTGATCTGCGGCTCTTTGACTTGGCTGCGTGATCATAAGCGCAAGACTTTTGAAGAGGGCCTGTTCAATGAGACTGCTGGTAAGGATATTTCGTAATTGCGGTTCCCAGAAATTTGCACTGACTGAGTGTAGATGATGACGAGCCAGAGTGGATGCTGGAAGCGGCTCGAGAAGAAAAACGCAGAGCAGCCCTCCAGCAAGGAGCAGATTTGGAAGAGCGGCTGGCGAAAATCAGAGCAAAAGAGCGCAAGCTGAAGGAGTGGTATGAGAGCGGAGAGCCGCATCACAAGAGACAGGTAATGCACGCGGGTTCATCTGCAAGCAACATGCGTTGACACTGGCAGAAAATCAGCCCAAAGGATGTGGACGACAAGGAAGCGGATGAAGCGCGTTTCCTGCTAGAAGATTACGAGAGTGATGATGACACAGAGACCAAGAAGCGAAGCCAAGGGGCCTCGGATCTTGGCTTGTCTGCGGAGACGGAGGCTCTGATGAAGAAGCTAGGACTGCCGTTGGGAAAAAGCAGTGCTGAGGAAGACACGGAGGCTGTGGACGAGCTGAAGGTCTTTTACTGCTCTAGGACTCATTCGCAGCTGACGCAATTCTCCAACGAACTCAGGCGTGTCAAGATTCCGCCGGCCATCTCAGCACGCCCAGCGGACCGTGCACGAAGCACCAGTGCACCAGAAATTGAAGTCGAGGTCGAGCAAGAGTTCAAACACCTCACACTTGGGTCGAGAAAGAACCTGTGCATCAACCCAAAGGTCGCGAAGCTGGACAGCGCACCCTTGATTAATGAGAGGTGTCTTGACCTGCAGAAGCCGGGGACCGCCGCAGACCACAAGTGCCCGTTTCTTCCTACCAAGGAAACAGAACATGTTGTCAATGACTTCAGAGACCATGCTCTCGCTCAGATCCGGGACATTGAAGATCTAGGTGCTATCGGGAAGAAGTTGGGCATCTGTCCGTACTACGCTTCCCGTTCAGCAGTGAAGCCAAGCGAGGTATGTCTCTCACGCATCCCACGGAATTGGACGTATCTAACCGCCGTGCAGATTGTTACTCTACCGTACCCTCTGCTATTACAAAAGTCCGCGCGCGAGGCACTAGACATTAACATGAAGAACCACATCGTCATCATCGACGAGGCGCACAACCTCATGGATGCCATCACGGGCATCTACTCCGTGTCCGTGTCGCTGGCGCAGCTGCAGCGCTCCCGAGCTCAGTTGACAATCTATCTGCAGAAGTTCCGCAACAAGCTCAAGGGCAAGAACAGGGTGTACGTCGCGCAGACGGTCCGCCTACTGGACTCTCTCATCGGCTACCTCCAGACCAGGGTCGCAAACTCAAAGGAGCAGGAAGGCGTCGTGCAGATCGGGGACATGATGACGGGCAAGGGCGTCGACCAGATCAATCTGTACAAGCTGGCGCGGTATCTGCAGGAGAGCAAGCTCGCGCGCAAAGTGGACGGGTACATTGTGCACGCCGAAGAAGAGCAGCAAAAGAACGAGAAGGGGGCGCAACAGAGCCGCGGTGGAGTGGTTTCGGCCAAGCAGACAAAAACCGCCATGCCCGTCCTCTCGCACATTCAAAGCTTCCTGCTCGCGCTGATGAACCCTTCAGCCGAAGGTCGCTTCTTCTTCGCCCGCGACGACGACGAGCTGGGCACGTGTCTGAAATACATGCTGCTGGACCCGTCTCACCACTTCCGAGAAATCGTGGAGGAGGCTCGCGCCGTGATTCTCGCGGGCGGGACCATGTCGCCAGTAAGCCTGCCCTTTCTTGCACCACCACTACAAACGAATCAAAAGCTGACAATACCCACAGATGAGCGACTACACATCGCACCTCCTCCCGCACCTCCCCTCCTCACGTATCTCCACCCTCTCCTGTGGGCACGTCATCCCCGCCAGCAACCTCCTCGCCGTCCCCGTGACGCACGGCGCGAGCGGCGCGCCGCTGGACTTCACGTTCGGGGCGCGGAGCAGCGCGCGCACTATCAGCGATTTAGGCGCCGCGTTGCTGGCGTTCGTGGCCACTATCCCGGACGGCGTCGTCGTCTTCTTCCCCAGCTACGCCTATCTGGCCGAGTGCGTCGCTGCGTGGAAGCGGCGGGATGCGGGGCAGGGGCGGGAGAGCATATGGGAGCGGCTGCAGAAAGTGAAGCCGGTTTTTATGGAGGCGAAGGCGCAGAGCGCTGCTCCTAGCAGTGGCGGTACAAGCAATACACCCGCCTCTACGGCTACGGCTTCCTCGGGCGCTGCTGCCGCCGCAGTGACTTCGACGGACTCGGTCCTCGCGGCGTACACCGCAGCCGTGACGACTGGCGGCGGGCGCGGCGCGCTGCTCCTTGCTGTCGTAGGCGGCACGCTCTCGGAGGGCATCAACTTCAACGACGCGCTAGGGCGGGGCGTCATGGTGGTGGGGCTGCCGTTTCCGAACGCGCGCAGCGCAGAGTGGGTTGCGAAGCTGGAGTACGTGAGCGAGAAATCTGCTGCTGCTGCTGCTGCTGCCGCTGCCAAGGACAAAACTGCTGCTAAAACTGGCGGCTCCGACACAGACGCGGGCAAGGCTGCTGCCCGGGATTTCTACGAAAACGCGTGCATGCGCGCCGTCAACCAGTGCGTGGGGCGCGCGATTCGGCACCGGGGCGATTACGCGGCGATTTTGTTGCTGGATCGGCGGTATGCGGGGGAGAGGGTGGCGCGGAAGTTGCCTGGGTGGATTAGGGGGAGTTTGAGGGCTGGGATGGGGGTTGAAGGTGTGAAGGGAGAGTTGGGGGGATTTTTTCGGGGGAGGGGGTAGGGTGGTGGTGGTGCAAATGAAACGGTGTTGATTGATTGATTGGTATCGAGATGCTTGATGGTGATCTTCTTCTTTTTTCCCTCTTCCTTCCCTTCTTCCTTCGTTCCTCCGACGATTGGCTGGTGAGCCTTTCTTCCCGTGAGCAGCGCCCTGACGCCCGTAAATGCAGATCCAACAACGCCGGTATATAGGTAGATAACAGATAACAACAACAGCAGCGTCTACGCCATGTCGAGGTCGAAGTCGTCGAGCTGGTCGCGGTACTTGAGGATGTTGCGCTTGATCTTGGACGAGTCGACCCAGGTGACAAAGTCCTCGAGGTTCCTTCACACACGCAGTCATTAGCCACGCACTTTGCAGCACAAGACCCGCGCAAAAAGAAGCCGCGCGCGCAACATACCTCGACACTAAAAACGCGGGATCCGTCACCACCTCCGGGCCGACGCGCACATGGCCCTGCTCAATAAACTTGATGGCCGCCTGCACGGTATCGGCCATACGCAGGCGCGTCATGACGACGCCCAAGCGCCTGCGCGCAAACGCAGACACAGTGACCCTGCGCTCGACGTCGCTGAGCTTGCGCGAGCCCTCGCCCGAGCCGAGAATGCCGAGGTCCTCGAGCTTCTCCAGCAGCAGCTTCTCGTGCTTGACGCGGAAGGGGTCGGCCGGGTCCAGCTCCGCCAGCTTGTGCGCCAGCTGCCGCAGCGAGCCGCAGATGCGGTTGTACTTGGTGTAGTCGCTGGGTTGTTGGATGGCGTAGCGGCGGATGACGGCTGCGTCGCGGTGGTTGTTGTCGGATTTGTAGGTGGTGAAGTCGACTTTGCGCAGAAGCTTCTGCTCGTGGTGCTTCAGTTTGCGGACCATGGCGGCGGTTGGGGCGGAGAGGTGGTTGTGGAGGTGGTGGTGATGCGGAGGTTGGTGGTGAGTTGCTGCGAGTCGCCGTGGAAAATAATGCGCTTATCGATAAGTGAAACGGTGACTTTGTCGTGGCCGATTTATAGATTCAAAATGCTGCAAATGCGGCCACGACTAACTTGCCCCGGCCTTGGCAAAAAAAGTGCCGCAGTGACTCAATAACGCATGCCACATCCATCTCTCGCTCGCCGTCCCGCTTCCACATCACCAATTGACTCCCATCAGCACCACCGCACCATGCCTACCGTCCACCTCCTCGACTACGTGGCGGGCAATGTCCGCTCGCTCGTCAATGCCATTGAGAAAGTCGGCTACACCGTCGAATGGGTCCGCTCGCCGGCTGACGTCGCCAACGCCGAGGTATGAGTGTGCATAGCCCCATTGCTCAACACACACATACTGAGTCCTCAGGCCTAGAGCTGATAGGCCATCCCGCCCTTCTAGAAACTGATTCTTCCCGGCGTCGGCCACTTCGGACACTGCCTGTCGCAGTTCAAGAACGGCGGCTATGTCGAGCCCATCCGCGCCCACATTGCCCAAGGCAAGCCGTTCATGGGCATTTGTGTCGGCCTGCAGGCCCTCGCCGACGGCTCCGAGGAGAGCACCGCCGTGCCCGGCCTGGGCGTGGTGCCCGGCCAGCTGAAGCGCTTCGACGACTCCGACAAGAGCGTGCCGCACATTGGCTGGAACTCGGCCAACACGTCCGCCAAGGGCGCCGTCGCCGACGAGAGCGTCTACGGCCTCCGCCCCGACAGCAAGTACTACTATGTGCACTCGTACGCGCTGCCGTACGTCGAGGGCCAGCTAGAGGAGGCCGGCTGGACCGTCGCCACAGCGCGCTACGGCAATGAGGAGTTTGTGGGCGCTGTGGCCAAGAACAACATCCTGCTGACGCAGTTCCACCCGGAGAAGAGCGGCGCTGCGGGCCTGCGCGTTCTCAAGGCTTTCTGCGACGGCCAGCCGCGCTCCAAGCTGCCCGAGACGCCCTCTTCCGAGGCGGCGCGCGAAGGCCTGACCAGGCGCGTCATTGCGTGTCTGGATGTGCGCACGAATGACCAGGGCGACCTCGTCGTCACCAAGGGCGACCAGTACGACGTGCGCGAGAAGGAGGGCGTCAGCGCCGGCGGCGAGGTGCGCAACCTGGGCAAGCCGGTCGAGATGGCGCGCAAGTACTACGAGCAAGGCGCCGACGAGGTGACGTTCCTGAACATCACGTCGTTCCGCAACTGCCCCGTGGCGGACCTGCCGATGCTGGAGATTCTGCGTCGCACGTCGGAGACAGTGTTCGTGCCGCTGACGATCGGCGGCGGCATCCGCGACACGGTCGACACGGACGGCACCAAGGTGTCGGCGCTCGACGTCGCGTCGCTGTACTTCAAGTCGGGCGCGGACAAGGTCTCGATCGGGTCGGACGCGGTGACGGCGGCCGAGGAGTACGAGGCCCGCGGCAAGAAGCTGCTGGGGACCACAGCCATCGAGACCATCTCCGCAGCATACGGCGCGCAGGCGGTAGTAGTGTCGGTAGACCCGAAGCGCGTATACGTAGCCTCGCCGGACGCGACGCCGCACCACACGATCGAGACGGCGACGTTGGGCCCCAACGGCGAAAAGTACTGCTGGTACCAGTGCACGGCCAAGGGCGGGCGCGAGCTGCGGGACTTTGACGTGCGGCAGCTGGTGCAGGCGGTCGAGGCCATGGGGGCGGGCGAGATCCTGCTCAACTGTATCGACAAGGACGGCAGCAACTCGGGCTTCGACCTCGAACTGATCAACGACGTCAAGGCCGCGGTCAAGATCCCGGTGATTGCGAGCAGTGGCGCGGGCAACCCGGCGCACTTTGCTGAGGTGTTTGAGCGCACGCCGACGGATGCCGCGTTGGGCGCTGGTATGGTGAGTTTGTTTGTTTTTTTGTTCTCTTTTTCGTCTGTTGTTGCGGCACGTGTTGTGGCGACATTGACTGCTGTTGCTTTTGTTGTGATGGTGCAGAGGCTGACTTTTTCTGGGGTGATAGTTCCACCGTGGCGAGTTCACGGTCAAGCAGGTCAAGGACCACTTGCAGGCCGAGGGGCTGCTGGTCCGGCCGTTCGAGGACGAAATATAGACGGCTGTGACTGTGGTGGAAAGGGATGTAGGAGGGATATAGAGTGTGTGTTGCTGTTGTTGCTTGTTGTCGTTGCTTGTTTTTTCTATAGAGGACTGCCGCTACCGCCGCCATTGAGAAGACAAAAAAGACAGGATATTTATGAATATACACATACATACATATACACGTACATATTCACGTACTTGCAGTGTCGACAGCCTTCAGGCAGTCTTTATCTCAATCCTCCTACACACCACAAAAGCACTCCCTTCCCCTCTCCATTCGCTCACATACCCCTCCTCTCCCACAGGGCACCGCGTCCCAACCCAACATACCAACCACAGAACTAACATAACAGTGAGTGAGAAGAGGAGGGGGCGGGTACCACGCCATGTCACCTACACCCACTCACCCCCTCCTACGAGGCGGCGAAGACGCCATTGCCGTTTCCGCAATCATGTACATGTACATGGGGGTGGGCACGGAAACCTCGCTCGTGAGTCGTGGGAATGTTCTGAATCTGGAGAGCGAGAGAGAGAGAGAGTGTGTGTGTGTACGGTAGGAGCTGGAGCCTGAAGGGGTGTTTATCACATACACACAAGCTCCGTCCTGTTGTGAGCGAGCACGAGCACCAGCGCCTCGATCATATCTGTGGCTGGCGTCGCAATACGCGTCCGACTACCTATGTGGTGCGCCAACATCTTATTCTTCGAAGGCTCGAGTTAATTTGCCCCCCGATATCTGCTATTTTGCCCCCCCGGTATTACCGCCTGCCTAATCGGGTAACTACACGGTAGAAAGTTACCTTCGGTACAACCCGCCCGCGCTAGTCGCTCGCGCGACGCCGCGCGAGGACGCGCTAGCGGGGAACAGGAACTAGCACCCCTTATTTTATACTAAAAATTAACTAAAAAATTCTATATCTCTAACCTTACTATTACAGCGCGGTACGCAAAGAGGTAAGTTATTATATATTATAAACGTTACTTTTTCGCGCGCGTGAGCGCTTCCGTAGCCTCCTCCGCCGCTAGCTTACTCTATTATATATTTAGTAGTTACGCTACCGATACTTATTCTACCTACACCCTATACGTACTTATTACGGGTTTCTAGCGCGTTTCTTATAGTTCTTACTAGTAAGCGCTAGCTGACGGTTTGTCTTTATTTATTATTTACTAATTATTATTTATTTATATTTCTAATAGTTTATCTTATTTATTATTTATTAATTATTATTTATATTTATCTCATTCGTTATCTCTCACTTAGCGCCTAGCGCCTACTAGCGAGCTATATATATAGCCGTCGCCTCTCGTTCTCTTCCTTTCCTCTTTATACTACGTCTTATAGTTAATCCTATATAATCTAATTTAAATCCGCCTTACTACCGTAATAACTATACTATCTATACGAGCTTTAGAGCCTTTATCGCGTAACCTATAACTGCTACCCTCTGTTAGTAATACCCCGGTATTAGGCGTTATTTGTTAATAATATAACGTCCTTTTAGTATAAAATAACTACTAATAGGATATTAGTAGTAGTTTTATCCTAATCTAACGCTAAATTCGATAGTTTAGTAGTTAATTTATCGTATTCTAGCGATAAGCTAATTAGCCTGATCCGCTACTAGATAGTAGAGTACTATTTTTCTCCTAATTAGAAAAAGCGTAAACCTTACTAGAAACTATAGTAACTATCGAATTTGGCGTTAGATAGCGATAAATTAATTTATAACACCCTATTAGTAGCTGTTTTATAAATAGCTAACGTTATATTATCCGAAAAGGATGTCTAATTATAGGGTATTACTAACGGGGGGCAGCATAACCGTATTCTTTCGAGAAGGCTCTAATCGCGTCTCTAGCGGCCTATAGGGTATTATAGGTAGTCTCGGGAGGCGCGGTAAGGTCGTATTTAGGTATAGTATTAATAGAGATACGGTAAACGCGCGGAGGTACTATAACTATCGTAAAGGCCGCATAGTAGCGGCGGACGCCTATGGGATATAAAGTAAGGCCATAAACGACGCCCTAGGGTACGGAGAGATAGTAGACGGCGTATAGCGGTAGTAGTAGGCGTGTAGGGTAGGCGGAGTAGGTATTAGACAAGGCGCGAAGGTATTGTGCGAATATCGCGAAGGTAGCTTTCTGCCGGGCGCTTTACCCGATTAGGCAGACGGTAACGCCGGGGGGGCAAAATAGCAGATATCGGGGGGCAAATTAACTCGAGCCTTCTTCGAAAGCTTGTAGTTGCTTACTTATGTGTAATGGAACGGGTTAGATGGCTGGACGTGGCAGTTTTTGCGTTTTGCATGTTACAAGAAGTAAAGTAGATGAGCTACAGCGCGTGGGGGTGGTGGTGATGGGTGGTATGTTCAAGCTGTGGCGGTGGTGGTGGTTGTGAGGTTGGGGTTTATGGCCTCAAAGGAGGAGTGGTGGGATGTTGAATGTGGGAGAGTGGGTGGTGCGTGAGCTTGCACCCGCAGATGGCTTATGCGACTCTTCATCGAGTCGCTCGCAGAGGAATTTCTGCGTCTTTGGATGGGATGTGGGTCTGGGACGTGGGAAGTGGGTTGGTGGTTGTTGCTTTATATATATTTAATTTGGTACGGAAACGTCACGTCGCGGTGCTGCGAGCGGAACCGGAACTACGACCTAGAGGGCGTGGGGTAGTGTGTGTAACAGTGTGTTTTTATGGGGCAGTGTCAGGGTGCCGATTAGGTGGGTTGGTTGGGGGTGTGGTAAGCTTTGGTGGTGTGGGGCGGCAAGCCCGCACGCGAGGTATAGTCAATTTCTTGTTGGGTATTTGAGACAGGTAGGATGGAGGTGGAATGGATTGGGTTGGAAGAGGAAGGGGCTTAGGGGGATAGGCATTTTCGTTTCTTGGAGAGGAATAATTTGGAGGTTGCGGGTGTTGTGAGATGGTGAGTCTCGAAGCAGGTCTAGTTAGTGCTGTTTTTGGGAGTTAGTGCGGGGTTGAAAACGAGAATTTGATGTGATTGAAGAGACAGGCTCTCGATTTTGACAGAAGAATAGCTTGTAGATTGTTGTAAAAAGAAAAATCAATGCAGTTGAGCTTCGGACTGCATTTGACCTCGTTATCTTGCCGCCGTACCGCCGACTGAGGTAGTGTACTGTGTAGCCTGGAGATTTTAGTATAAAGTACTATTAGCAATTCTTGAGGATGTTACGTACCTGGTTTTTGTAAAGTTCAGAAGTGTATCCACCGATTATCACGAAGGCGTAATATCCAAGGCTCTCGTGATAGGAGTCTTCCACTGCTTTCTTTGGTGCCATTCCCATCGGCGGAAACCCATTTCTTTCTCCTCCAATTCTACCCACTCAGGAGATAGAGGAAACTTCCGACGCAGTGGCCCCCCCTGGGACAGATGATATCCAGCGCTTCTGTACTCTTCCAACATCATTTGCATGGCAATACAGCCAGACTCGATTGTAAACTCGACCAATGTTTGTCCCTTGTCGTTTTTCACATCGATGTTAATATCCCGCCGCTCCAATAGAAGGCGAAAATTCCGAATTTTCTTGGCTTGTGCAGCATACCATATCGCTGTCTTCCCATCATAGTCTTCGGCGTTTACTTGAATGTCATCGCGTTGAAGCAGAATGTTGACAACGCGCGAATGGTCGTTCTTCGCCGCGTACATTAGAGGGCTTATGCGATAATTATCGGTGAGATTGACATCGATCTCATCACATCTATACTCCAGTAAGAGGCTCACGACCTCATCTCTGCCATAAAAAGCTGCCTTGGCGAGCGCGGTTCTTCCCGATTTTTCCTGCTTGTTGACATCCACCTCTTTTCCATAGTCTAAGATAAGCTTGGATATCTCTACAGCACCATCCTCCATTACGACTGCTGCTACCAATGGAGGGGTTTCAAAATCCCGAACAACAGGTGCGTTCAAGTCAATGCCACCATGTTGGATGAGCATCCGCGCGATCTTCGGGCTACAAGATTCTCCTCTACCCATGGCAAACCCAAGTGGAGTACAACCGCGGTATTCTGTGCACACATCCGTCAAAATACCCTCTTTTTGTAAGAGCAGTTCAACAATTTCTGTATTTTGGCTCCCCTCGGCAACTGCTGCCAGCGGTGTCCAGCCGTATTCCCGGAGATCGCTCAAGTTTCCGACTTTGGCATGAAAATTGAAGTCTACATCCGGACGATCCAAAAGCAGCTTGCAGGCTCTCACTCTCCCTAAGGATGCCGCCATGACTAACGTTTTACTCAAGCTCTCATTTGTTTTGCGGGCTTGTAGGCCGTTATCAACGTCAGGGTAAGAAAGGAGGGTCTCAACAATTCCCATCTCGTTGGATGCTACCGCAAAGTCTAATGGGGCATGCCCTGTCCGATTTTGAGCATATACAGGTTGACCGTTCTGTATGAGGGATTGTAGAATTTCCTGCAACCCGAACCATGCCGCAGAGTGGACGCCAATCTCTCCACGGCCTAGTTTCTTGTATCGGCAGAATTCAATGGATGCCATATCCATGTTCAAGCAACATGAAACGATGACGGCCGCATTGTTTTGAAGAAGTTGCATAGCATCATCCATAACCTCTTCTTGAACCTTTTGTGCGTGATTTCCCCAAAACAGGGCAGCGTAGTCGGCCAGATCATAGGCCCTTGCCCCGCGTTGATGTTTACGCCCTTGCCTACCGGAAGGGAAATAATGCCAGTAAAATTCTCTCTTGCGGGCAAAGCATCCGAAGACCCTGAGGAGTCCAGGCAAAAGCAGATAAGCAATGCACTTCTTTGTGATATCCGCCAAAGCATGAGGTGACCATTCCGACATTCGGTCGTCGTTGAAATACTCCTGGGCTGTGTAGTGGACCAAGCGAACGGTTTCACTCTCGCTGTGTACAGTAATCAGACCTACACAAACCGAGACAACATCCTCGATTTGTAGAAGATCATCTTCACTGATATCATCGTCCCCGGGCTGAATGGTGAGAGCGTGACGGAACTCCGGAACTGACAATGGTCTTTTTGCATAGACTATCCACGATATGGCTTCCCAGGCAAGTTTGGCGTCATCCTCGTTTTGGCTGTCCATCCGTTTTATGGCCTCATCGTAGGCACGTGGAAGTGCTTTGTGTCCCTTAGGAAGATTTTCCAAGGCTAGCTTTACATCACGAGGAAACCTTATGCTTTTTATTGATTCCAAGTGTAGTACTGCGAGGAGAAACCTGCCGTATGTCAGAATCCAAATAAAAAACTAAACAAAATGAAACTTCTTAGAGAATGTGCGGATTGATATAGGTGAGTATGTAATTTAGGGGCAAATGTAGAACTGACGCAAAGTTGAGATACTAACATGCCATCTGCAGCCTTGATGATGTTGTTACGAACACTCGGCCAGGTCTTGTCATTTTTAACACAGGTTGAACAAGAACGTTTCCTCTGCTCAAGGTATGCCTCCATGTCAGCGTCCGAGGCTCGGATTTCGATCGAATGACTATGGTTGAAATCTTTTTCGAGAACGAAACCAGGTCGAGAAGTAACCATCGTCTTTAGACGTGATTGACTCTGGATGGCACGAATACAGTCAAGGAACTGTTCGCGGTCCTCAGTATCAGAAAAGAATTCATCGAAAGCGTCGACCATAAGGTAGACGTCATTGAAGACGGGAACAAGCGCTTGAATGAGGTTCTGGTAATCTTCCCAAGAAGGTGCCGATCCCTTGTGTTTTTTAAAGAAATCGTTTACACAGTCCGGAAGGGTTTCGAGAGTTGTGATGAGCTGCAGTGCAACAGAGGCAAGCAACTTTGACGGTTTTTGGTCTGCGGCCATCTTGTAGTCAAAGTAGATGACTGCAACACCGGTATTCGGAAGATGTGATTCGCGTAGATGGTGGACAGTTTTTGCTATTATGATCGTTTTTCCCGCTCCAGCAATTCCAGGACAGATCAGGGAACAATTTTCGCTCGTCTTCCAGGATTCGAATTCCGGAGATGTCAAAAACCAGCTTCCGGTTCCATCCTTCCTGTCTCTAATCTTATCGTTTTGAAGCGCACTGTAATCGAATGTATTTTTGTTGAGCCATTTCATCAGATCTTCACGCTCCTTTTTGTTTTCGAAATTCTGAGTTGTTTGTTTTATGTCTGAAGTATCTTGTTTGATGGATAATGACAATTCGCTAGATACTCTTAGCAGAAGGGCTTTCAACAGATAAGAAACGGAAGATTCAAGAAAAATTGAAGGAAAGATGAAAACGGATTAATTATACGTACAAGTGACTATTTGCCAAAATGAACTGAATTGATGACTTGAAACGCTCAAGCTTTTCAAGTATCCCCTCTAATTCCTTCTTTTTGAACTGCCATGCAATCGCCTTTCCAACTCGGTGTATCACACCAGATCGGGCGGGGTCGAGCTTTGACTGAAGCTGTTCGAGAGCAGTTGTGTATTGGTCGAAAGGGCCGCCCTCTACCCGAAGTGCACTGAGTTTGTCGAACCAGGATGCGCTCTTGTCTGTTCCCTCTAATCGGTTTTTCAGTTGATTGAGGAGAGCATACGCTGAAGTAACCTCGATCAGGCATTCGCTCATCTCTTGCGGCGCGTTTTCGACATTGCTGAGGAAGCGAATGACTTTATGCGTGGTACCAATAAGTGTGATGACTGCTAGCGATATGCTTAAGGGGTCCATATTGGACTTGATGAGGCACGAAAGGTTGTAAAGGAAAGCAGGACTTCAGCAAGCAAAAAAGGGACAAGACTGAGAAAACTTCGTAAGTTATATATAGATCTCCCCATTTTTCCACGTCACGCCTGCTGCATAACCGGGGGCTTAATGTTCAGTGGAGAGCTTGTTGATTCGTAAATACCCTGGGCTTTGCATATTTAGCGTGTTTTTCTTCTTCTCGGCCGTGGCGACATGCTTGCGTAGCTACGCCGGACGCACTGAAGTCTACGATTGGATGGGGGAAGGTGACGAATGTGTAAACTGTTGTGGTCTCTAAATTCGTGGGTTAGCGCCTGGGCTCTGTTTCTACTACGTAGATAGAGCTGAAGGTGTTTTTTGCTGATGAGCAGACAACGTGGCCGGTGTTATGTGGATTGTACGAACCAATGGGCTTGATTGGAAGAATGAAAGGTTTTGGCGAGAGGGGAAGACAAGGCTCTCCAGCTCGCTTGCCCACCAATGCGCGACCGCCAACACGCACGTCACATGAACCACGCAAGCCATCGCACCTCAGCCGCCGCGAAGGGCCGCAGACCCCCAAGACTTGCCAGACCATTCAGGCGCCAACGTCATGCAATCCGGCGCGCGGTCACGATGCGCGTTCACATGCAGTTATAGAGCCGTCTGTCGTCTGCGGGCACACAATTACCATCGTCCTCATCGTCCTCATTGTCCTTATCACGAATTTAGCACGACCAAAGCAAAGTATTATAAATTCTGATTTCATTCATTCATGTCACTTCTTTAAAGGCCAAGTCAACGCTTACATTGTCCTTTTCTCCATCGTCGTCATCGCTCGTCAGTCAAACAAAACAAAACAACCCAATCAATGGCCATCGTCGGAGACGAGACAACCTGTCCTCGGTGACTCCCTTGTGCGCCAGAACACCTTACATCTAAAACTTCAATAATCAACCGGCAATTTCATGCTCATCCGCTTGTTCACGCGCCCTCCTCAGCAGCCTTCATGTTGCGGCGCCAGACCTTGACCGGCATCGGCCCAAGAATCCAGTTCATGGCGTCCCGGCGCTCGATATCCCAGTCAGGGTACGGCAGAGCGAAGTCATAGCGGTGGATGATACTCGCGACAGCGACCGTCTGCTCGAGGTAGGAGATGTTCCTGCCGATGCAGCCGCGCGCGCCGGCCGAGAACGTGATGAAGTAAGGCTGGAGCGCCTTGCCGTTCTCACCGAGGAAGCGCTCCGGAACGAACTTCTCGGCCTGTGGATAGACATGCTCGTCGCGGTGGGCGACGACGGCGCTGATGCCGACGCTGGTGCCGCCGGGGATGAAGTCGTCGATGATGGTGGTGCCTTCGGGCGGAGTCTCGCGACCGAGGCTCGCCGGCGTGGGCGGGAAGAGGCGGAGCGATTCGTCGAGACAGGCGCGTAGGTAGGGCAAGTGCTTGACCTGGTCGTAGGAGGCGACGGCCTGGTCCTCGTCCATGACGGCGTCGATCTCCTCGCGCAGCTTGGCCAGACACTCCGGGTTCCTGATCAGCTGCAGCAGGATGTTCGTGATGGCGATGGCGGTCGTCACCGAGCCCGCGTTCATCATGATGTTGACTTCGGCCACGATCTCGCCCCACTCCAGGTTGTTCGGGTTACCGTTCTTGTCCTCCATCATCGCCTGGAAGAAGTCGTCGAGCTTCTCGCCCGCCTCGTAGCGCATCAGACGGCGGTGGGCACGCTCCGCCGGCAGACCGTCCCACTGCTTCCCCAGGTTGCCCAGGCGGCGGTAGTAGGGAATCACGTGGGAAACCTTGTTCAGGAAAGGGTACCAGGAGTAAGCCCACAGGAGGAGCGACTGCTTGTGGTTGCTGCTGTACAGGACTTCGCGGAGGTTGCATTCATAAGTGGTGCCGTCGGAGTTACGACCAACGACACGGTCGTTGCCCTGATCGAGGAATCCAAGGCGCTCCGAGACGCCAATGTCAGCAATGGCATCGAGGGTGAAGTAGTTGGCCCATTCGCGGAAGTCGAGCGTGATGTCCTCCTTCTTCGGGACGGCAATTCCTTTGGGCAATGCGTCGGTGCAGACCTTGTCGATGTGGGCGATGAGGCGTTCGACCTTGTCCGCGACCTTGTGCTCCCAACCCTCGAGGTTTTTGAGCGCATACGCCGACGACAGGACCTTACGCTTACGGGAGTGCTCGGGCTTGTCGACAACATCGGCGAGATGGTAGTGGGTGCCGGCTCCAGCAATGTACGACTCGTCCTTGGTACACTTGGTGTTGTGGCCGTAGATGTCCTTGATGGCACGCACGTCGCCGTACGAAAGGGTGTTCGGACCAGTGCGGATCACGGGGTGCGTCTTGTGCATCTCGGCCAACGCGAGCGAACGATTGCCGCCGTGAGCCAAGATCATGTATGGAATTGCCGTGATGCCTGACAGCGGCGACATGTTAGGGAACCTGCGGAGACCTGTGTTCATTCGTCAGTCTTCTCTTCCTTACACCTCTAATCACACAGGCCGGAAGGAACAGTATTGTCTTACCCTTGGGGTCCCGGAAGTACTCAAACACCGGGTACACAACAAAGTAGGCCAGAATGACTACACCCAGCAGCGCCGCATACGGCACCGAACTGATATTGAGATCCAGCATGGTGGTAGCCATCGTGTCGAACTGAATCTCGCAAATCAGACTTCAGCAAGAGAGGTGTGTAGTAGAGAAGAAGAAGAAGGATGGAGGAAACAGAAGACTGGCGCCTCCCACCAGCGCCTCCCAGCAGTCTCTTATATCCATCCCATCCGCGCACCTACCTACTCCTACAGCTCTTCTGCACACACGCACGCACCAACCAACGAATAATCAATCGATCCAACCCCACCAGTCACGTCCACCACCCCAGCACGGGCAAACCTGCCCTTCCCGCCTCGCCCCAGGAACCGCCGTACGCCACACCCCGCAAGGAGGCACCTAGGGCAGGCAAGTCCGATATGAGTAGGAGCAAATTTCCGCATCCGGCACAGCCGCAGCAGGCCCGCCCGTGCTTCGGTGCGGGGCCCCGCGCCAAGCGAGCCTCTAGCGCTGAGCGAGCGGTGTTTTGGTACGCCTTGGTGCCCGGTCAGGCTTACTCTAACGTCCGACGACAGGGAAAGTTGCCCCGCCCGCTTCTTCTGGGAGCAGGTACTCTACTCGAGTACACGACGGGAGCGCGCATCGAGATGACAGCCGCTCGCTCGCTAGCTTCCCGCCTGGGTAGGTCATCGCTGCGGCCATGCATGGCGCTAGCTAGGGCTGCTTATCTCCCGCATGAACCTGGCACGCGGGTGTTCAGGTACTGTACAGCCTCATTGCTGCGTAGGTACGGCGAGGTGTGGATACGCCAGCTGCTGCTGCTCCAGTATTATATGTGATAGCAGCAGTGGGTCCCTCATCGTCATCACTCCACGACATCGACATCCCAACCCAACTCCACACTCATTCGCCCACTCACTCAATCACTCACTCACTCAATCACTCACTCACTCACTGACACCATGCGGCACCAGCACCAGCACCGATACCGGCATGACATAGCCACCGTGTTCAAATCTTCCATTGATCTCTCAAGCTCTCGATGATACGCACAGCCCGCCAGCCGATCTTGTCCGTCATGCCGCTCTCCAAGAACGCCACTGCCGCCTCGCGGTCCGCTGGGTCTTCTAGGTACGAGCCAACTGTTGCACGCAGATGGTGCGTTAGTGCTATGGTCAAGAAATTGGAGGCGGACGGAGATGAGAACGTTGCTTCCGCTTCCGACACGTGGAGGCTAATGTGCTAGGGTTTGCTTACATGCGCATAGGATATGTGACGCGTGGAAGGTAGCCGCTGCCACGCCGCCGTTTCCGATAGCCAAGCCCACAATGGCCTTCAGATTCTGCACGATCGCCGCCTACGCATTGGCGTCAGTCAGCCCGTCAATCGCACACACGGAAGCCCAATGCTGCGCCAATGCTTACCTCGGTCACCTTCCTCGATTTGTGCCCATTGAACCCTAGCCTCGACAGCTGGGGATCGCACGTCGCGAGCAGAATGCTCGCCATATTGTAATGCTGCTGGCCAACCACTGCGCCATTCTCATGTCAGCAAGCTTCCCACTTTCCCAGAAAAATGGGGGCTGGCTATTGCAGCCGCACGTACCGTGAGCCGGCAGCGTCATCCACACCTCGGGGAAAGGCGCCGTATCGCCCTCGGGCCGTCTTGCCCAGAGCGGGCGGAAGTGCCACGGCTTCATCCTGTTCCATGTCTCCACCTCTTCGTGTAACTGCTGCCACTTTTTCTTCGACGGCGCTTCCTCCTGCTGGCACGCGTAGTTCAGGATCTTGGCGAATACGAACACCATCCGGTTCGCCCATGAGCCGGGCGTGTCCTTTTGGAAGGCTTGTGATGAAAGGTAGTTGGTTAGGTCGATGTTGAGTGGCTGTCCCGTCGTAAGCGAGACGTAGATGTCTTGCCGCAGGAATATCCAGCTGGCCGCTTCGCCGAGCCCGCCCATTGGGACGAATTGGGCAATCGAGTTGAGTAACCGTGTCCCGCCGTACAGATGGCATTTCTCGTCAATATCTGCGCACCATCAGTCTTTCTCATCGGAATTTGGTAAAGCCTGCCCCCTTTACTTACCGTCAGCTTCCTCGTAAAGACGCAAGATAACAATAGCCGCCAGGAGATTTTCATCGAGCGACTCCAGGGGGTCATCCAGAACAGGTATCAAGATCTCCAAGCACTGGGTCAGATAGCGCGGCGAATCAACGTCCTCGGTGCCATTGACCCTGCTCAGACTCCGCGACGACAGCGCGAGGATCGCGTTCATCAGCACCGGGTAGTTCACGGCGCGCTGCGGTACCACTCGCGCGAATTTTGCCTCGTCATCGCAGCAATCCACCTATTCGAGCGTCAGCCATCCGCACGTGCTGCAGATTCAGGGGAAGGCCGGCGCGCACATAAACGGATAGGTGGTCCACATAATGCTTGAACAGGCGCGCCTCGTGGCGGCTCTTGAATGGCCATCCGGTCGAGAAGCGGTACAGCGGCGACACGGGCTTCCAGAAGCTCTCCTCCGCCGCCGCGGTGGTTTGCGGTGGTGGCGACGGCGCCGAACTTGTCTCTTGTTGGAGAGGGAGATGTGGCCCGTAGGTAGTGAGGTCGTTGTGCGCAGCACTACTTGTGCTCACTGCGGGAAAGGCATTCAGCGGTGAGTGGTGGCTCTCTATGTTCAGCAGCGCACTGATGGACCCCGGCGGCGCGCACGTTGCTGCGCTGCTCGTGAGGCTGCTGAGCGGCGAGTCCGTCGCAGTGTTACTGTGCTCCGGTGCCGGCGCCGTTGCGCTTATGTCCGGCAGGGATGTCGCGTCCTGCTCTTCAGGCGTGGACACGCCGGCCCCGTCATCCTCGTGCGTCTCGTCATCCAAGTCCTCGAGTCTCGATGCCACCGGCGCAAACGTAACTAAAACACAACACAACAGTCTCAGCATACGACTTCACACACAACAACAATGGCAACACCACTATCGCAACCCTCTCTTCCTTTCGCTTTCTCTCGCACACACACATACCTGTCGGCGGCACCTTCACCCACGTCTGGCTCCCCGCGAAACTGAGTTCACGATTCCTGCATCGCCCGCCCTCGCCCCTACCACCCCGCTTGCCGGCGCGCTTCTCGCGCACCGTCGTCACGGGCCTGAAGCGGATGGTCAGGCCGCGCACGCATGCGCGCTCGGTCTCGGTGCACTTGCGGCAGCGCGTTGCGTCGGGCTCGAAGACGCCTGTGTGTGGGAGGGGTGTTAGTCTTTAAATTATCCGGTAAGAGGGTGGGTAGGCGAGAGCGGGGGTGTGGGATAGTAGGTAGGGCCAGCGGACTTACACTTTAGATGGCGGTCGCGGCAGCTGTGGCTGTGGAGTGGGTGTGTGCGTGTTAGCTTGGCGGTTGTGTCTCAAGTCACGTTATAGGGTGGAGTAGAGTAGAGAGTGCAGGATGCGTAAAAATAGAACAGTAAAGCAGAGCATAACATAGGGCAGTAACAGGGCAGGGCAATAGGGCTCGACAGCAGCAACTAACCAACCAGTAGACGTCCTCATCTCGCACTCAGACCCTCGAACTCCGAACCAAACAAACCAAAGCGCAAAGTCTTTCCTAGGTCAACTACCAGGCTCGCTCGCTCGCCTGGGGGCAAAAACCGATAATCCGTATGTAGTGGAGGGAGCGGTCGTAAACGGAGCAATCATGGCCCGCCAGGAGCAAGTGCGTAGGTAACCTGGGGTTATATTCGTGCGAGGCAGGCAGGTGGCGGGGCAAGCAAGCGGGCGGTTTGGGGGGCGCGGCATTCTTGCGCTTTTTAGAGATGCTGCGGCGGGCGGAGTTGCAGTTTTGTGGCCTGGCGGCCGGATGCTCTTGCTTGGTACGTCGCGTTTGCTTGCCGTTTTGGGCTGCGCGGGGTGGGCACGGTGGGGTAGGCTGCGGTGGCTTGTGGGGGAGCGACGGCACGTGAGCTGACGTCATGGGGATGCTGTTTATATACAAATACTAGGTAGATTCGTGGAGGTGCTGTCGTTTTGTTTAATGAGTTGGCTTTGACTTCGTGTGTTGTCCTGGACCAAATGCCACTCTGTACAAGAGTGGAATGCCAGGTGACTGCTAAACGGCTGGCAAGGTCTTTGGCGTGTCCTTCAGATCTCTAGCAGCGACTAGCAGTGAGCTCCAAGAGCGTATCATGCAGTTCACACGCAGCACCTATTACAGAACTCAGCGAGCATAAAGTCATCTTCGTCGTGGTCATCTTCATCGTGTTGTGTGGAAGTGATGGAATTTTTTACAACAAGTTAAGCGTAAGAACGCCTCCTCCCTCCTCGAACGCCGTGATGAAGTGCCTTCCGGCACAAAACCCTCGTACACCCACCATATCCAGCGATTAAAAAAAAACCTAGCAATGAAATCCTTTGCGCTGTCGGTGTCGAGGTGGTCTTCCTGGAGGCTCTAGTTTCTTGATCCTGGCTTTTTGTTTTTTGTTTTTTGCGGATGTGGAATTTGTTAGCTGGAGTCTGACGGATGAGTTGTGCTGAACTACTCAGAGTGTTATCTGTTTATCTTTCTTCACTGTTTCGCTAACACGATTTCACTGAGTGAAACCTGCTCCGCCCATCCCTGACACTGAGACCTACCGCCCAGGAAAGCATGTCAGCATTCACGTCCTTTCTTACACATTCTCTAACAAGCTCAAACATATCAGGTGTGTATTATGTTGCAGCCTCGACCCGAAGTGGAGGAGTCGATATCAAATATATGGAGTTGCCGTCTGACCATGTCCGACACCAAAATCGCTCACATCACGGGCAATGACCTAGGTCTCAGGGATTACATCGTCCAGAATATGATTATAGGATTCTTGTCGGTGATAGAACGACTCTAAATTCTCGGGTATATAGTGTGGCGCATGCGGATGTCGCGGTTCGGGACACTACAAGAACTAGTTATTGCTCTCTTGGATCGCAGCTTTGAACTCACAGAAAGTGTCATTTTCAAACAACTTGATGATGCCTTGGTTCCTCCTGTCTGGTGGAAACAGCGGACGCTGTAATGTGTAATGTCCTCGGACTCATGTAGATTTGTGTGCTGCAGACTTACGGCATGAACAACAGGCCTTGAAACCGCGATAAAATTGACCGTCAACTGTTTCTCTTGTGGAAAGGCACTATGGGAGCATGACGGCGATGTATATATTTAGTGGATGGTGGTGTTAAGCGTCAGTGTTGTTGGCAGTAGTAACTGACTAGCATATACCACACTCGCATGTTTTTATGCGGGGTTATTCAAGAAAACAATGAAAAGTCCTTCCCCAGACATGTATCGCATTTGCTAGGACGAGGGGCACCACAGGCTGATGGTGAGAAGTATTGCTGTTGATGTAAAACCGGAAGTCCTTGACAGAGACGTGTTAAATACTAGAAGCGTCGGCAGTCCGCAGCCATCATGCTTACTCAACCGCGCCTCATAGCCCTTTTTCTCGTGTGAACAAATCCTATTTTTCTGTTAAGAGCGTATTAGCAGCGCGTTAACGGCATAACGCTAGTCGTTAGCGTGGCCAGCAGCTTATATCTTCGCAGCCGGGAGTTCACACACACTCTCTCTCTCTCAAATCAAACAACCAACTCTCTTCTGCCCCATTACTCGACAGCTTCCTTTTCCCTCTCAAAGCTTCCTTTTCCCTTTAAGCAACTAACCGACACACTTCCATTCGCCTACCTGGCCTCAGTCACTCGCTCCTAGTCAGTAAGCCATCGCCTCTCTCCAGCTAACAGCGTACACAGAACCAATCAAGGGCGGACCAAGTCTATCTATAGGCGTCTTCTTCGAGGCGAGCGTGCCTGGCTTCCGGCCACGACGAGCGCAACCCGCGTGCCGCAAGTAGGCCGTCTTCGTGACCAAGGAATGCAGCGACTCGACATCGCACTTGGGGTCCCGTTTATTTCATCCCGGTTGCCGTCTCGCCGTAGCGTAGGCTGCGTTGTCTCCGGACCTGTGTATAGCAGTGCTCGTCGCCATCGGTTTGTTTGACCTTGAAGTCAGGGCTGCTCTTATGCTTATAAAAGCCTGGGCGGGTGGGTTTCTGCTTTATTAAGTTATTGCAGGGCTTCTTTTTTATACTTAGCTTCAAAATAGAGCTGTCGTTTCTCTCCCTGGCGTTGAGCATGTGTGTAAAGCTTCTGTTCTCTATCATACAGTGAATCGTGACGCCGCCACCTAAATAGAACACGCAGCGCGGCAGCAGTTTCCAGCGTTTGTACGGGTGCAGCTTGACAAGCCGCCTTATATCCTATACAATGAAGACTACGCCCATTGCATTATGCTGAGGAATAACTAAAGGCGTTAAAGCGTGCCACTGCGCTAGGTATGTAGATAAGTAGTGAGTTGTAACTCGTGAGCTGTAAGCTGTGTATGTAGAAGGAAGGAAGGTCTATAAAATGAAGTAGGTTATTGAAGCTCCCAGATACCAGGGTCTATTTGCTGATTGCAGGCGTGTGTGCGTACTGCGTGGGAAATGGCATGAGCTGGTGGGGTTGGTGATGGGTAGTGGGTTAGTGTTTATAGAGCTTGGTTTGGAGGGTGTTGTGTACTGGTTCAGTGCCGGAAGTACTATATAAGCGGTTGGATTTGCTTCGGACCTTTTCGGATGGGTTTTTTGGAGACTGCTGAGGGGGCGGGGGTGAGTCGGTGGTTTGTTTGTAGCTTCGCTGTTTCTGTTTTTGATTTGTTGGAGTTCGGAGTCTGGTGCTTGCTCCTTATTCCCCAATCACTTTTCATCAGCTTTGATGATGTCACAATCGACGCCACATTCTTCAAGATTTATACCGATCAGTCAAGACATTTAATTCAAAATTCTTTTCAACTACATCTCATCTCGACCCACGTCACCCCTAAAGCATCTACCACAAGTCGCCAATAGCCTCAATGAATGCCTTGCCAAGGAGCTCATGGACCTTCAAGCCGGGGTGGTAAGTGTCGGTCCAGACGCAGCTGGTGCCATCGCCGCTCTGGCAGGTAGCGTCCGTGGCGCCGTAGCTGGTCGGGTCGTTGATGACCTTGTTGAAAGTCGGCGTGACGTTGAAGACCTGGCCCTGGGCGCCGCTGTGCGCCGTCTTGAAGGCAGCGAAGCGCGTCTCCAGCGCCTCGTTGTACGACTTGATGTCGGCGCGGAGCTTGGTGAGCTTGGTCTCGCCCTGCTGGTTGAAGGCGGGGGCCTTGTCGAACGCTGTGGCGTGTGTTAACTTGGTGTTTTTTAAGAAGGGAATTGCAAGGCTGCCTTACGCGGCACGTTGAACAGGACGAACTTCTTGAGCCCGGCCTCGAACAGGTTGCTCAGCAGCTCGAAGTAGCGGTCCATGACCTTGGCCTGCGGCACGTCGGTGCTGTCCCAGAAGCTCTCGCCAATGTCGTTGATGCCGGTCCAGAAGACGACGAGCGAGTCGTCGCCCGGCGGCTTGCCGTCCAGGTACTGGTTGAACTGGTCGACCTGGTCGTCGACGCACGCGCTGGCATAGCTGTCCACGATGTCCTTGTCCGTCGTCGCGCCCGACACGGCAAAGTCGTACGTGAACGTCAGCGACGTGTTGAGCTTCGACGTCACCTGCCCGACCCAGTTGAGGCCGCCGCTGGTCGTCGTGCCGGGGAGTGCCGGGTTGCCCAGCGGGTTCTCGACCGACGGCTTGTCGCCGCCCGGCCACGAGCCCGTCGTCGAGTACGAGTCGCCGCTGCGGGGCGTATTAGTTGCGTACGTGTGTGAGGGATTGAGAGGCTTTGGCGTACAAGACGAGCAGGTACTTGGCGTCGGTAGTCGCGGCGGAGGAGGCGGCGGGCGCGGGTGCGGCGCTCGCGCCAGAGAGGAAGAGGCTTGCCGCCAGCGGCAGGGCGTGGGTGAATGAAACCATCATCTTGGATATATCTCAAGCCAAAGAAGAAGAAGAAGGATAACAATAAAACGAGAGTATTTCCAGAAGAAGTGCTATATTTACAACAGGTCGACCAGCCCTACAAACAAACGTCTCAGCGCAAACCCTCCCCCGCCGGAGCTTTTATAAGTCGAGGGCGACGGCCACCGGGAAAATTAAAGGAGGTCCCCTTGCACACGCGTGTGTGTCGTTTATGATAGAGTGGGCGCGCGCGAACGGCTTCGCGAGACGTCGGCGCGTGAAACATGAGCCTCGCGAGGTTTCACCTCCAGGCGATTGGTGCGGAAATGGCGTCAGCTGGCCCGTTCGGCGCGGCGGGTGCGGAGCTGCCCGCCTAAACGAGGCCCGCCTGCCGAGATTGGGCATGCGTTATTGGTGCCCGGGGGTTATATATGCGGGTTTGCCTGGCCGGCTTGCCGTTGTACACTATATGTGAGTGAGACATGGCCTCCGAGGTCCGGTCCGAGATTGTGGCGTTGTGGTGGTGGTGGTGGTGGTGGTGGTGAGGGAGATGGCCTATGCGTTCAGGTAAAGATGAGAATCTAATATCTGCGATAAAGATGCCTTTATCGTCGTGATGAAGAAATTAGTTTCTTTTAACTTCAGTCCTCTGCAAACCTTGTTTACAAACGAAAGAGTTGAAGACAGATCAAAGACGGCATACCGGTGCACCCAAATCCCTCCAACGACCCCTCTACCAGAAGACGTTTCATCTCTCAGCATCCACCAACAACCTCCCCACGAGAACGCGCCTTTATCGAGACAGAACTACGTAGATATTAGTAGCTATAAAAAAAAACCCCCATCACCACTCTCCTACTCGTACCTCACAGCTTCGAACTCGACCACTCTTCCGGTGTGCGGCAGCATTGATTGCCGCCACAACAACCAACACAATGGCCGATAGGTCGCAAGCACGCACACACTCCACGCACCCCAAACCCCCCTCCCAAACCCCTTCCCAACCCCCCACACCCCCACCATCCCCCAGCATCGTGCATCACCACCACCATACTCCCACGGCAAGCAGCGCCTCTCCCCCAAGCCGCTGACCACCAGCACCGCACCGTAGCAGCAGCAGCAGCCTCAGTAGATCGGCCCAGCAGTCCGTGCTCGAGTGCCCGGAACGGGATGGAAGCCAGACGCAGCCACGCGCTCTCCCCGGTGGAAAGTACACGTATATCCAAGTACAGCACAGCACAGCATCATTCGAGCAAGTCGTCCAGAGCTGTCTGGTATCTCTAGACCAGCATTGGCACTGCGCGTCTTGCACCGAACCAACCACAAAAAACCCCCAATCAATCAATCAACCGATTTATTCATACATTCCATCCATCAAGCCTAAGTAACAATATCGACAACCATCGAAGAAGATAAATACACAAGAAGTTTCGCCAAGGTATCGCCGCAAACGCCGCCCCCCTCGTGCGCCGTACTCAGTGCGTACTCATACCCATACCCCGTCCACCATGTGTGTCTGCAAGAGACCAAGTCCGCGCAGTGTCGTGTCGTGACGTGTTGAGCGCCTCGGGGCGCCAGCCAGCCCAGCCCAGGCCCGACGAGGCCGGGAGTAATGGTAAGGTAAGGTATAGAAGGTATAAAAGCAGCAAAAAACAGAAAAAAAAAAAAAAGCAATATCCCTGCTATCGATATCGATATCGTGCGTATGTGTCGTTATCGTAAGAATATTAAGTCGTAAAGAGCGTGTATACATGCGCGGCCACTCCGTCAAGGCAGTGGTCACGGCATGGTCATAGGTAGTCATGGTCATAAGTAGGAAGGCAAGGTCAGTGTCAGTGTCAGTGGCAGCCGATATCACGGCCCGTCCCGTTGAGTGCACACTCCGCTCCGCCGCGCAGCCGCCCGCACCACACCACACCACACACACACACACTCACTCAAACCTCTCCCTCCGTCTCGGTCCCCTCCTCTTCCTCCAACTCACCCGCTCCCCGCCCGACCCACCGGCGCGCCCTTCCCCCGGGCACATCCACAAAAGTCTTAATCCTGCACTCGCCATTACCCTGACAAATCCTCTTGCGGCCCAAATTCTTATGCCGCGGGCCCAACGGGCCATTGACATAATGGTACTGCCCAGCAAAGCGATACTGGCGCGGGTCGCTGAGCGGGTAGAACTTGTCGCCCCAGTGGCCCTTGTAGTAGAACCAGTTAGTGGGAGCCTGGGGCGTCAGGGCGCTGGCGCGCAACTTGTCCGCCGCGTAGTCGTACGTGTAGCTGTGCGCGTTCAGCAAAGGGTCCCACAGCGGGCCGCGGTCCGTCACGTCGTGCAGGAGGCCCCAGGGCAGGATGTAGGCGTGCGTGCCCGGCGTCGCGTACATGGCGTGCGTGCCGATGGCGATGTAGCCGACGGGCTGCGGAACGAGGGTGTCAGCTTAGCTCGGTTCAGCTCCGCTGTGTTTGTTTCTTTTTCTTTTTCCTTGCTCGTGTAACGAGGGGTGCGGAGGAGTCCGGTCACGCGCTATACTTACCCGCTTCCCGATCTTTTCCACCGCCTCATATGCGTACGCCTCGCCGAAGTTGTGCTCGCTGAAGAAGACGGCCTTGGGCTTGCCGTTATGGAAGCGCACCACGCTGTGCTCCCAGTCGCCGACATGGTTGCCGAACCGCACGTTCAGCACCACATTTCCGAGGTTGTAACTGTAGAAATAAAACCAAAACGCGTCGACGACGCCGTTTCCTTTGTCTACGACGATGAGCACCGCGGGCGCTTCGCTGCGTCCGCCGGGCGTCGTTCCGCGCTTGCCCGTCGCCCACGTCAACGACCGCCGCCGGAGGTGCACGGATACGTCCGCCTCATCCTCAGCGCAGTCGTCTTCGTCAATGTACTCCTCGCCTTCTGTTGTGTCGGTTGGTGTTGCCTGGCTCGGCATCGTCGGATTCGGCCGGATGCCGCCTTTGTCCTTGGTGTCGCCGATGCCGGCCTCGTACCACGGTTTTCGCCCGTCCGCAAGGTCGTCCGGGAGTTCCCCGTCGATGCGGCCGTCCCAGTCCGCCCAGCCCACTTCCTCGGCATCGTCGTCGTCGTCGTCGTCGCGCCCGCCAGGCTTAGTGGGGACATTATTTTCGCCGCCGAGCCAGCCCGGGCGCTCTTCGACATTGTCGTCGCTTTGTAAGTAGACGAAGCGGCCCCATTGGTTCAGGTCGTCGAGGTTGGTCAGGTTGGGGTGGTCCGATGAAGCCTGCAGTGGCGTGTAGTTGAGGTGGGGTGTCGTGTGGATGAGGTGATCGGCAATGTCGCAGGGCCAGAACTGCTCGCCCGAGAACAGGTGCACCAGCGGCGCGTGGTCCAGCACGTACTGCGGGATCTCGCGGAGCCGGCGCTCGTCGGCGCTCCAGTCCTCGGGCCGTGCCTTGCCGCTCGTCCAGAAGTCGCTGAAGTCCAGCATCTTGTCCTTGGCCCCCTCAAGCGCTTCTTGCACTCGGTGCAGCCCCTCCTTGCGATGCTGCTTGTTGATCCATTTAGAGCTATTCAGGTGTGTCACGCCGCACAGCCCGAACCATTGGCACGTCTTCCGCTCCATCCACGACCTGGAGCTTGCTATCCATTCCTTCTCTTCCAAGCCTTCCGACGAGGTGTTCTGGCCAAAGTGTTGGTATACTTCACTAACAGTAAAAAGACTGAGGAAGGCCGAGAGTATAGCCACTGGGAGTCGTCCTCTCCGCATTTGCAAGTCGGAGCACTCGGAGGGTACGGTGGACAGTGGGTATTGGTTGGCGAGTGGGTGTGGGGGGCAATGGGAGGCGGGGCGGCCTTGCGGTGGTGAAGCGTCTACCAACGGCGTAGGGATAAAGATGAAGGGTGCGGTAGGAGTTGCTGCGGAAGACTCGGATGGGAGCAAGAGGGTAGAGGAGGGAGGGAGTGGAGGAGGAAGAGGAGTCGGAGGTGCAGCGAGGGGAGGTGCGAATGGTACCTGGGCGCCATGGCCCAAAACTAGCAGGTCGTCAGCCAGGGCCAGGTGCATCACGATAGAGGCGCTGGAAGGGCCGGATGATCGGCGACATGGAGGGGTTGGGTGGTAAGCACTGATGGGGAAGGGAAGCGGGCTATGACGGGATCGGAGCTTGCGGAGGTAAGCCAGAAACGTACGGTTGGTCATCAACGGAAGCGTCGGCATGACGGTGACAGGCCAGGCGGCAGCCACTGCAGCAAAGCAACAGCAGATTGATGATTGATGATAGCAGAAACGGGAGATGCAGACGCAATCGTGGTGTCGTCGATTGGTGCCGCACCGGTCAGCCCTATCGACGTCACGGCCGGTCCAGCGACGCTAGCGGCGGGCAAAGCTTCTGGGCATGTGCTTGTCTCTGCCAACCGTCCGCGACAACATGTCCGACGACGAGTGGGAGTACGAGTACCATGCCAGCGAAACCACCGATTTCTACCTGACCCTCGACCTGACCTCGCGTGCCGCCCCCGCCAACAAGCGCGGCGCCAACACGCGCATCGACGTCGACTTCTTCAATGCAGCTAACAGCGAGGCACGCGACACCCCGGACGCGCCCACACCCGATGCTGCAACAATCCCAGCCCCGCGCCCCGACGGAGCTGAAGTCATCGGTGACGATCCCATCCAGATCCTAGACCTACATCGCGACAATCCTATAGTCTCATATCGCGGCCAGCTCTTCAATTGCCACTGGGCCTCGACCATCGGCACTGACCTGTTCTTCGCGCGACACGAAAAAAATAACGGAGACGAAGACGATGACGATGACGATGACGAAGCCGGCAATGTCAATGTCGACCAACCCCAGCAATCCCCTCCTCTCCGCTCCCTCAACACCTTCGACCTCCTCGGCGCCAGCTCCACCCGCCTCGTCGGCACAACCGCCCAGCTAAAAGCACGCTCCGAGCTGGTCACGAACCAGCAGCGCCGCAACCGTCAACATGCCTTCGCCGCCATCCAGACACCGGGCCACAGTCGCAGCGGTCGCAGCAACACCACGCAAGCTTTCCCCGTCGCGGCCGACGCGCCCCGCGGCCAGAAGCGCCAAGCCGGGTTCCTGGAGCAGTTGAGTGCCGTCAAGGCGCGGATGGGGGAAACAGACCATGTACGCGCGACCGCGTCGACGAACCGTGGGCATAATTTGCGCGGGGATGAGATGGATCTGATGATGACGGAAGGTGCGGATTTCAGTGCCGACGTTACACCCGAAGGTTCCGCCGAGGTTGAGGAGCTGCAACAACAACAGGCGGAAGAGGAAGCAGCCCCCGCGCCTGCGGCCAGAGGAGCCACGCCAGGTAGGCGTAGAGGACGCGCCAGGCGCGGGGCGGCTGCCTCGGGGCGGGCGCGCAGAGGTCGGCGCGGCTCCAAGTACGACAGCCCATTGCGGAACGAGGTCGGCGCTGAGACGGCTGCAAGGCCGACGCCCGCGTCATGGGATGAGTTGGAGCAGCCGCCTGTGAGACCAAGTCCGCTGCGCAGGACTGAGACAATGGAGACGGAGGGCGCGTCTGCTGCTGAGGATGCAGCGGGCGATTGAGACTGGTTTTAGTTGATCGAGCTTCTGAGGCCATTGCTGTGCTCGCTATATCAGACGACTTGCTACGCCTGCCTGCCTGCTTCTGTTTGTGGCTGTCATGTCTTGCTGCTCGTGCACTTTCCTCTCCTGGTCTTACCACTTCTGTACTGTGCCTCGCAGCTGCCCCTCTCTGTCCAGAACCTATCTCAGATCCTCATCCATCCCACATCCCATCCCGACCCGTATTGTCCAGAAGTCGGATTTTATTATCACTCCATCAAACATATCCATCTTCAAATTCATCTTCACAACCGGCTTCATTCATCCCCGCCGCCGGCTGCATGACCGCTGCTACTACTACTGTCCACGCTCACTTCCACGGTCACGCTCACGCTCGTGAGTTGTGCTTCACCGGTTCATCTTTCGGCTCGGTTGCAGCTGGATAGGCTGGGTCGTCTACCCTTCCTCCTTTCTGTTCTTCAGCTTGCGAGCGACGTAATCTACTTTTTCTTCTCGCTCCGGGCACAAACTCTTCCGTCAATGAGCACCGTAGCCTGGGTCGAGGCAATCTTCATCGTTGTCGGCGCGCTGCTTTGTTTCCGCGTTTTCGACGACCACCCCCGTGCCGACGACGAGACGTACGGGACCCACCCGCACACGCAGTACGCCCCAAGGTATATTTCGAAAAAGGTAGCTTAGGACCTTACGGCCACGGCTCCATACACTCTCCATCCACTCTCAGGCTCAGAGCATGGACGTCCCCCTCTGCCTCGCCCCTACCGACTGCTGCCCCACCGACTGCTTCTCGACCGACTGCCTTCCTCCCGACTTCTTCAGCACGGCCTTCTCCACGCGCACGTCGAGCGCGACAACCTCTGCTGGTAGCGGCATCATCGCTCAGCTTTCTGCTCGCCCTGCCCAAACCTTCACCTGCCCAGTGTGCTTCCAGACCTCCCTACCGCACGTTTCTCCCTATCTGTGGGAACTGTTCTTTGGTCTCGGCAGACGCGCTTCGCTGTACTTGACGTGCGGAGCCATACGTCGACGCGCTACTGCTACGATCCAGAAAAAGGAGGACGGAGCTTCTGGGGCGGCAGCAGTGGATGTTGAGGAATCACTTGCAGTGGGATTAGCTGAGCGAGAAGGCGAGTAAGCCGCGGGCAAGCCGAGAAAAGAAGATAAGACGCCGCTGAGCCCAAAGCCGATACGATGGAGGACAGCGAGGGCGTGTCCGAGATGGGAGAGCTGCCGGATCTGGAGCTGCAAATCCCGGCCCTGGCTCTCTTCCGCCGCAGCACTACCCCATCACCACCTCCCCCTCCTCTACCCCCCTCACCGGAAGAGTCTCCCCCCTCGCCGGGAGAGCCACCCCCGCCACCGAAACCCCCCAGAATCCCCACGACCAGCACGGTCAACTTCTCAGCCACAAACGTGTACATCTCGCCATTGCCAACGCCGACCTCATCCTCATCCAACCCCACGAACCCCACGGCTCCTACGCCCGCCCGCTTGAGAGATGCATCTCGGCCATCAGGTTCCCGGCGGTCGAGCTCTCGCCTGTCGAGCCCCCGTCGGCTGTCTGATCCCCGTCGACCAAGCCCCCGTCGCTCGAGCTCTCGCTTCTCAAACCCCAGATGGTCGCCCCCGCCCCCGCCTTCCCGCACCCGGTCCGCCCCGTACCACTTCCCCTCTGCGGGCGCTAGCAGGATCTACCGCCTGCTGTCGCCGTCGATGATGACGGCGCCGGACACGGAGCGCGAGGGGTCGTATGCGGAGCGTCCGGGACCGTATTCGAGGCACTCGGGGCCGTATATGCAGCGCTCGAGCCCGTATTCGGGGTACAGAGGCTCAACGGCGTCAGAGCCCGAGGTGCCGACAAATGCGGAACTGTTGGCTGAAGCGCTGAAGGCGCGTAGGGATACTCTGCTTACGGGGACGTATGTTTGTGGTGTTGCGGTGCTGTTGGTCATGGCGTTTTGTGGGGTCGCGCTGGGGTGGTGGTTGTTGAGGCTGCAGGGTGGGGGGAAGTAGTGGGGAGGTTGGGGAGGTGGGATTGGAGTTGGAGTTGTTTGTTGTTGTGGGTTTGGTGGTGTGCGTGGGGAGGGGTGCTTGATACCTACTTGTTTTACCTACTTGATTGATTGATTGCTTGTTCGTTTGCTTGTTTGCTTGGTTCTTGTTGACGCATACTATTGCCTACAAGAGTGATATCTGCCTAAGTGAACCTAAGTGGCGTTATCACGCACTCACAACCCTATGCTATGCCATGATTTCCTAATTCCCTTATCTACCGCCACCTACCAGGTAGCTAAACGCTACCTAAACAGCCAACTAACTTACTAAGCGCACCCTAGGGTAGATCTACAAAAGCCGGCTTGTTAGCACATTTTGTATCGTCGTTGTTGTTGTTATGGATGATGGTATAGGTTGAAGGTTGTACAAAGCAGTCGAGAATCATGAGGTATGAGTCATGAGGTAAGTGGAGAGTACGTGGTGTAGAGGGAGTGGTGTGTGTGAGGGGGTGTGGTATAGTGGGGTTTGGCGTGGGTAGTGTGTACTTTAGCTTAAAGTGGCGTGGGTGTGAGGTTGCGCGGGGGTGTCTTGGGTTGGCGTTTCTCTTTTCGTGGGGATGGTGTGTAAGCTGTAAGTAAGGTGAGGCTTTGGGTGGGATAGGTGTAGGCTGTAAGTGTGGGACGGGATTTTTTATATACTTTTAGAGTATTTTTGTTTATTCGAATACTTATAGATTTATAATATCTAAATCGTGACTGGCCTAATATATCCGCACCCCACCTATTCTATACTAAAGCCTATCTATCCTCTTCGTATATATTTTATAGCTACTAACGTAGCTTAATTTTATAAAGCTTTATAGAGTTATTAAGAAGTAATTTGTTTACTTTTCTATATCTTTAGAGTAGCTTGTCTTGGTGTTGAATTCATGGTTGAAACTATGCGAGAGAAGATAGAACGCGGCTTAATTATAAATAAGTAACTAGTAGCGAGGTTTATATATATAAAGAGGTAGAGTAGTTATATACTCACTTATAGAAAGTAATAGGGGAGTAGTAGGGTATTAAAATAACGAAAAAGTAATATAAATATAGAGAATAATATAAGAGAAGAGATGGTATAATATAAAGAAATATAGCCTAATAGTCTAATACTTAGCTATATTCCTAAGTTTTATATAAAATCTAGTATTCTTAGAGCTTAGAAATCTTATATAGAAAATCGCTAGATTTAAACCTGTCTCTAATTTATAATTTTATGTTTAAATATCTTTTCTACCTAGCATTTATATTAAGAAATATAATAATATAATTCACTTTTAAAATTATAAGTTTTAGGTAATAAAATAAGCGCCTCGTATGTAGAATTATTCACTGCGTAAGGCGAGTTTTAGTATAAGGTAGTTTAACTACGGATACGTAGGAGACGTTAGTGTAACACTTCTATATTATTAAATATCTACGCCTTTACATTGTCTTAGATGCTTGTATTTACAAAAGCTCTTCTAGAGCTGTAAAGTTTCTCTATACTTTTATGCGTCTGATGATATGCTTTTGAGAGTTTTCCTTGGTTATCGGTGGTAGTTAGCGTGAAATTAATACAATTTTGGAGGTCTCCGGTCTTTAGCTATAATTTTAACGGATGATGTTGGAGCCGGAGCCTGATGTATTACGTTTGGTCTAGCTGGTGTTATAAGCAGTAATGACCAGCCGGTATCGAGTGCGTTGGTGGTTGAAGTGGGTTTTGCGTTTTCTCTTGGAACGTTTTCCAGACAGATTGTGTAGATAATTCGCAGGCAGGTATTTTAAACTCGATTTTTCATATAGAAAATATTTAAAGATTTAAAGCCAGTGCATTAAACTCCCGAATATGAAATGATTATGTACAGTCAAATCAGCTCAATCTCTGTTTCTGGCCATGGGTCGTTTCGAATTTGTTCCAAAAGGGTCGGACGTGGTTCTCTCCGCCTCCTGGAAGGGCGGGAATCATGCTGTCTTCTGATTCCATCATTTGAGTCTCTAATTATGACAACATCTTTGCGTGATAGTGATGCGACGCGGCGATAGCGTTCTAGTTTCCCGCCCGTCACTCTTTTGCTATCACGGCTTTCAGGTTGCTGTACTTTCTCCAGGATGAGGAAGAATGTTTCCTCGTAGACACTGTATTCCCATGAAAGAACCTGAATTGCAACAAGCAGCTGTTCTTCGTCGAATTGTGGAAATACATTATGCGTCGTTTCCTCTGAACTCGTCCAAATGAGCCTATCCAGTAGATATTCAGAAAAGTATGATGGGGGACCTCCCGAATGGCATGCTGAATATCTGGTTGTTTCCACTTTATCTCGAACTGAATGCTTGTATTGCGATTGGGAGGTCCTCCGCCAAGAGTCGCACAGTTTTCGAGCTAGTGATTCAAATCTTTTTGAAGCACTACGTGTAACGACAGAAAGGGGTTCGGGAAACCTCCAGTCCTTGGAAAATCGAAACAGTGGAGCTTTCAGGCGGAGTGGGAGTGGCTTGGTCGGTGTGAATCTTTCGAGCTCATTAGGGAGTTGCGGCGTTATGACATCCCGGATGTGGGATGTCGGTGGCTTTCGTATATTTTCAGGAAAGCTTTGATGCTGATGGTGGAGACAGCTGGCCCAGCTCCATGACGGAGCACACTGCGTCTCTTCAGCCCCGAACGAGGATTGGATTGTGGGTTTGTCGGAAGACTCTTTCTCTATCCAGAAAAATCCATATGCCCAATTGTTGTCCCACAAGCCTGCCCAGTATTTGGGCGAGTCTTCCACTAGGTTTAATTCCCCAAATTATATTGCTTGTTCAACTCCTAATCTGAGCAGTTTGTGTTCAGTGGTTTGCGCGATGCCTGCCAGGGACGCTAGTTTATCAGACTGGAAGGTGAAATCCTTTCGACTTAATTCATTTGGGAGTGCGTAAAATTGACGAATGATGGTGTTTTTAAGATGTTCGTGAGAAGTAAACCAGCCATCCAAAGTTTCCGACCGCATAAATGTACGCCAAAATTGCGAGATGTCTTCGAAGTTGTTGTGCAAGGATGATTCAGAGATCATTTGATCAAGAAGTCGGGTTCGCTCTTTATCGTGGTCGATTTTGTGGGCTCCTTTTTCGGTGCAGGTCAAACAGAACCAACCCATTTGGGAGCTGGTGAAGAAAATGCCTCGCGGGAGCAGATATGTATTCTTGCATGGTCCAGCCACGAGAACTCCAAGGATACTCGAGTCCGCCGTGTTCCCAATTTCTGCTGGAATCCAAGATACGGGAGTAGAAGGTTTTCTTTTTTCTTTTCCAACTCCATAATGCCAACAGCCGCTTGGGAGAGAAGAACCGCTCAGGAGTGAAGGACTGCTCAGGGGAGAAGGACTGCTCAGGGGAGAAGGCCTGCTTGAGAGAGAATGCCTGATTGAAAGAGACGGAATACGTTAAGTAGCATGTAGCGCCAAAAAAAATTCCATCGCTTGCGGAGGTGGCGTTACTGACAAACAGTGTGACTGTGGCATCGCTGTAAATGATGTCCATACGTGCCTTTTCCCGTTGAAGGTCTTCTCGACTATCTTGGATAATGCATAGAGCATCGACCCAAAGATAATAAAGGCCCAACCCTCGAGTGACTTGAATTGCATCCTGAATGGTCTTTGGGAGCATAGAGATGTCGATTCCCTCCCTGAATTTAGACAACGCTTTACTGCCCTCAAGCTTTACTTGCTTGGACCTACCCCAGCAATAGCTAAGGGCAGCATACCTCCCTCGATTGCCGCCGGTTTCTTCTAGAAACACGGTTGATCCAGGGCCTCCGACGTTTAGAGCTCTTGCTGGCAAGAACTTTTCTTGACCGTAAAGTTCTTTGCAAACTGGATGTCCGCGCAGACATTCTGAAAGCCAATCCTTCGCGAATTTCAATTGTGTTGGGTCCTCAAAGTGTGCTTTATTGGACTTGGTTGCAGTCACAGAATCGGAATGGCCAAGGCTCTTGTCGTCTGGAAAATAAGTTCCATTAGTTTGTGATATCCTTAAATCCCTCTGCTTGACTTATGTACCTACCTCTTATAGAAATTTCTATTTCAAACTTCTTAGAACATTCATCCCTCTCCAGCAGAATGAGAGAGGCGAAAAATTTCACGATCGAGCAGTCCAATGGTCAGTCGTAATGACGCACAAGAAGGCGCTGATGTTTTTGCAATATACCATACAAAAAGCCGACAGAGATTGCATCCACTTGGACTTTCTGCGCATGAGGCCAACTCGTCGAAACTGCGATGGTAAGGTGTTGATAAAAGCCACCCATTTCGACTTCGCGTTCGCATCGTAACACACTGGAAAAGTGCTTCTTGACACAGTCGACAGAGACCCATTATGGGCACAAAAGCGAAACCAAAATCATTGTAACCAGCAAAAAGAAGTTGGATCTAGGCCAAATAAAAGCACAGTCATTGGGGCAGTGCCAGGTTCTCAGTCTCATTACGGAGATACCTTGCAGCACCGGTCAGTCTCACCACGGTAATACCTCAGTACTGCCGAGATTAATAAGCATAATCTATGCAGTTATATGGCCAATCCCAGCAACGTTCGTGGCTGTGGGTGTTGTTAGTCTTAAAGGCCTTACACCACAATACAAAAAGTTGACATCAGCCTCGTCAAGATCGTCTGATGAGCAAAAATTAGCAGAAGTATTTGGCAAGGCTGATACAGCCTACAGAAGTTACCTGCTGCCTAATAGACATCGATCTGTAGTTTCTCATGATTTAGGCTCCCATCCAAGGCATCGCCGCAAACCACCAGGCAGACAACCCGCGGCTCATCGATCACCGTCGTACCCCTGTCTGTACAACCGCCCACAGAGCCCTCAACCCCGACGCCCACCTCGTGGCACGCCACAGCTGGTGTCAGACCCCGCCCCTCGGAGATGTCGCTCCACGAACAGCGTTTCCTGCAGGATCTCCAGATGCGCTGTGGCGTGGCGACCGTTGCCTGCGGAGTACAGTGGGGAAGCCGAAGACGGGCGTTGTTTGTGCGTTGGGTGTGCTGCGGGATACGAGATGCGGGATGCGGGGACAGGCAGGATGGGCGTTGGTTAGCGACGTACAGGGGCTCGATTGGGTGATAGCCGCCAGGTACGGATTACCCGATTTGCGGACTGGGTGCAGATTATTGAAGAGTGCCGATGGATACCTATGTAGATGTTCATTTTCTTCAGGGAACAGGAACTGTCCGTCGTTGGTTTGATGTCATTTGTTCAATCATCGTAGCATAGAGTGGACGATAAGCTGACCTTCCGCGCCACATATCCAACGCCACGCTGAAGCGCACCGCCGATCAAGTCGCTGCTCGAAAGAGAATCGAGCTAGTACTTTGTACCACGACCTGTCAGGCAGCCACTCAGCCCAAACCACGCCTCCTCACAGCTTGCTCGCCCCGCCCTTCGGCGGACAACACACCTCGCCTTGCGCACCGATCTTCGCCTCGCTCTCTCCCTGGTGATGCTGCACTCCAAGCGACGTGCTCTTATTAAACGCCTGCTCGCTAGGCGGCACATCCAGCGCAGGGTTCTTATCGAAGAAGTTGACTGGCTTCAGCGCCACGCGCAGCGTCTCGACCGGCATGACGGGGAAGTCTTCGATCCGCGGGATATGGTTGATGCCGAACTGCACATACACGACAATGTCCTTGTCGAGCGCCGGTTCGTTGCGCGCCGCCCAACTGCGCACGCCCGTCCCTCCCCGCGACTGGTTCGTGTAGCGTCCGCCTGCGTAGAACTCGCTGTCGCGGTGTGTTGTGAGATAGATGTCGTGGTCGGCAAACTCGGCGCGCCGGCGGTGGAATGAGTCCTCGTCTGCGAGCATGTGCTGGAATGGCGGGGCGACGATCTTGTACGCAACAGGAGCGCCATTGACCGGGTTGCGCGACGAGGCATTCTCAATCTTGAAGACGCGGTTTCGCTGCGTGTCAAGATCGTATCCACCGGTTGTTGCCACGGGCGTTGTCTGAACCGTGTAGCCTGTGCCATGTGGGTTGAAGTCGCTGCGCGGGAGGGGGTGCGCCTCAGTGTAGACCAGGCGGTTGGCGTGCCCGTCGAGGGCGGGGTCAATACGCAGTGAGAAGATATGTTGATGGTGGACGGCGAGGACGCCGGGATGGACGACGGTACCGAAGGGCACGTCGAGGCCCTCGTCGATGGGCTGGGTGGACAGGATGCCGGTGGCGCGAACCTCGTAACTGAGCTCGCCGGCCTGATTGAACTGGAAAGCAAGGATGTATTCATAATTGGAGACGGTGATTATGCTCTGGACAATGAGCTCACGGTTGCGCACCACGGCCGCCCGCCCGGTGCGGTAGTTGGTGTGCTTCCAGCCAATGCCCGCGTCTTGTTCGTGAATGCAGACGACGTTGGGCATTTCGACGATACCACCCTTGTCATCTGAGAGTTCCGCAGACAGGTAGTAGATGCTGCCGAGACAGTCGCAACCCAGCTTAAGGTTGTTGGCCATTATACCCGCGCCGGCATCGCCCAGATCGAAGGCAGCCTTCTTGTGGAATGGGTGCCGCGGGTCTGCGTATGGAATGTTCATGTCCGAAAGCGACACGCGGTAGAAAAGACTGCGTCCGTCGTACCGTACGTCGTAAAGCACCATGCCCTCGCGCTGGTTGAAGCCCACCCGGAAGCTCCACTTCTGCCACTTCAGCACCGTTGACGTTCCCTCCTGGTTGACGCTGAAGCTAGCGCCCTCGGGTTGCACCACGTTCAGCGGCTTCAAATCTGTCCGTAGTGTCTGCGCCTCCGGAATGTATTCGTTGGCTGGGTGGATCTTCATGGGCCCAAGCGGCTTGACCGTGTTGTCGGCGCCTGTGGGTAGAATGTCGATGCGAATAACCTTCATTGTTTCGGTGGAAATGACAGGCGAGACGGGCAGCGGCAGCGCATAGTGGTTTGAGTCGGCCTCATCAGAGTTCAGGGGGTCTCGCATGTACAGAAAGCATTGATACATGCGGTCATCGTCATTGACGCCGTCTGAGCCATAAATCCATGGGTCAACAATCACGACGGTACCTTTGGGGAGCTGAAGTTTGGCGATTGCGGCCCGGACGCCTTCATCTTCCAGTGCGGTCTTTTCAATGGCGATTATCTCCTCAGCATCGCCATTGGCGTGAACGTTGGGACCCAATCGCACGTTCTTCTCGACGGTGCCGGAGAACAAATTTACGATAGCTTCGTGGTATTTGTTCGTGTTCCGGATATAGTAATTTATGAAGGCACGCCTGTGGATGGTTGGTAGCGATCTGCCACTATGCTCAGCCTCCAAGTACGGGATCGCTTCGACCTTCGCCGGTTCCTCCAGTGTGACGGTTTTGAAGTAGACATCTGTGCCAGTGGGCCACGCCCCCCGAAGTATGGTGGAAGCAGCCTTGATCTCGTCTCCGCTTAGAGGTGCAAATGGGTGGACGGTTGGCATGGTGGGGTAATGCGGGGTAGTGTGGGGATGTAGATGTGGAGGGAGAAGGATGGAGACTGAGGACAGTGAAGAAAGTAGTAAAGAGGAAGAAGCAAAGGTACTGGCGGCGCCGTTATAAATACAGACGTCGCCTTACTGCAAAGCTCGGGTCAGCCCCGATGCGGGTGATAAGCAAAGTGGAGATTGGTTGTTGTACCACAAAGTGGGGATGCTGGCAGGTGGTTACTGTACCGCAGCCGCATCGACATGCCAGGTTTGGAAAAGGCGCGACAGCGGCGGCGCCCAGCGGTAAGGATCTTCGCGGTTATCGGAGCCGGCTGAGCGCTGATTCGTGGATCTGTGGCCGCTGACATTAATACTGTTCGTAGTAAGGTTGCAATCAGACCGTCTTATGTCAAAAAGAAGAGGCCACACTTTGGTGCCATTGCTCACCGGTTGGGTTGGAGGTTAGTTGTGCGTCGAAGAACGGTGAATGGTGGAGGGTCGCGCGAGTAAGTCTCCGGGTAAGCTGTGGATGTGATGATGCAAACGCACGGATGAAACCGCCATGAGCTTGGCTCCAAAGAAACCATCTCGCTGCTCGTCTCATTGACTCTCTCCCCTCGCAATCCCTCCAAGCCTGCCTTGTTCTGCCGTCCAATTACCAGCGCGTCTGCGGTCAATCACATAGGGCGCCGTTTCACCATGCCTCCCCAAGAAAAGGGCGGGCGCGTCGTCTTTATCGGCAACATCCCGTACGGTGCGTTGCGTTTGCCAGCTCCTGCCTCGTCCATTTGCTGACATAAGTGACAGGTGTTAGTGAGGAGCTTATCACCGAGACCCTCAGCCGTGTCGGCAACGTCCTCACCTTCCGCCTCGTTTACGACAAAGACACCGGCAGGCCCAAGGGCTTCGGTTTCGCAGAGTTCTCCGACGCCGAGGAAGCGGGCTCTGCTGTGCGCAACCTCAACGACTACGAGCTTATGGGCCGCAAGCTGAGGGTCGATTACTCCAACGACAACGGTGCAGGCGACAGCGCGCCTGCCAACTACAATCCACAAATAATGCCGCCAGCCAACGGTCAAGAGGCACTGCCTGTGGCTGCCCTGCCGCCATTGCCGCCCGGAGTCGACGTCCCACCCGATCTCACCTGCCCTGATGCCATTTCGAAGACCCTACAGACGCTGCCCCCGCCGCAGCTGCTCGATATTCTTTCCCAAATGAAGAACTTGGTCACGAACGACCCCGCAAAGGCCACCGAGCTCCTGCGCCAGGCGCCTCAACTGTCTTTCGCCATCTTCCAAGCTCTACTCCTTCTGGGTCTGATCGATCAATCCCTCCTCACATCTGTCGTCGACACTGCCACCATCCCGCAAGCGGCACCGCAGCCGCCGCGCGCATACCCCGGATACCCTCCGCAGACCGGTCGTGGTCCGATGCCCGTGCCCACGCCGCCTGTTGGCAACCCATACCAGCAGCCTCCGCCCGTGCAGCAGCAACCGCCACCGCAGGTGGTGGACCAGCAAGAGCTCATTCGCCAGGTGCTGTCGATGACACAGCAGCAAATTGCAGCCCTGAGGCCAGAGGACCGCGTGCAGATCGAGCAACTGAGGGCAAGCTTGATGGGAGGACAGGGGTTCTAGAGGGCAGAATAGTGTTCTCCCGATAATAATCTATGCAGCACGAGGATGAGGGTGTCGAGATTTGCGAGGACCCAATCGATTCTCCGAATGGAATGAAACGAAGCACAACATACCATGTCACGGCGGACAGGCAGCCTGGCAGATGTTCCTCATGGGCGAGTGTGTTGGGCGAGGATGACACAACGTCTGAAGGCGGCAGGGCGGGGAAGCGACAATAAGGGCAGGCAACGGATGGCCAAAAGCAGTTTGGTGTATTGATACCCGTCGCGAGGATGATTGACATTTGACATGATAGCGAGACGTGTAAAATGCCGCATGATTGGCCAGAGGCCTGGAACGGGCAAGTACTTTAGCACCATAGCAGAAAATTGCGACTTCAAGGTCCATGAAATATGTACCAAAAATCAAGCACACAAGCAACTCCACCTAGTTTCCTACTTTTGCGGGGGTTAGCCATGACATGAACGGAGCATCTCTCCGGATTTTCGAGTGGCTGGGATCAATTAGTGGCCCAGCCAAACAACTCGCAGCTCTCCCCAAGCTAATGCGCCTGCACCGAAACATCAGCCTTCGGCAGCCGACAGCTTTCCGCTCGCACAGTAAAGCCCACCGACCCCCCGAAACCCGCGACGACGACCTCATCTCGCCAGCGTGTACCAGTATCATGACTTGACGACTTAACGACCGCGATCTGATACCCAAAGCAACGACCCACGAACCACTAAGCCAGTACCTAATAATCTCGATCTCGATCCGTGACCAACCACGCGCTCTCACTTCCCCAGACACACACGAAAATGTGGAACAAAATCACAGGCAAGAGCGACTCCTCCAGCGACGGCCGCCGCAAGGAACCCGCCACGCGCCGACGCGCCGAGTCCATAGTCTCCTCATCCACCTCGCGCAACCCGCCTCGCAGCGTCGAGGACCGTAGCGACTACCCGCCCACGCTGTCGTCGCGCGGCACCAGTTACCTGCCGCCACCCTCCACGGTCTCGGTGGCTTCCTTCACGACCGCGCCAGACCGTGCGCGTACCATGGACAACGACGACAGGTCCGAGAGGACCGCCTCATACTACGACGATTTTGACGACGAGTCGCGCTCTTCGCGCTCTAGTCGCACCGAGCGCTCTGATAAGCATCGCGCACGCTCCTCCAGTCGCGACCGCAAACACCATCGCAGAAATAGCAAGCGTGATGAGAGGAGGGAAGACAGGAAGGACAGGGACAGACACGAAAGGCAGAAAAGGAGCAGCATGTCGAGCACAAAGGCACGCAGTAGCAAGTACGAGGATGACCTGGTTGAGAGCCCAGAGCGCACCAGAGCCAGTGACATTCCGCTCGAAGCCAGCAGGTCCTTCGGGGGCCAGGTTTCCAGTCCCGGTCTCAGTCAGTATCCAACTCAGTACGTGGCTGCGACTTCAGCCCCATCGCCGGCTCACGGCTATCCGAGCATGGATGCACATGTATCGAGTCAGTTTCCGGGACAGAATCCCTCACAATATTCCGTAGCGTACAGGCCGCCACTTAGTGTGGATGAAGGCGGCCACGGTCTTGCCACCGACTACTATGGCGACCAGGGCCAATCTGTGCATTTTCAGCCCGGGGTCCGCCCTCAACCGCCTTCCCTTATCGTTGGTGCCGAACCACATCTTATGGCGGCCTCACCCATTCCCGCTCCACCAGAAGAGACAGGACACGGTTCTGCAGCTGAATTTTTTGCCGGAGGTGACATGACGACGTCTGCCCCTGCAGGCAGCGAGGGAAGACCTCCCGTCAAGCCCCCGCGGCCCCAGTCTATTCCTGGTAGCTTTGAACCAGAAGCTCCTGTGAAGCCGCCCAGGCCATCAGCCACGAAGCCTCCCAAACAAGACAAGCCAAACATGTTCCCAACTGCTGCCGCTGCTGCTGCTGGTGCGGCGGTAGGATACGGTCTCGGACACGAATCTGACAGCTCGCACCACGCCGAGAACGCGCACTACAGCAACAGTGCCAGCTTCTACCAGCAGGGAACCAACCATAATGTGGAAGGTTCTGCCTTCTACGCGTCTCCAAGTACGATCAGTTCCTCTAGTCACGGCCAATCGGTGTTCCCAGCAGTACCATCCTTCGTTGACCACGGCTCTCCCGCCACCAGCATGCCGCCCTCAACACCTGGTAAGTATTCTTCCTATTCACCCCATACTAATTCTATGTACGCAGCGGGCGCGGCTGGCTTGGCGGCGGGGGCATATGGTTTGCACGAACATCATCATCATCATCACGCAAACCATCATACTCTTTACGCCGAGACACCGCAGGAGGGTCCCTTCTACCACACGCCAAATACCTCGACTTATGGTGAGAATATGCAAGTGATGGCGTTGGAACACAAGCATCGTAGTCCGGTCACAAAGTTTGTCGACTGGTGGAAAGACCATGATGATGTCAGGAAGATGGAAGAGTACACCGAATACATTGGCGTCTGTCGCTATTGTTTCGACGCTCACGACCCTCCTGAGAACGCCCCTCGCATACACCATTACCCTAGACGGCGGGTCTCGAACGGCTCTACACATCGCCACCGTGTTGACAAAGAGTCTCGCTACTCCCGTTCCTCTTCTGACGATGAAGCCAAGAGCAAACGCGGGAGCAAGTCCTTCATCGGCTCTGGACTTGCTGGATACTCACTGGCAAAAATGGGCAAGGCCCTTTGGTCACCAAACCAGGATTTTGACGATGCCTACAGTGCCAAGTCCGGCCGTCAGTACCGCAACTCGCGCACTTCTTTTACGGAGCGGAGCCGGAGCCGTTCGAGGGACCGGAGGAGCCAGACATCACGCGGTGTTATACGCAACAGGAGCAGAGACTCACGTGTTAGCACTGGATCGCGACACAGTATTGATCATACCAGTTCGGGGAAGGACTATAAGATTGTTCACCGCTATTCAGAGTCTCATTCCCCATCACAAAACCGCAAAAGTGGGATTATTGATGCTGCCATTGCGGCGGCTCTTGGAGAAGCAGCCGCCGAGCATGCGCACTCGGAACATCGGAGTCCCTCAAATTCCCCTCGCCGTCAGTCAGTCCGCACAAGCCGCCACAGCGGCAATTATGAGTATGGCAAGGGCTCAGTCCCTGGACTGGGTGGAGAAATCGAGCGTCATCGTACGTCGATTGTTCCGATTTCTTCTCCCGAAGAACCAAAGGCGCATCAGTCTTCACAAAGTGGCACGCCCGGCGTCTTCAGCGGGATGTTCTCCTCGAGCAATACACCGAAGCCTAAGGCTCAGAAACAGAAACAGAAGAAGAAAGGTTTCTTCAATTTCGCTAATTCCTCATCCTCATCCGCCGACTCTGCCCTGGCATACGATGCGGGAACTGACCGCCGCAGACGCAGCAGTGAGTACAGCAGAAAGCGACGATCCTCCGACGATAATATCAACACGACACTTGCCGGAATAACTGCCACGATGGGTGCCCTGATGGCTGCGCAGAGCAAACACAAGGGCAGCAAGAGTCCCAAGAAGCGCAAATCTCCGCGGGCAAACAAGAGGAATTCGAAGGTCAGCGAGAAGGAGCGGATACCCGGTGCCTTTGAGAGTTCAGGTCTTGACGATGACGATGGAGCATGGGTATCCGAATCAGAGGCCGATGACGATGATTCTTCCAGCGTCGATTCAGCGCTAGCGTTCGGTAGCAATGCTAGTCACAGCAGCAAGCGGCGCAAGAGCATGGATAGTCTCAAGTCAGACGCCTCAGGCACAAACAAATGGAGATGGCGATGGCGCCCTAACGAGGACAAGGAAAAGGAAAAGCGCAAGACTCGCGACAGTGCCAAAGAAACGGGTCTAGGCGTCGCGGGCGCTGCAGCTGCTATGGCAGACAACACGAGCAGCGTCAGCAGCGATCCCACGCTCCATTCCGTCTACCCTGTTGCGACCGATGACCCAACGAGCTTCGAGGCTGCGCGCCGCTCTGCGACTTTGGAGCATAACGCCCCGCTATTAACGTCGCGCCCAGAGACGATTCCTCTTCAGCAGCCTCAACCCATCGTGCTTGTGTCCAATGCCGTATATACCACGCAAGCGGCCTACGCACCACCAGCGGGCTACACGGCGCCGTCAGGCCCACCGGTCTTTTCGAACGGTCCCGCTGCTCCCCCATCAGGTAGGGTTGAGGAGCTGAATACCTCATCAGATGAAGAGCGTCCGGCGGTACCGCCGAAGGACACTCCACCTGAGAGCAAGGGGCTGGGCGCTAGAATCAGCGAGGCGGCTGTTGCTGCTGGTGCTGTTGCTGTCGGAGCTTTTGCGGCGGGGAAGAGAGACAGCACTGCTTCCGCCAAGAGGGACAGTACCGCCGCTAAGAGAGAAAGCATTGCGTCTGCTAAAAGGGATAGCACTGCCCCTTCTAAGAGAGATAGCACTGCAACCGCTAGGAGGGATAGCACCTCGGACAAGAGAGACAACATCTCAACCAAGAGGGAAAGCGGTTCCAATAAAAGGGAAAGCATTACCACCAAGAGAGAAAGCATCTCGAACAAGAGAGACAGCTCTGCGACTCCCAAAGGCCCGCCATCCAATGTACGCTTCAGCCTCACGGATGATCAACTGGAGAAAGAAGACTTGGAGCGCAGGAAGTCGCTCGCGAAGAAGAGAGAGGAGGATTACCTGCGAGAGAAAGCAGACATGGAGCGAAGAAAGGAGCTTGCCAGACAGAGAGAAGAAGAATGGCAAATGATTGAAAAGGAGCGCCAGCGCGAAAGAGAGCGCCTGCGTTACATCGAAGAGCAGAAGCATCTCGAAGAAAAAAGGCAGCTCGCTGAAGTCGATCGCCTAGCGGCAGAGAAGCGTAAAGCTGAAGAAGCTGAAGCTCAAATCCGCGCCAAGCTCGAAGCCGAGCATAAGGCCTCCCTCGACCGCGAGACGGCGCGCATCCAAGAAGAGCGGGAAGAGGCCGCGCGACAGGCTGCCGAGCGGGAGATTATCGCCAGGGAAGAAGCTGACCGTCTGGCCCGCGAGCACGAGGCTGCCGTTCGTGAACGCGAGCGCCTTGAACGCGAGATTTACGAGGATGACCTGCGCAAGCAACACGAAGCTGAAGAAGCGGCTCTGCGGGAAGCTGAGGATGCGGCTCGTCGCGAGCAGGAGCGCGAAAAAGAGCTCGAGGACGAGCTCAACTACGACATCGAGTCCCGCGCTCGTGAGCTTCGCGCGCGCGAGAAGGACATTGTAGACCCGGACAGGCACAGTTGGGACAATCCGGTGATTGCTTCTAACCCAGTGCTTGCGAATCTGGTCCTGCATGACGAGGAAATAAACCGGGCGCGTGAAGACGCTCTCGCTTCTCTTTCTGGCCCGACCGAGCCGTACTACACGGCTGTCGAACCATCGTATGCCAAGCCCGGAAGGGTAGAGTTTGACGATGACCACATTTACGACGAGGATGCGTTTGACCCAGATTACTT